GAAGCAGCAAGGATATCCTCGTAGGACTTGTAGCTAGTGTTGCCGATATAACTAGTAAACACGACTCGGTTGCCCTTTTAGTTAGCGATAGTTCCCTCTTAGGAGCTATCGTCGCAGTTGCGCTAGACACTACGAGTTATACGAGACTATAACCGACCTAGAATAATTAGCGTATTTAGGTCGGCGGCAATCTAGAAGGTGAAGGAAAAGCATATGCCGAAAGCGTTTACTATAACATTGTAGCAGGCACCTACTAGCGCAACCTCCCTATTTACTCCCTATATACTAAGGGAAATGTCTCTATTTATTAATAGTCTAAGCTGTTTAGCCTAGCGCTTACTTATAATAAGTGACTCTAAACTATTATTAAGCATTGCTAGCATCTGTTAACTATAGCTCCCGATAGTAACCTAAATGTAGATAGTAGGGACGACGGCGAAGGAACGGGTAACTGCGGAAAGGTCTACATTATTAGGGATAGAGTAAAGTTCTTTAGGTCGAGGAGGTCCTACTCGACCGATTTATTAGCTAGTGAACCGGACAGCCTTAATAGAGACTAAAACTAGAGCAGAGTCGGGATTATTACTATCCCCTCGGCCTATCTCCTTAACTCCCTCTTCGTTAGCATTATCGATAGTCTCTTAGTTCTCGTAGGTTACCGATTCGCCTTCTACTAACTCTTAGGCACCTAAAAATTTAGGAAGGAACTATAGGGAAGAGACGTCGATGTAGTCTTCTCGTCCCTGTTTCCTTCGGAGGGCAGCGAGGTCTTTTATAAAGGTAGTATCGTTAGGGATTCGGCTCTAGAATAGGTTAGTAGGCAAACCGTATGCTAGTAGCTCTCCTATAGACATATTAGACTTAAGGTCTAGGAACTATAAAGCCTAGAAGAGAGCGTTTGCCTTTGTGTCTAAGGAGTTAGCTAGGCTAGTACTATACTTTTTTATGTACCTATTAAAGCGAAAGCTCTTTAGGTCGGATAACTTCCGTTTGTAGGCAGGTAGGTTAGCTAGGCCTAGGGTACTACTAATATCGGTAGTAACATCCTCTATGTCGACCTCTAGAGTCTCTAGGACGACTAGGCTTTCTATAGGTAGGGTGCTAGGGGCGGTGCTAGGTACGGTACTAGATCGGGTAGCGCGGTCTACAGCTATCTAGAGAGTCTTGGTTTTAGCGGTTAACTCTCGCTGTTACTTAGCCTTATCGGCCGCCTTATTCTTTAGTACCCTAGTAGGGGCTGCCGCACTAAGGCGAGTAGGGTTCTAAGGGCTCTTACCCTTGCTTTAGGACTAGGTCTGAGACCGTATAGCAGCGTAGACATCTATACTGTTCTTAGTAACCGCGTAAACATTAGTAACTGCGTCCGGATCCTAAGAAACAAAGTTAACTTTAATAGGCTTAGTAGTACCGTTACTGCTTCGCTCCTCAACCTGTTTTACCCTAACCTTCTAAGTTTCTCGTTTAGTAATAGCGGCGAGGGTACTGTTCCTAGTGTCCTTAAACTCGATCTTGCCGCCGTACTTCTTTTCTAGAAGGGTCTTTAGCTAAGGCAGCTTCGGGGCTCTCCGATCCTATTCGAAATCAATCTTATCGCCGGTGTCTATATAGTAGAATCGGCCATTTACTTGCATAATAAGCTTCCTTTTAAGAAGCTCTTTCTAGATAGGGTAGGACGATTAGATATGTTTAAACCCGCTATACATCTAGCACTTACTATCCAAGTTAGAATAGATCTTCCGTATAGCGTAGACATCTACTAAAGGGGCTTTAGGGTAGTTAGGATCTGAAACCTAGTAGACTAGTAGTATATCGCCTAGTATAGTAGTATTAATAACCTCCCTAACTCGCTATAATGCTTTCGCATTTAGGTTTAGCTAGGCTAGGGATTCAGCTAAGTCCGCGACATCTTAAGAGTGCTTAGTAATAGTAGGAGTTACGGTCTTAGGACTACTTTGCGATTTAGGAAGGAACTTAGGTCCCTTGCTTACTAAGGCTTCTTTCCTAACCTGCGCTAGGTTATTCCGGTCTTCGCCGTAGATGAACTTCCTCGCATCGGCTACGCTATTAATGTCGGCCTTAACATACACTAGGACCTCTTTGTACTTCCTAAAGCTCTTAGGATCGGCCTCGCTAAGCTTATAGCGACGGAAGATACGCTAAGCTATAGGCTACGGCAACCCCTAGAGGAGCAGCCTTGTTCTCTAAGAGTTTTCGAGGTTACTCTATTCGATACTATCCGCTAACTCGACAAACTCGCGGACATACCCCTTTAGGTCGTTATCCTTAGTACGCCTTACTAAGTAGAGGGACTCGAGCTACGTACGACTGCCTTTAATGCGACGGCTATCGCGCTCCCGATACTCCCTTATAAAGGCTATCTTAAAGGTCTCCTAGTTAGCATTAGACTTATCGTCCTTTTCTAGGTAGCTAACTAGGGTTTTAAGGGTTCGGTAAAGCTTAGAGGAGGTGGTCCTCGTAAAGGACCGAATCTTGTACTAGTCGGATTCTCTATCGAGCTTGTAATTAACTAAGCCTTCCTTAAAGCGCTTAATATGTGCTATAGCGTTCCACCCTTCGAATAGGGGATTTGCCCTACTCCCTAGCTCTAGCGGGCGACGCTTATTTTAACGGAGAAGCTTAGTTTGCTTCTCTATTATTTTTATAAGGATAGTGTAGAGCGCCTCTAGCGTAGAGGGCGTAGGAGGCTCACTTATATTAACTAGTCGCCGCCTAATTTCTTCGTTAATAGGATTAGGGGCGTTTTCGGATTTAGAGGATTCCGCTAATTCTCGATGTTCGTTTTCGCTAGAGCTAGAGCTTATTCGATTATTATAAAATAGTTAAAATAGTTGAAATGGAATACTATATAAAGTTGAAATAGAATGCTATATAAATGTGTTTTTAGTAACTTTAGTCTATTTGGTTTGTTATAATATTGCTATACAAGAGAGTAGTATATTAGGCGGTTTCTCCTAGTATTACCCCTAGGGTAGCATTAGGATTTAGCCTCCTAGGGGTCGCCTAACTACCTCTAGGAGCTAAGTTTAGTAGATTTTGGACAAAAGCCGCTTAGAGGGAGAGACTGCAATCTCTATTTACACCTAGATCCTAGAAACTAGCTTGTATCTCCTTTAGCTAGGCGGGGGGGCGGTAGCCTTCTTTTTCTAGTAGAAGGCTAAGCACTGTCTAAGCGAGGCTACGAATCTAGGAACGCCCTACCCGATTAATAGGGGACTCCCCGGCTATCCGACCTGCAATCCGTATTTGCTATTAATTAATAGTCTTAGCAAACCAAGCAAGGCCGATAGGTAATTAGTCTATCTCCTCCTTAGGCAGGGCTTATCTCGAGCAAGCGGTGCTAAATAGGTCTTCGACCCGGAGCCGAGTCCTTAGAAGCTAGCTATAGCTATAGACTAGGCCCTAAGCTGTAATAGTCCTAAGGGTTTGCAGCTTTTCGGGGTTAAAGCGATGCCCTCGTTAAGAGGTTTCTCTGCTTGTCGTAATAGCCCCTTAAGATACTTCGGTATCGTCCGTATCGTAGGCTCTTATCGTGCCCTCGCTTTAGTTATAGCTATTCGTGCCTAGAGACCACCTTTAACATACCCGAACCTGTTAGATATAAAGAGATAGCCCCACCTTCGGCTCTAATAAAGGACGGAAACTAAAACTACTACTACTACTAGCAGTAATAGTATAGGCTACCGAGGGTAACATAACCTATAGCAATATAGGCAGCTATATTTAGCATAATAGGATAACAAGACGGTTGCTTAGGCTAATAACTAGAGCCCTACAATATAGGCATTATAGAAGTGTAATATAAACAATGTGCTGTACGAGGTTGGTGCTCTATCTACAATGTAGAAGGAGGCCTCTTATGTAGGCTCAAAACTTAGCCTAGGTGTGTAGGGCCGGTTACTAGCTAATACTAGCGACGAATTCCGCTAAGAAAACTAGTTAAGACAACGCGCGCCCTAGCGGCAATAGTATTGCTATTATCTCCGCTATACGATATATCGCCGTTACGATATTATCGACTATCTGCTATATCTAGTTCTAAGCCTCTAAGCGGCGACGTTTAGCTTCTACGTTAGTATTATAGATTACCCGCTTTCGAGTATAAATATCGTTCTTTAGAGTATCTACCTTACTTTCGGTTATTATAGGAGCTAGATTAGATACTAGAGGAGGAATTAAACTATTAAGTATCGCTTCTATAGATAAAACATGCTCTCCGGTAGTAGTAGTGTCGCTAAATAGCTAATCTAGCTCGACTAAGAACAGAAGCGGCTTCTTTAGGAATTTCTTTGCCCTCGGATAGATAGCAATATAGGCCTTTACTACGTCGTCCGGAGCAGTTAGATAACTACTATTTAGATTAATACCGAAGCTAGATTAAGCTAATATCTTATACTATATCTTCTAGTCCGCTTTAAGCGTAGTAAGCTTGTTCTTTATAGAAGCGGCTATAATACGAGCCTTCTGCTACGCCTATATAACGATAAGGTTTACTACTATTACTACTACTATAAACAGCCCCTTCTTAAAGCTAGAATCGGCCCTCTCGCTATAGTTCTTATACCTATCGATAGCACTAGTTATAAGGTACTATATCTCGGCATTATTAAACCGCTAGTTGCCTTTTACTTCTACTAGCGCTAGATTAAGTACCGCCGATAGCTCGTCGAGTGTCTCTAAGTCCTATATATCCGGCAATTGCGAGTAGTTAGGCGGTAGTTCTAGCTAAGAGTACTAAGACTAGTTAATTGCTTAAGATTCTATTCTTTACTAACAAATTTACTAGGTAACCGATAATCTACGAGCGACTAGACTAGTAGCGGTCTCTTATATTAAATAGCGAGTAGCCGTTACTATATTATAATCGCCTCCTTCTACTTTCTACTACCTAAAGCTACTATCTAAAGTCTACGGAGGTTACGAGACTAGCTAAGAACGCTAATACCGAGATTGCGACGATAGGATAACTATACGAGAACACATACCTTATAATCCTATTTACTTATAGTAGCGGCCGCTAGGCTATTGAGTTATATGCTAATAACCGCTACGATATTGCACATTGGATTACGAAGAGGACAGGCTCCAATTCACGTGCTTCTCGAATTTGAGCCACGATATAGCTCAATCTGTACGCCGCCCGATCAAACTTCGAAGAACGACGCCCGCGAACTCGTGGAGCTGGTAGCGTCTTGTCTGCATGTCTTAGCCCTGCTTAAACGAGGCTAAGCTCCCACACATTTTGGGAACCAGCATCACGTGGTCTGACACAAAGCACACTTCTTCGAATTCCATGAGCATGTCGCTGACTACGCGGCTATGGTACACGGCAGAGATGCATCTGTTCAGTGCACGATCCGACAGACTTTGCTGCTCTCACACCCGGCTGCGCACGCCAGACTCCGAGGATTCCCATCTCATGGCCTACGCACCGCCTTCACCGCCGACATACCATGTCGCAGCCTTGACTATCTCAAGCACAACCGCCACCTCACTGTCGTTCTGCGGAGCGTAGACCATGGTGAAGCCTTTGGGCACAAACCTCTCAAATATTCCTCCCCTGGAGATAGGATGCCTCTCACCCCAGCCCGATTCTAAGACTTCTCTTGCATCAAGGGGATGCAAAGTTAGATGCAGACTGCCGTCCGAAGAATGCACATGGCAGATTTCTCCTCGACAGGTCTTCTTACTCGGTGCCGTGGAGAAGAGGCCCGTACCGTGCTTCTCAAAACAAGAGGTCCCTACTGTAAGGTGATCGCCACCTTTCCGACCGAAGTCTTCGATGGCTTCCGACAATGCAATAAACATGTCCTGATCCGCTCGCTGAGTCACTTGCCGATGTGGTGCGATCCCTCGGGTTTCTGGTCGAGGATGTGGACGAAGAGGAAGTGCACCAGAACACAAATAGCCCCTTTTGCACTGCATGCCCTCGGGGATTGGCGCCGGCTCATAGGGATTTCGCAAGGCAAAGAGGCCGAGACACTTGACGCGTATGTATCCAGGAACGGTGGATGGCGTACCTCCTGGACCCAACGCTTTCTGTTCTGCATCTCAGCTCATGTCTTGGTGCATGTGGCATTTAGAAATTTGACTGACGAAAGCTAAGTAGTCCCTTCGAAGGCACAGTGAGACTGGTATAATGATCAGGGTAGTCAGAATTGCTCCGAGAATGTAGAGTGCGGAGGTTGAATTGCTGGCGTGCCGAAGCTCAGAAAGGACGCTCATGGTGCAAGACTTCGAGGACTGGCGATGCTCCCAACACCGATATTCGTGATGTGCTTGCTGCCTCAATCGCTTGTATGAATTGATCAACGTCGCGCGCCTTAACGGTTTGGTTGCTTTTGATTTCTTGACTTCCCGATGAAATGTTAACTTGGATCAGAACTTCGGCAACTGCGTCCTACGTGCACACTTTATTGTATCACATTTGTTTGCTGGAAAAACGACCCAATTCGGGGAGCTTTAATCGTTTGTGTTGTGACATACGGTGTGTTCTGACGATTGTGTAACGTGGACACGATTGACTGGGTACTGCTTGTGCATTGAGTAGCCGGCACTTATTGGACAAGGGAGAGCACGAACCAGCGTTGATCACACTTCATGCAAACATGATCTTCTCCCAAGAACACCCGGTGGCAGGAATTCCCATTTGCTGCGTTGAGCTTTCAAGAGCTGAAGATTATCCTCAGGCCTGCTGACGCCTGCGGCGAGTTCCGCGAGCCAGCTTGAACCATGCGTACTGTCACGCCCACAGTTGTCTCATGACAGCTTCGTGCTCTTCACCAAGCCTTTCTTGATACCAGTCAATTCTCCGCCATAGCCTCCTCGACCCTCACCGCCCTTGTACACGGGCTTGATGGAAGCCAATTTCTTCTTCTTCTCGTCAAACTTCTTTCTTTTCTTCACTCTCGGGTTTCTAACATCCTTCTTCCGATGAGGAGTGAGGCCTTTATTCTTCTCAATGGCATAGCTGATCTTGCGCTTGCCGTCTTCGCCGACGGTCTCTTCTTGCACAACCCTACCGCCTTGCAGCGAGGCTTGCTTTTGAGCTTCTGCCAAAGCGGCTTTCTCGCCCTTTCGCTTCGCCGTTCGTGCAGCTACAAGGTCGTAATAGTCGTTTTCATCGGCATCTGCGCGAATTTGCTGAGCTTGCCGACGATCCTCGTCGTCGCTATCGCCTCCAAGGTCGGCATCAGGGTGGCCATAAGGACGCCTACCGCGCTTTTCAGCTTCGGCGTTAAGTCTGGCTTGGCGATCTTTCAATCTTTCCCGATGCGGGATGTCATCGTCGCCGCCAGCGTTGCGTCCTGCAGTACCACGCTTGTTGGCTTTCTGTGCAATTTGTGATGTGTAGAATCGCAAGCTCTTCTTCTTGAGCGTCTTGTCTGCTGCTTCACGAGCTGTAAGCGAAGCTTCCTCGCCAAGATCCGAATCATCAGCGGTAGCCTGCCTCTTGCGAGCCGTCTTGGTCGTCTTCTTCTTGGAGGGCGCCAGCGCAGCATCGAGTTCGGCCAAGTGTGCTTCTGTTCTCTTCAAGCGCTCAGCCTTGCGTTGTTCAGCCGCCTCACGAGTAGCATCGGCGTATCGCTCAGCTCGAGACTTCTTTCCTTCTCGTTTCGCGAGGCTGACCACTGGTTCCTGTGCGCCTTCCATTTCCTCATCAGAAGAGACCTGGTCTAAAGCGTCTTCGTCCTTGTCACTGCTTACAGGCAACGGCTCCTGCAAAGTCTCGACGCTCGTCCAAAGTTCTCGGCACTTCACAAGACTATCCATCACAGTATGCTCGTGCAACTTGTGAGCAGACAATGCCATGGGCATTTCGTCACTTTTAGATGCCGTAGATGTCATCAGAGAGAAGTACATCACCAGCGCTCCAAGATAAGCGGATGCAGCTCGGAGCTTTGTACGTGACACAGCAGACTTTGTTGCGATCTTGCGCAAAGCCTCAAAGACGTTTTGCAAGCGCAGCAATTCTTTGCTCAAATGCTCGAACTCGGGATAGCGAGACTTCAGAAGTTTAAGCCGCTCAGCAGAGCCCAAGTCGGGTGAAATTTGTAGCTGAGGGAGCACTTCTGTGACCACGGGGCTCTCATCTGCATCTTGAGTCGTCTTCGCTGGGCCTGCCTGTTGCCAATCGTCTTCATCAAACCCATAATCTGCTGCAGTCATCTGCTGAAGCTGTTTCTTTTGCAGTCGAATAGCCTCTGCCTCCTGCTCCAAAGCCTGCTCTTCTGTCTCGGGCGCATCGTCGCCATAGAGATCATCTTTGGAAGTACCCCATCTCAAGCCCTCTTCATCGTCTTCATCCACACCAGCAGCATCTGCGTCATCAGAGTCTAATGCTGCTCGATCAGGAACCACCAATGCATCGTGGTCGACAATATCCGAATCGTCGCCCTCCGAGTATCCGAGCACTTCTTCGTCCGACTGCTCCAGAAACTGTTCATTTTCTGCAATTTCCCTCCGCCTCTTGACTGCAGGGTCTTCGCCTAGCCGAATTTCGTCTTGATTGCCATGAAACTCATCGTCGTCGGAGTTGGCAACGTCGTCGTAGGTCCTTATGCGTTTGCGCGATTCTCTCGGATCGATTTCCAAGCCATTTGCAGGCTCTTGTAATTGCACTGCAGCCTTTCGCTTCTTCGCCATGTTGGCTGACAGCGGATAGAAGTCGAGGTACTGGCAAGAAGATCTATCAAAATTGTTCTGGACGAGATGCATGTAGACTAGGCTCGATTTGGTGGCCGGATGTCGGCGCGGTCTAGCCCGACAGGCTCCGGAAGGTTGGGCTGTTGGATCTGGAACAACACCTTGTCAACAACGTCCATTGTGTCACGTTGGATCACTGCAAAAGTGGCATGCTCGTCTCAGATATACGCTTCCGCAGCGCAAATGAAGAAATTGCAGAGCTTGCAGACGCCACGACCTCCGATGCGACGGCCGCGGGCCCGCCAAGCGTTAAAGAGTGCTCATTCAGCGAAGAGATCTGGCTCTCACAGCGTCTCGTCTATCGACGGATTGGCTACGCGATCAGTCATGTCGGTTCAAATGCCTTCCTGGGAAGCGGGCGCGCTTCCGAGACTCGTCTGGCCACAAGCAGGACTCTGAGAGGCCAAACCCGACCTACACAGCACATGCCTGTGACATCTGATGCTGTCTCTTGCATGAGTGTGGTGTGCTCACGTCCGCTCGCTTGAATGCCTCATTACCACCTGCCCATTGCGTTCTTTCTCCTTCCCCCTCTCAGAGTCAAATGAGGCATCTGGGTCTTCCTTTCGACAGCACGAGAAACAGTATGGAGAGTGCGTCGCAGAAATCTTCAAAGAGCTGGAGGCCATCTTGGATGTCGTCTCGATCATCAAGCACACGGTCACGAGGATCTAGTCGACACACACTGTCATCAATTGATTCGCGAAGTACCAGTGCATCCGGTGTATCTGGTGTATCCGCCTGCCAGCCGGAGCAGCGGAATACATATCGACTTCCCATCGCCTCTTCGGACGCAAGTCGAGAATCCAAGCCCAGCATTCGAGAAGAAGAAGCGCAGCTTCCGATGCGATTTTCGTTGGAAAGCTGTGTCTTCGAGTTCCCGATCCCAGGTACAGTGGCGAACTCCGTAAAGAAGCCACCCGAACCTTTGCCCGTAAATCAGCCCAACAGCAGCTTGTACCCACCAAGAATATCATCAAGACGTGCTCAAGACCCACCACGGGCCGGGTCTGCCACTGCGAGGAGCACATCTGATCGAACGGATTCGTCCCGTAGCACGGGATCCAGCTCGAGGAAGGAACGAAACTTGTTCGCTGAGATAGAAATGGCTTCGCGCGAGCAGTATGGATATTGGCGCGCGTCCCTGACAGCAAGGACTCCGCCGGCGGCAGCATTATGCGGTTGTTCTATCCTTACATCTCGGCTTCCCTCCCGGCAAGCGAAGAACATCGACACGAAATCCCGGGGAGATGTAGTAGAGGACGCCTACTCACTATGTAATGCGCTGGACGAGAGCTCCACGCTCGAAGAAGCGTTGCACACCTTACAGGCGCAAAGCGCCAGCATCGAGACGCTTGTTATTGCCCTACAGGCGAGCATAGAAGCAGCACAACTTTCGACTGTACCCGTCAAAGTTGCAGCCTCGATGTACGAGAAGATCTCGGAAGCAAAGTCCAAACCCAGGAAACGCGAGGCCCTCTTTCCATCCCTTATTAAGCTCTTACGGAAGATACCTCAGGAAACGCTGGTCGTACTGATGTTTCTTCTCTCGATCGCGCAACGACTGCAAGTAAAAGGCATCACCATTGACGGCCGGGAGCCAGCGCTTTTCCTCCTCAGAACCTTGTTTCCCTCAAGCCTCGCTCTATCGCCGGATCAATTCGCAGGTGACAGCGTTTCGGGGTTGTTAGCGATTCATTTCGATGAGATACCCGGAGATATGCCGTTGGTGCTAGAAGGCGTGAATCATCGTTTCGCTGCTGGGAAGAAGGTAAATTTGTTGAGTCTCATCTCTGGAAAAGGTGGGAAAGCCCGGCGACAAAGTCAGAGACCAGGGCCCAGGGGTGTTCTGGAAATAGAGGGAGCAGAAGATAAAGAGATTCAATGGTAGTGTTTAATGTGTATGCCCTCAGTTTTATTTTCTCATCCTTTCGTTGAGTCGCCAATCATCGTCTTGTCGAGGAGAAAACACAGCCACGGCCACAGCAGAGGAGGGTAGGTCTCCACCGCCGAGCGCGAGCGCAGTGTAATCCATCAAGAAGAACGATAACTGTGTCAGTCTGAGATCGCGGGCACTCGGTCGGCGCTTACATCAGACAAGGGATCGATTACTACTTCTTGGACAAACTAAGATTCCTTTCCCGAAGCAGATGCAACGGTCCGAGCCTGATTGCTCATCATCTGCCACAATTTGGACCAGCCCGTCTTCTGTGAGCTTGAAGGATGATCACTTATCGTCCAAGATCCAAGTCGAATATCGGACAGTAGCCCAGTGATCGAAGCACGACGTTCGATGCGAGAATCGCAGCATGACAGCTGATTCTTCATAGCGTGAACTCGCCCCTGCCGGCGAGCCCGAAAGGTGGACAAGCACAGCAAGCATGATGGTGGTCTCGTACAGCCCGCGTGGAGCGGAACCGATCAAACCCATCCCGCTCGATCTTCGTAGCCTATCTGGACCACATGCAGCCCGACACGTGGGACAAGCCAAGCGTTTCAGAATGCAGAGAGAGGCGCTGGCGCTTACTTCCGAAAGGAATAGGGTGTGCTCTGGCTGTCAAATTCTTGCCTCTTTCGTATCTTGACCCGGTCATGAACGTCTTGTGTAATATACTGTCGGATAAATGTTGTTCTTGCAACCTGGTCTTTCGAGGAGGCTTCATTCGTGCTAGAGTGTTGATCCTTCTTCCTTTGCGAGATCGAAAACCGACGTCAGGCAGAGGTGACAATCAGGTCCTGCAACTCCTGGGGAGTAATGTGATCTTGAACGTGAATTATTGGGAAGTCATACTGATTCATGCTTGAGCTAACCTAGCCGGAAAGCTGAACTAAACGCGCAGCGTACTTCATATCGATGTGTCATCATAAACGCACACGCAAAGAGGGTATCTTGAAGCAGATAAAATCACGCCCGACGCCAAGTCGACTCCTGCAGAGGCCTAATCTAGCTTTCGTCTCAGGTCAGCTGTCGTAATTCACATTAGAAGCTGTAATGATGTGATTGGAATTCCCGGACCCCGTCAGACGAGCATCCTGGTCGAAGTGATCCTTCCTTGTCTCCGCAGCTGGCATGCGGCGCTTTATTGTGAGCCACCTGCACTCATGCGATTAACTCCGCTTTTACTTCCTTCCACGAGCTTTCTGCTTTCGCTCGATGCCGTCCATGGCTGAGTTCGCTGCTCCTTGAGCTCGTTCTTTAACGTTGTGCTTTTCTGTCTCCTCGTTGATATCGTCGAGGACATCGTCCTCGTCCTTGCAAGTACTCCCGACTAGGAGATCCAGGAGGCCAAGACGTCCAAAATTGCCCATATCTTTGCCAGCCGTCACGGAGTCGAAGTGCGCCTCTATTCGACGCGCCATGCCTGCTAAAATTATCGTAGATGGAAGGACAGAGTATCCCGAATAAATAAAAAGGTCCTCAAGGCTTGTTATGGCTGTGAAGAGGTGCCATGTAAGGACATGCCAGCGGAACAAATACGCAGGTAAGATCGTGGGCATCCACACTGCTAGTAAATAATTGACAGGATGGTCATAGGCAGCAACAACACTGAACGGAAAATCGATGCTATGTTGCCATCTCGAATGCCAGGTCTTGAGTACAGTGTCATATGTGTGCAAATAATATCGGTGGACCGCATAGTGAGCGACTCCGCGGACGATCAGGCCACCAAGGATATCTTTCAGAATGGACCAAGGTAGTGGTATTATCGATGACACTTTGATCAGACTCCGCAGGTGTAGAAGCCGGCTGAAAAGGATTTCCAAGAAAGCCTGGAGCAATACTGACACAAACACATTGCCGACAGCTGTGCCAGCTATTCGGAGCACTTTGTCGCGTCCTAGCCGAAGAGGCAAATGTTCACGTCCACGAGCCTTCACCCGCCGACTCAACTTGGGCAGAAGACAGTCGAAGGCCAGGAATGCAAGGGCTGGTAGGAGGAAGAGGAAGCATCGAATGACTAGAGTGCCATACAGCTCAATCGTTAAGTGACTGTGACTGCTCGTCATCAGCACCTGACACAGCAGCTGACAACTATGAACCCTAACAAGGGTCGCGGAACTTCACTTACCTAGACACTAGACCAAGCCCTAACACAGATAAGCGTCAGCAGGCGGCCAAGGATGCAAGATGATGGCGGGTACGTACAGGTGAGATAAAATACTCCCAGGCTGATGGTGGTGCTCGAGCCGCCGAATATCGGGAAGGCCAACATTGACAGCAATGGAAGCGGAATGGATATGAAGCTCGTTAGCTTCGACACCATGGTTCCAGTCAAGTCGGCGAAGCTACTGGGCAAGGCGGCGTATCGTCCTTGCATGTAGCCTTGCGAATAGGTGATTTCGTCGCGTATCCATTGGACGATTCCCGTCATGATGCCTGATGCCTGGATGTCGGATTCGTAATCAGGAAGTGGTTCTAATGCCAGTTTGTGAGAGTTGACATGGTGCTCAAAGAGCAATTCAAGCCGGGGCCGGAGGGGTGCTTACACTTACACGTTGTTGAAAAGAGAGTTGCGCCGGCCACAAACAGGGAACTGGAAGCCAGCATGGCGCTTGGACCACACCTGAGACGTCATCCGTGGAAGAAGTGAATCCTTCGCAGAGCCTCTGCCAAGACCACGACGTCGACGTCCTGAACGACACCAGCGCATTATTATTGAGCGTGCACCCATGCCCAGAGCCTCAGGCACGAACGAGAAGCAGCTCATGCTTTCCCGAAAGCATACAGACAGAAGCGAGCGTGGTAACGCTGGCGCAGGGCTGAGGCCGATGAGCGGCCCGCTCTAGGAATAGCAGGAGCTGTCTATGCGCAATGCACAATGCACAATGCACCACGCATGCCGTCCTGCTGCAAGTCCGCCGCCGCATCCGGGAGTCACTGCTACCTTCATCGTACTCCAGCCAGACATTCGGCTTAGTCGGTCGAATAACGCTAGTCCATCTCGAACTTTTCCTGCGCGCCACGCGTTGTTCGCATCGCATGCCCGACCAGGCCCTATTTGCAAGCCGCTCGCGACATTGTCCAGCAACGATGCAGATGACTCAGATTATAGGTCTGCCTGGTGCTGCCAGACTGTTCGAATGACATATGCCAAAGTAATCATAAGGCCTCTGACCGCAGCCTCATCATCTTCTCGCCACTTGCTAGAATCCGACGCCATGTCTATATCGATCAGTCGTTGCCACCAAGATATGGCCGTCAGGCATAGGCACCTCAAGATGGATGATAGCACGAGACCTACAGCGTCGGACCGTTCCTCCTCCGACCCTTCCTATCGGATCTGTACAGTGACAAATGAGAATTGGCGCGGGAAGAACGACCCTACCGAGAGGAGGCGTATCCAAAATAGAATCAATCAGCGTGCCTTTCGTCAACGTCAAAGAGAAGGCTCGGACAAGAAGCAATACAGGCCTCGTCATTCATCAAGCGAGCCATCCTCGCAGTACGAGGAGGATGAGGTCGATAGTCCTTACTCTGTGGACGACGAGCTTGAACAGGACGCCTCAGAAAGTCGAGCATCTTCGGCCCCAACAACGAGCCAGCCAAACGGAATGGTTGATAGCCCAGGAAGAGTCTGGGACGAGCTGGCTCAACTGATCAATCGTAACCTCATGTCGGCAGCATCCACAAATGCTCAGCGCCTGGGGATAGCCCAGAGCACATTACAGAGCGCAAATTCAACCCTCACACCCAGACCGACCAGCAGTGGAATACCTGCTACACTGCAACCTCTGCCTCCGCAGCATCAGGTGCCTCACGATCCCATCATCGATATCATACCGCACCCACGCCTACGATTCAACGTGCTGAGAGCGATTGCCGCACAGCAGATAGATGCTGCAGCTATCTCGAGGGACTTGCGGGCATCAGGAGCTATGGAGAACCTGCAGGGCCAGTGGCAGCGCGGTGGGCTGGTCGTGTGGAGCTCGCCCGAGCAGCTTGCATCTTGGGAGCTCTCAGCAGCATTCGTGCTGAAATGGAGTTTCCTGCTACAAGGCTGTGAAGACTTCTTGCAGGCCACGAATGCCTGGCGAAGCCGACGCGGAGAAAGACTGTTTCCACAATCAATCAACAGTACAAGATGAGAGGGCGGACTTAAGCGGCGATACCATATTATCCAGATTGATCAGATTATGATGATAGCGTTCAGAGCGCAATGTTCAGGCGCTGCACGGCACGGAAGGAACGGGCCCTAGAAGAGTCCTAAAGTTTGGTTCGATTAGTGATGTATTAGATACTTTCACGTTCGTTCCTCGTGCCCTCATTTTGGTACTTGCTTTGGAAGTTGCTGCAGCAAGCCACAGCTGAGCTCGCTCGGCTTGGCTTGGCTTAGAACTATCCGATAGATTGAACCTCCGCGACCGCGTTGCATCGTTAAATTGGGCCACATTCCGAGGTGTCCTTAGAGTTTTCGATGCAAGATCCACATGCCAGTTTGAAACTCTAGAGATTGCGGAAACACATGTTTAGTCTTATACCCAACTTCTAGTTAGCATGTTATACCTGCAAACTACGACTGAAGGCGTAGAGATGAAATTATTCCCGCGCGGTAAAAACGATACGCAAAATGAGTTCGTCCCTTACGTTGCGAGTAAATGTACCAACAAAGTTTGTCATTGCTCGGTACGATCTTCTCTCTCTCTACTAGCTATTCCTGTGGTGCCCACTCGGCCTCCTACCAACATCATCAGCTAGCTCGGCTAACGTCTCGAAATAGTTGATGAACTGCGGCGGTCTCTGTAATAAATACTACAAGAGATATCCTAAAGATACGGTAACGAAAGGTTGTTCCAAGTCGGATGGGACTTGTGGTTGTAACGTGGAATGTAATGGGGATAAGACATGTGCAGCCAGCTGATGGTATGAAAAGTTCAGGTTGTAACTGAGGATCAAGATAGGGAGAGTTTGGGGAGTTGGAAAAAGTGAAGGAGGAGACCTTGTGTAAGACTAGAATAGGAAGGAGATGAGCTGCGAAATGTGAGCCTGATTGTTCCGCTTGTCGAAGCTGTACAAATCCTCGGGCCTTTCGTATACCGCGACGGGAAAGTCGAGGATAGGATTCTGGAAGTTCGGTGCAGAACGGACGCCCTGCCGCGTGTACAGTACATGTACATGCGGGAATCCTTTTCAGCAGCAGCGGTTGTGTGACTCCTACCACCGGCGGAGGGGGAGAGAAGCAAAAGACGATTCAGGATTTCGCACCCGAAACAGAATGGGGGTTGCAGGACCTGTGCTGTAGGGAGTTGATGATGCTGTCTACAACTCGGTCGTTCTTCGCGTGGCTCTCGGACAGCGACATTGCAGCTGCATTCAGCCCTATTACATGCTGTTAGCCACATTCAGGTACGCAGGAATGATTCCATGTTCAGCAATCTCATGATGCATATGCAGCGTCAGGCAGTGTGTTCCGAATAACGAGTAATGGCGAAAATAATGCCGAGCATGGGAGCACCGGCATATGCACCATCCATACGCCCTGCCCTCACGCCCTTGTCAAAGCGAGGGAGGGCACTTCTGCATGAAGAGGATGATATCGTATGGCTTTCCAATCATTGAGTTAGCAGCTTGTTAGAGTATTGTACATTGTTCACGTCCTCCTTCAGACTTGCTCTCTACTCCAATTGGGTGATGAGCTTGCCCTGGTTGGAGCCATCGAACAGCTTCAGCCACGTCTTCGGGATGCCCTCAAAGTTCGTCTTAACCACCGTCTCTCCGCCCTCGATATCAAGTCGGCCGTCTGCAACAGCTTCCTTGAAGAGCTCCAATGCCTTGGGAAATTCCTTCATGAAGTCGATCACAATGAAACCCTTCACCTGAAGCCGCATGATTATAATCTCGAACCAGTTCTTGAGGCCAGTCGTTCGCTCTTGGGATGTGTTGTAGCTGCTAATGGCTCCACAAGCAATGACTCGTCCACCTCTTCCAAGTCGAGAAAGCATCAAGTCGAGAATCTCGCCACCAACATTGTCAAAGTAGACATTGGCAAAATCAGGGGTAGCTTTCTTCAAATCCTCGGCGAATGTCTTGCTCTTGTAGTTCAAGCAGACATCAGCTCCAAGCTTCTCGACCCAGCGACACTTCTCATCCGTGCCAGCAATGCCGATTACTTTCTTGCAACCAATGATCTTCTTGGCAATCTGGGAAGAGCGTACACGGTCAGTCAATCAGGATCTCGATATCGATATGTCGCTTGCAACCTTACCTGGACTGCCATGGAGCCAGTTGCACCAGCTGCGCCGCTCACGACGACAACATCGTCTTTTGTCGTGTTGCCAACTCCAGTCAGACCAAAGTAGGCAGTAAGACCAGTCAACCCAAGCGCACCAAGGTAATGGGTCTTACTCTTGCCACCAGGCAGATCTCCCGCTGGTTGGCACATGTTTGCCGGCACAACTCTATACTCAGACCAGCCGGTCGTTGCGATGACAGTATCGCCCTTCTTGAACTTCTCTGACTTGGATTCCACGACCTCTGCAAGGCCACGGGCATTCATTGGGGCGCCAATCTCCACAGGTGGTACATACATTCTCTCGGCTGGAATATCTGGATCGATCCATCCTCGCTGAGCGGGGTCATTGGATAGGCACAATAACTTCACCAGCAGCTCACCAGCTTTTGGCTCTGGAAGATCGGTCTCCACGAGTTTGAAGGTCTGCTCGGGCCCATCGAGCTTCGGCTCGTCTCTCGGCTTGTTCGCCAATTGCCATTGTCGTGTTTTCACCATTTTTCGCAGGATTTCTGTGCAATTGCAGGTCGTTGAAAAGAAAATTTCTTGCTGAGAGTCGAGAATGGCGACTCGGACGTTTTGCCTTATATATCGGACGTTTTGCTTGAAATATGCCAGACCTCGGTTCTACTTCGCACGATGTTCGATTTTGACATCATTTTGCCCCTCCTGCCCTTTTGTAAGCAAGACCAGAGCATTCGTTGTTGTGAGCTGCACAAATCTTGAACCCCTCCGAAACAGCCTATGGGCGGCATCGAACCCCGGCTATGACTTCGCTAGTCGCGACCAGCAATGCCAGAAAGTGAAGAACTTCGAATCCTGCTACGAGAAGATTCTTATTAGAGCCCTTCACAGATGCCTGTTCTGCGACAATCATGCACACCGGACCTACTGCTACTGCTGTAGCTTGTGCCCATGTCACGTAGCTCTACTCAATGTGGTATCTGGACCTAGAGCCGACGCTGCGTATGCTCGCTTGATCTCGCGCAGTTGGTGTTTTCATTTATCCTACAACTCTTCCTTGACCATTGATCCACTAATGCTTGCCCCTGCTCTTAAACTGCTCCTTGCACTGCTTAACCCGCTATCAAGGAAATGAGCTGGATCCCTTTCTGCCGATGGGACAGATTTGCCAGTCGAAAGTCATACCAAGAGTTTGCATGTGAAGTGATGATGTCGAGCTTCCTGAGTCCTGAGTCAGGAGAAGTAACACAAATTGAAGTCTCAGTTGTGCAAAATTTCACAAGGATTTGGTTGAAACCCGTGCGGATTCTCTCCCGAGCCCCGTCAAACTCAATGCCTGCGAGCTCGACGTCCGAGGGTCTCCCTGCAGGGGAATCCCAAGCCGAAGCTTTACATACATTACTTCGACTACGGACTTCGTGATAACAGATCTCACACCACAACCCCCAAAGATCACAATGGCTTCCGTAAGAGCATTCCGACCTCTCCTGCGCCCCGCGCCACGAATCGCAGCTCGCGCGACACAGCAACAAGCTCGTTTCCTGAACTGGGAGACCTCCCCGCCATTCTACACAGCCCATGCTTCAGTAACAGGAGGCAGAAAGGGAAAGATCTCGGCTGAGAATCTCGACATTCAGTTGGCTGCGCCAAAGGAGCTGGGTGGACCTGGGTATGCTCGATGGATGAGAAGACACGTCGTGAAGAACATTTGCTGATCTAGCAAATTGTACAGAAATGGCTCCAACCCCGAGGAGCTCTTTGCAGCCGGATACGGAGCTTGCTTCCAAGGGGCCATGGCCGCGACCGCTCCAAGCTTGAACATCAAGCTACCCGAAGATTCTGTCATTGAAACCAAAGTACACTTGATCGGAGACGTGAAGAAACTTGATATGGGAATCAGGGTGGACATGAAGATCAAGTTCGGAAGTGGCATTAGCAAGGCTGATGCAGAGAAGGTCGTGGAGAAAACTAAGGAGGTCTGTCCGTATAGCATAGCGACTCAGGGCAATGTTGTCACAAACACTGAGGTCATTATTGGATAGAGCGGGACGAGCGGGACGATGTGATGGTATGCTGCTATGAAACGGTGAGTTTACTTGTCTTGATATTCGGCTACCAAAAACTGTCTTAAATGCGGAAAGTCAAGGGCGCGTTACCATCTCTTCTCGCCGCCGAATCTCAAGCGTGAGCGTTTGCGTGGTCGCGATGGTGGTCGTGATTGCGAGCGAGAAACTCCTTTCGCTTGGTGTTTAAATCGGCCTTGCCGGTTGCTGCCACCAGGCGTGTTGGTATTTTCTGGAGCATTGACGTTTCCCGGATAGTCTTCGCCAAGCAACGTGAATTGGTTTGGTTGTAGCATGAGCCGTCTCTCTTCAATGGGATCAAGTGCGATCAGAACGCGTTTTCGTGCCCATGGAAAAATGACTGCAAAGGCGACGCTTGTTACAAAGATCGGAATAGCAGCATAGACGTACCTGGAGTTACATGTTAGCAGAGGCATCGAACAAGGAGGCTGACTTCTAGTGGGCTGCAGTGGGCTGATTTAAATTTGCTTCCTGCGCGCTTTCGAGAAGCACTAGTACTACAACCCCTCGCTGTGAAGAGAGGAGAATGGAGGTGGGGCGATCGAATGTCTTACCAGATGACAGGCCAAGTCACGGTCGACATGCCAAATAATGATGACAGAAATGAGATGGGCAGGAAAATCGTGGCGACCACAGTCAGGAATGCAGAGTTGTCGGACTGTGTCGCATTCGTGATGTTGAACTCCAGCTCGATTAAGTTGTTGAGTCCTGGTTCAAGTGTCAGCTGCTCCAGAACCAGCTTTGGAGGAAATATTGTTATGTGGAAAATGGTATGCAAAGGTTTGGGCTATGGCAGAGTTGAGTCGCCTGAAGCGAGCGAGCCCTAGGAACCGCACTTACGTTCGGTGAGCCCATCAAGGGTCGAATCGAATTGTTCAAGATCGTCGACGGCGTCGTCCATGTCGAACCACAAAGGATCTTTCTGTTCGTTCTGAGGCACATCATCCTTCAACTTCTGAAGCTTCTTGAAGGATCGAGTGTGAAAGTGCAGGTATTCCTTCATCTCGTAAATGCGATCTACCTCGGCATGCATACGTCGAGTTCTTATCTTGACTGGTAAACGCCTGCCGTGGCTGTTAATCTCAGCTTCGTCCAGTCGAGCAAGAACTTCGCCAATGATGTTCTGCCAGTCTGTAAGCAGGTAGTAGAGGCGTGAGAAAGTCCAGCATATGCCCTCTTCGTCTTCGCGAGCCTGATCGAAGTCGTTGTCTCGCCACAAGTAATCGAACAACAATCGTGTAACGATGTGTTCGCTGACGGGAGTCGGTCTTGTGAAAACGAGCGTCACTGATACTTTTCGGTCTAGTCGGCATGCTCCACGGCCGCAGAACCAGACACCAGTCCGAAATTTGAACGTGTCCATCGGTGGGAGACCTTTCTCCTCCCAGTGAGGAGGTTCCATATCGACAGACCAGTAGTAGACTTGTGGCACATTCATATGGCTGTCGTAGAGTAAGCACCTCCCAATGCAGCCAAGATTAAGATGCATTCGTACTCTATTATGAACGTCCAAGGCACCCATTGACCTCGCTTCGAGGCCTTCTCTGGGAACTGCCTGAGGACATAAGCAACGTTAGCAAGACTTGAGACGCTCCAGGAGTATATGGTGATGCAAGAATAGTTCCCATCATACACAATGGATTACACTCGTTCCCCTAGGGGTTCGTATGACTTACATGGTGCTGGCAAACTGAACGGCTCGGTCGAGTTCGGCAATTTCCTGCCAATTGTCTTCGAGGCAAGAGTGTAGTACATCGCCAAGCCACTCCTGGTATCCGTTGACAGCGATGATCAAAGGGTCATTTGGATGTGCGCTGACTTGTTCCTCAACAAGACGTGCAAAGCGGCCGGCCTCGCGTGGGCTGTATATTTGGACTTCGCTATACTTTGTCGCGCTGCGCCTGTGTCCGACGCGGATAGCAACAGGGCCCCGCGGAGATTCCCAAGTTGGACGTCGCCTATGTGGGCGTCTTCTGTGTGACATACCGCCTGGCGGGCTGCACGCTCGAGACGTGCTGTGAGACTGTGCTGGCTCCTGTTGTGTTGTTAATCGCGCCCAGAGTAGGGGCGGAGGACGTCGTTGCTGCTCTGACTACATGTATGCTCCTGCGCGTTCTGACACTCCGTGGCTGCCAGAATAGGCACTGAACAATATTAAATCCCGAGACAGCTGCACACATCTTGCTGACACCTCCCTTGGTATGTCGCGTCGTGTCGCGTCCTCTGCGATCAGCTGGCTGTGGCGCCGAGCTGCTCTCAGCCGCCGGCAGCAACAAGGGCAGGTGCCATCGTGACCGGGCTACTCCACCGTGTGCAACCGCTATCCAAGATACAAAGGCATGGTGAATCCTTTGAATGCTCTTGTATGAAGCTGTTCAGTTTCAGCGGAGAGGACAGCGGCCGCCAAGCATTGGGATCTGGATGCGATTGCGGCGGAGTGCAAGCCCAATCATGATTCGTCCGCTCCTGCCCGAATACCTTCTCACTGCTAACCACATTCATCAAATGCGCTCACACCAAGAACCTCGTGAGTCGTCCGCCATGGCAGAACCTCTGGAGCACAGCATCTCTCGCTGGTGCATCTCCTTCCTGGACGGCATGACACCACCGTGATCAGTGCTCGACGCGCACCAATTTTCATCACCACCGAAACCAGAGCCAAATCACAGCGCCAAGGACGTTACCGCTGTCGTCAACCTTGCAATCTCCGCACCTCCCGGGCGCCCGGGGGAAACACCAACAGGACATCTGGCTGCACTGCGCTCTTACAGAAGGAGCTCGCTCGCGGTCGATCTGAGATATTGCTCTGGCGTGAAAGCGCAATCACCTTTCAGACATCAACATTCCAGTTCAATCTGGTAGTCAACATTCGAAGCCATGGAAGACATGGACATGGGCTCGGGTTCCAGCTCGAGCATGTCGACGTCAATGGTCTTCACAACCGATCATTCCACACCTCTCTACTCATCGGCATGGACACCTTCGACCACAGGCGCTTACGCCGGCACCTGCATTTTCTTGATCGTGCTGGGCATCATCAGCCGAGTACTGCAAGCCTACCGGCATGTGCTGGAAACGAAGTGGCACGACAAAGCAGTCAAGCGCAGATATGTCAAGGTCGCAAGTGAAAGCGCATCAGAACGCGTCGACCCATCCATGGAGAAGAGCGACGAAGCGGTCCTGACTACTCGAGGCATGGACGAATCGGTGCGGGTGTTGCATGCAGGGCGGAGTGCAGTGCAGTCGAAACCATGGCGATTCAGCACAGACCTACCAAGAGCGAGTATCTACGTGGTACAGGCTGGAGTAGCGTACTTGATGTAAGTGTCACCTTGGGAGAGACCTTGATGTGGCGTTGCTCGTAGGCAACGGCTTCGTGTTTGTCTTCAAACTGATGGGCTTATCTTCCCCGTGGCCTCGGCGACGTGTTTGTGGTCCCTGACGCACAAATTCCGCGGAAAGAAACTGATGAAGACCTTCGCTAATTTTCTCAAACAGGATGCTGGCGGTTATGACATTAAATGTTGGCTATTTCCTTTCAGTGCTTGCAGGACTCTTCGTCGGAGAGCTTGCAGTAGGGCGTTACACGGTCATCGAAGACGAGCATCATTGAGCAGAACGATGCGCGCCATAATTTGTCAATAATGTATTCACTGCTGATAGACATGAAAGACCACGACTTCAAACAGATTCTCACAGAATTCTATGAGCGACATCAGCACCACCAGCGACGCTGTCAAGCTTCCGGGATCTCGGCCTTCGCTGGGAGTCCTCCATTGTGCATCAGTCGTTGATGGTATATCAGAGGACTCTCTAGAAAGCCAGTCGCCATAGTTACGCCTTCCCGTGCACGTTCGCGGAGCTCGCTGTCCTCTAATATTTTCGATCATCCGCGCAAGATTCGCTTCTGAGGGCGGCAGGTGCATCTGTAAGAAGACGAGGACTTCCATGCGGGCGCACCTACGAGTCACACCGTGTACTGCAGTCTTGGCCGCCGAGGATTGCAAATGTCTCGAACGGTCCTGATCATACCATTGCCGTGAATGCTCCGTCAAGAAAGGTGGCCAGCCGGGGTATTGGTCACAAGTGTGAAGAAGCGTTGATACCACACAGAATATGTGACACGAGGAATTGGTTTTCTTCACCATGCTCCACTGGCTACCGCGCATGTTCTTCCTGAACTTGGATGGCTACGAAGCGGTCACTGGTCGTGCCGGGAGCAGAATGCTGGCGCCGGCAGAAGCGCGGCAAGGGCGTCAGCAAGCGATTTAAGCGATTTTAAGCCTTGCTTGGACCTCTCAGGCTCAAATTGCCGAAAGAACCGCCGATATGTTGACGATCTGACACCAAGCAAGGCTGTGACTAAAATCCGTAGGGATGCGCTTAGATAGGAAGTGATGGCAGGCGTAAAGAATCAATTTCGAATTCGATTACGATCGAAGTCTTCTACAGGTAAGGAACAAGGGACAAGAAGCGTGCAAGCAACATGCCAATACTGCTGCTGTCGCTGCGACTGTCGCTCTTCTCCCAAGACAACGCTAGAATCTCTCTAGAAATTTGGTAGAAAAGCTTACCCTAGTGCACGCCGAAGTGGAGCCAAGCTCCACGCAACTCAAGCATCTGCAAGAAATCGGTCCGAGAATGCTTGTTCACTCTCAGCAGCCGCATCATCATTGGCTCTCACACCACAAACACGTCCAGTCTGACTTTGGGTGCCCTGGAGATTTGATCGGGAGAAGCGTGTCTCGCATGGTGCACTTTTCGCGGAGCAAGACTGGGAGCACAGCGCGGGACTCCGTGCGGAGGACAACCAGCAACTGGCCAAATATAAAATGCGGAGCACGACCCAAGCAAGCGAGTGTAGGTCTCTTCTCTTTCCCTTCCTTCGTCTCTGACTGGAGAATCGGGAGGGAAGCTTTTCTTGACTTTTGGTTGCTTGGTCATACTCTGTGTCCTCATGATGGCTTCTGAAAAGAAAGAGGTCGACGCGACCTTGCCAACGTACACCGAGAATACTGCTGAGGATAGGACTTTTGAAGAACGACGCAATATGTCTGACGGCGAAATCAAAGATGCGATTCGAAAGGGCAGTGTGCCCAAGGTTCAATCCACCAAGGAGGCCCTGGAGATCGCTCACGCGGGAGGCTGGGAAGCAGATGCTTTGATCGAACAGCTCGAGAAGGAACTCGCGGAGCAAGGCGACAAGAAGGGCATGTTTGATCTTGAGTTCAACAATCCAAAGCACTTTACCTGGCTTCTTGTGGCGTTCGCTTCCATGGGTGGTCTCCTATCCGGATTGGATCAATCTCTGATCTCGGGAGCGAATCTGTTCTTACCGGATGATCTGGGTTTGAACTCTTCCCAAAACTCGCTCGTCAACTCTGCAATGCCACTGGGCGCTGTCGGTGGTGCATTGATTCTGTCTCCTTGCAACGAGTTTTTCGGACGTCGATGGTCGATCATCATCAGCTGTATCCTCTACACAATCGGTGGAGCTTTGGAAGCCGGCTCGATGAACTATGGCATGATCGTTGCTGCAAGAGTAATCCTTGGCTTGGGTGTTGGCTTGGAGGGTGGTACCGTGCCAGTCTATGTCGCGGAGACTGTCGAGCGCCGTCTTCGTGGTAACATGGTGTCACTCTATCAATTCAACATCGCCCTTGGGGAAGTACTGGGATATGCTGTCGCAGCGATGTTCGTGTCTGTCCGTGGCAACTGGCGCTACATTCTTGGATCTTCCCTGGTCTTTAGCACCATCATGTTAATCGGTATGCTTTACATGCCAGAGAGTCCTCGTTTCCTCATGCACAAGGGTCGTGTGCTTGATTCTTACAGAGTCTGGAAGCGCATTCGCGGAACTCGCACTGCTGAGTCGAGAGAGGAGTTCTACGTCACGAAGATTGCTGCCGAGGAGGAGAAGGCCGAAGTTGCTGCTGGATCTGGATCTCGAAGGGCACCATGGCTCGACTTCTTCACCAAGCCTCGAGCTCGACGTGCCATTGTGTATGCCAACATTATGATCTTCCTGGGTCAATTTACGGGAATCAACGCCATCATGTACTACATGAGTGTACTGATGTCGCAGATGGGGTTCGACAAGTTAGAGGCAAACTACATGTCGCTCGTAGGAGGTGGCTCTCTGCTTATTGGAACCATTCCAGCCATTTTCCTGATGGAGACTTGCGGACGACGATTCTGGGCCATTGCTATGCTGCCAGGTTTCTTCGTTGGTCTGGTGCTTGTAGGTGCCTCGTATCACCTCGAGATCGGGTCTTCAGCATCTCTGGGTGTTTACCTCAGCGGTCTCATCATCTATGAGCTCTTCTTCGGATCCTACGCGACATTGACTTGGGTCATTCCAGGTAAGTAACACGAATGTGACCGCCGATCGGCATGACTGACCAATTCCTACAGCTGAAGTATATCCCACATACCTTCGATCCTACGGCATGACGACTAGCGATGCCCTTCTCTTCCTCTGCTCCTTCATTGTCACCTACAACTTCACAGCGATGCAAAACGCCTTCACCAAGACCGGTCTCGCACTCGGCTTTTATGGAGGCATTGCAGTCCTTGGCTGGTTCTACCAGGTCTTTTTCATGCCAGAGACGAAAGATAAGACGTTGGAAGAAATTGATGAGGTGTTTCAAAAGCCGACTTGGGATCTTGTGAAGGAGAATGCTGCGAATGCTCGGCAGACAGCCGTGGATCTGTGCCACTTCAGATTCCGGAAAGTATTCATCGACAGCGCTACACCACGTCGTGCGAGTATTGTTGAACAACTCAGGGATGACAAAGCGTAACGGAGAGTTTAGTTGATTGGGGAAAGAAGATTGCCGAAGTGGATGGTGACGTTCGCTGCAGAAGCGTAGACCAGCTTCAAAGCATGCACTTCCGTGAATGCCTAGATCAGATACGCTACCCATTTTAGTTCTTGCTTGCAGAGACCCAATACGTGCAAACTTGAAGAGATGGTCGTGCTTCTTGAGGTTGTCTCTCGGTAAATCTGTTCCCGTCCTGAAGGCTTTCAGTGACGGCAAAGCATCTTGGTACGTTGAAATGGCTTCACATAGAGAGCTCTGGAGGCATGCTCCAGCTGATTTGAAGTACCGGCGACTGGATGTGCTTTGGTAGTGTTTCCTGACAGCAACTGGCGGTTGATCGTTTGCGGCCTTTCTTTCTATGCCCTCATTGACAGCAAGTCGAAGCTGTCTTTGCTTCGCACCACGTTCTGCGACTCTAGATGAGAGTCTGCGTGATTATCTTTGTTTCAACCACGTCTTCTGGTCCAGGTCAAGCGGGCGGCGTGTCGTGGATGACAACGAGAAGGAATTTGGCATCTATTCCTCGGTGAGCCTGAATACACCAAGCGCATACTCTGAATGTGCTTACCTGGCACAATGACCATCTCATTCTTCTTGGTCCGGACTCTCAATAGCTTTGCCTCGTCGCTCTCGCCATTGAGCTCCTCAATCATAGCCCCAGTGCTTTGCACAAACTTGAAAACCAAGCTTGCGACCTCATCTGCTTTCCGAGTCCCTCTCTTTTTGGCTTGCCCGTCTATACCATTGATCTGACCCTGACCACCACCTGAGCTTTGTGGCCTTGAAGATTCTTCCTCCTCAACATCTTCGTCCGTCACCAGTCCGGAGCTGCGCACGATAGCTCCAGTATCGCGAGATAGAATCAATGTGCCTTGCACGCCAGGCCGGTGCGAGAGTCGTGCCAGTAGATTTTCGGTCTCTGCTGAAGGTGAAAGTTGCTGCATGATCGCCCGCGTACTGAAGGTGCGCCCTATCGTAGCAACATTGTTGTCATACACAAACACATCAACGCGAGGAGGCAAGGAGGGTTGACCAAAGCTCGGGCGATTCTCGGCATCATGAACGCCGATTCCGACCAGCACAAATCTCTGGCTCTCCGGTTTCATTTCTCTTCCTTCAGGCGACACTATCCTCCATGATCCCAGCACCACTGCACAATCCAAAACTCAGAAGCGCGGTTTTCATAGACTGCGGGTGAGGAAGGTGCAATGGGATCTTCTGCGAAGAAAAAGAAAGAGAAGAAGGCAGATTTTCAAAAAGCGAAATTGAAAGTCGGCAAGGCTCGACCCAAGAACACCAACGCAACCGATACCAGCTTTCAAGCCAAGTCAATCGTTCTCAAACAGCAGAATCTCAGTGAAGGAAGCCGCGATGCTACAGCGCTGTTCGATCACAATCTATCGCTCCTCAGCAGCAAAACCGATATCCAGCGACGCGATGCTTTGATCTATTTAACGACAGCTGTTGCTGCCTCACCAAATGCTTTGCCAAGGCCCGCCTCGCAGATTGTCGAGAAGGCGCAATCGTTGATTCTGGACGGAAGTTCTAGTGTTCGAAGTCAAGTTCTAAAGCTGTTCAAACTTTTGCCAGCGAATCAACTGGGCGATTTGTCGCGGACGTTGCTCTTCGCTCGAACGGGAATGACCCATTTGTCCAACGATATTCGACTGGATGCTCTCGACTTGTTCGATTGGTTGATGGAAACGAACGGTGAAGCAGCCGTGAGCGTGGCAGGAGGCTGGGCGAAGACCTTGCGCACCTTCCAGACTGTCCTTTCATGGCAGGATGCGGCGCATAATGCTCCTGCCGCAAATGGGAACTGGTCAGCTGCGAAGTCAAGAAGCAATCTCGGTAGCAACAAGCTTTTGGTAAGTGAATCTTTGTAGCAGTGCAGACAACTCGGTAGTTGTGGCATGGCTGGGCTGGGCTCGTGACGTTACAGCACTTCAGTGTCGAAAATCCCGCCCAGAGTCGCAAATGACTTGCTGACACTATTTCCAGGTGCATCAGCTCAACTCGCTCTCTCGCCTCCTGACTATGGGTTTGACTCAAGCTCCGGTAGATTCGCAGGCTCAAGCCAAGCGAGCTGCCGAGCTGTTCCCACTGTGGCAGACTGACGCCCATATGGTGCCGAAGAAAAGCAATCCTTATGGCTATCTCAATCTTTTTGGAGCCCCGAGAGATGTTGAGAGCGAGGTTTATGATAACGCTGAGGAAAGAGCGAACGTGTTTGTTGAAATTGGACTCGACCAAGTCTTCGAACATGGAGTGCGGGAAGCGAAAAAGGAAGGCGGTGAGGTAGGTAGAGCAGCCAGCGCGGTCGATAAGGCTTTACGTCTTCTCAAATCAAAATGACCTGTTGAATCTACCGCGCGACGAGTCCTGAGCTGCCGAACTGAAATAGACCGCACCTTCACCAGAGGCCCATCTCGGAGCGTTAGCCAGCACGGCTTCGCATCACTCACTTTCGCGGAGCTCACTAGACCCTTTCACATGCAAACGGGCCGAGACCGAGCCGTGCCAAGCTTGGTCTGAAATCACGTCAATCGCGGATTTCGCGCACGACTCGAACAACGATCTCGCACGAACGCACCATGGCTTCCGCACTGGACGCTCTACCGTCCATCAAGGACAATGCGTCCGCGTGTATGGCCCTCAAATGTACCGAGAGCGAGCTTTTCGAGCTGAAGAAAACGGTCAAATTCGAAATGGCGCAAGAAGTCTACAACGGTCAGGCACTGCTGAAGGTCACCAAGCTCAAAGAATTTGATCCTGACCGCAAGCACCGAGACGACGTCCGGCGTCGCGTAGCACAGTCTGATCCTGTGGCGCGAGAGCCATTTCAAGGATCGCGTTGGCCTGCTGCAGACAGGATTGCATACCAAGAAGGATCTCTTGTCAAGGTCATGGACTGGATCATCCGTACGCACAGTTTTTCATACAAACATGCCGAGGAGAAGAAAGCAGGCAAGCGCCTGATGCGCAGTGGCGACCGCAGTACTGCTGAGCCTGAGGAGAAATCGCCAGCACCTAAGAAGACCCGGTAAGTGCCCCATTGAAAGCAGAATTTACTCATGCAACAACACTCACTCAATCATGCCAATTCTAGACATTCGAGCACCGCATCGGTCTCGTTTCCATTCTTGGGGCCCTCTCGATTCATGAGTATGTATGAATCGTGTCATATGCCGGATGTTGTCGTTGCCTTCATGGCCTGAGAGTGGCAACAGCGACAACGAAGCGCTGCAGAATGTGACGAACGAGCGAATGTCAACAGCACATGTACTTTCTATAGCCGATCAGCCTTGGCAATAATAGCATGATTATTGTGGTCGTTCTCCTCGTTTGTCCTCGGAATCGCTAATAGACTTCGACTTCTGCCACCTTAAGAACAAGCTTAATACTGTACTGTACGCCACTCGGGAGTCGGGATCGGATCGAATTGAGAAACGACAATTTCCGGAAGACAAGCGAGTCAGTCATCACAGGCACAACGTGGCGTAGATAATAAGAAGCAAGCAAGAACCCTGTCCACTATAGAAGAACGCTACAATAGTGTAAGGGATGTGTTGCTTGCTAATTATTAGCGATAATCGAGCTTTAGGTTAGAAGTCTAAGAGATTTCTACTTTCGGCTAGGAACTATCGAATCTCGTTATCTGTAAGTTTGCTTAGATAAGCCTGTAAAGCGTAGCGGAACGTTTTCCGGATGCTCCGTAGATCAATTTTTTTTCGTTAATAGAAAACCTTTACTAGACTTAAACTTTAGAAGTGAAATAGGATAACGGCGGCTCCGATAAGTTAGATATTAGAGCTATAGCCGCGCTTGCTATTTGCGAATTTTTCATTTATTATAGCAGAGCGAAGATAGAATACGAGTTCCTATTCGGATTTTATAGGCAGAGAGGCTAGACAGATAGATAGGCCCCGTCTACTTGCTACCGATTATAGTATAATCGGTTAGATTATAGAAGCCGTATAATCGGTAGAGATTATAGACCTCTTATAATCGATTATAAGTAGGCAATAACAGGTGTTATAACCTATATAATAAGCCTCCGCGGCGCTAGCGGCTCGGCTCTATAGCTCTATATTATAGTCTACCTTCTACCTCTTGCTTTATAGTAGTATACGAGAAGGAACGAAGCGGTATATAGCAGCGGTAAGGAAAATCGGCGTACGATAGGCGGTAAGGACGAGCGCTCGTTCGAAGGTGCTTCTAGGTATAGTCTTCTATATAAATATATAGTTAGTAGAGCAACTAATCTCTTAGTTTGAAGCTACTAGAACGCTAATACTATAGTGTCTCAATCGAGCGATTCGTAGCCTTCTTAGGCTTCTTAAGCACCGCCGAAGACACCTACAACGAAGGCAACGAAGGCAACGAAGGTAACGAAGACCTCTCGGAAGCGTATAGCGACAGCTATACCGCTTGTCGACAATAGCAAGTAGCGGAAGACACCGTAGTATTAGACTACGGACTAAACCGAGTACTTCCTCGAGCAGTTAAATAAGCTAAAGAAGGTCGGTCGTAGCACTAAAGCTAACAACTTCTAGCTGCCGGACCTTCGAGACGTAGCAACGTTAATAAACAACAAATATAGCACGGACCGGACTACTAAACAGCTGAAGAACAAGTGGTCTTCTATTAAGCGCGATTAGGGTACGTAGATTGCTTATTTAAAGCATATAAGCGGCTAGAATAGTATACCTCTAACAGCCGAGTCGGACGTAGAAGACGCTTATTTTAACGATAATCCGAGGTATGCTAGCTTCCGTAACGAGTTGCCTAAGTATTATAATATTATAGAGGAACTAATCGGCTCGGAGATAGCTATCGGCGACTATATAATGTCTAACGAGGCTCTTAGAGAGAGCGAGGCGAGTAATAATAGGTCCGAGGCTAATAAGGTGACCGCTACGGAGGTTGCTGCTACGCTATTTACGGAAGAACAGCTAATAGTGTTACGTACCGCGAAGGTAGAGGAAAAGCACTAAAAGAGGATATAGAAGGAGGCCGATCGGGTTTATAAGAAGGCGGAGGAAGTAAACGACAAGAATCTAACTATTGTAAAGTCGTTATAGAAGGCTTTCGAGCCTATAGTACTAATAGTCGCCGAAGTAGTAAAGGATAGCAAGGAAGAACGTACTTTAGCGAAGAAGTTAGCGGACGAGCAACGCGCTAACGCTCTAGCGGCTACTAAGTCTAGCTCTGTTGTTAGCAACGTTACAAAGCGGCTATTAGATAAGAAGACGTTTAAGGACATAGATATAGGGTCGGCTAATCGCATGTTATTAGTTCGCGAGTGTACGAAGAAGAATAGGGAATTTGACTATTATAAGGTCGCTTCGAGTATAAACTAGCAGCAGTTTAAGGAATACTTCCTATCCGTATTAACGGACATTAAGGCTAATATCCGCTAGAATATATACCTGCAGCAGATAGAAGGTGGATACTTTCTATTAGGATATAGGCAATAGGTTAGTATTATTGTTATTAATAAGAATAGTTAGAAATAGCAGAAGAAGTAGATATTTACTCTACAAGTTTGCACTTTAATGCGAGAATTCGTAGATTAGGCGCAGAATTTTAGTGCAAATGCACGCTAACGTCTATACTATTAATTTGTATAGAGGTGTTGTTAGTTTTTACTAACAAAATATAGTTACGTACGAGGTGCTATTATATACGAAAAAGCCATCTCCTATCAACTCGAATCCTAATATTACAAAAAGCCTGCTAAGACCCCGCTATTTTAACGTACGAGAATTTCGAGATAGGCGGTCGAGAGGTACTAATATCGTCCGAATATAACGGTTAAATCGTAGAAACAGCTTCCTTACCAAATTCCTTACTAAAAGCAGTGTCTATTGTTCGCTATAACATTTAACGACTATATTACATTCTCCGCTATACCCTTACTAGCACTTCTTGCTTCTACGCCCTTATATCGAGCCCTATTCTTAACTAATACGCATTATAATTAGCTATTATCTACTTCGCTATTCTGTCTCGATAATCGGCGTAACTCTCGTCCTTACCCTCCTTAGTATAGCGCCTATTATCGATATAAACCTCCGCTATATAATCCGCCTCTCGTGCGGCCTATAGTTCCTCGTCCGATAGAACAAGACCTAGTTTAGAAGAGAGCGGTTGCCGACTATTAGAAAGGATGAAATTATAGATAACGCAGTAGGCGATAACAAAGCGACTTTGTTAAGCAATTAGCTAGGTAGTTAGATACTCCTTAATAATATTGAACCTCCGGTTTATAACCCTAAACGCCCTCTCGATATAGTTACGAAGCTAAGTATAGCGCAGGTTGTATATCTCCTTATAATTCTCGGGTCGTTCTTCTGCCTCGCCTTGCTTACGAAGGTAATATCGAGTCTTCTAATATAGTACGAGAAGCCGTAGATCTTTGAACGAATAACTACTATTAGCGAGATAGAAGTAGCCCTCTAGTACGTCGAAGCCTAACTAATAGGCCTTCCTTAATACAGTACTATCTGTCGCTAACCCTTCGTAACTAGGCATTACAAACAGGAAGCGCAATAAGGAGTTATAGGCCGCTATTACATTCTACGCAATATAACCCTTCCGATAACGCTATATATTAGCCTCGATTTTAGGGATACTAGCCTATAATAGAGTGCTATTAATAGCGCCTATTATACCCTTAAAGTATAGCTAGAACTTGCCGCCGTTAGCACCCTTAGACTATAGCGGTTTATCGTCCTTCTATAGCAATTTAATCTAGTCCTTTGCTATACGATAGAAATAGCGCGATACAGCATATATTATCCTTCTCGGAGTCTCTTTTGCTACACTAAAATCGTTAGCAAGGACAGTATAGCTCTAATTATAGCCTATAGCGACGAGAAATAGTATAACTCTTGCCTCTACTAAATACTTCTTGCCTTCTAGTCTATACTTCCGCAACTTATTAATTAACGCTCGCAATACCGGTTGCCTTAGCCTCGTACGCTCGTAATAGTACCTCTTTAGTCTATTTAATATCCGAAACGCCTCTTTCTCTATCCTATTTCGCTCTATTTAAACCGTCGGACGTCTAGGCGGTCGATATAATGCACGGCGGCGCAATTTAGGTAGTTCTTCTAGTAGTAGCGGTATTGTAGCGCAAACCGCGCTTACTAATAACACTGTTACTAGTAAGCGCTCTATTTCCGACCTTCCTACGCCTATCGAGCCTCCGACGCCTCTTATATCTTCTCGACCGCTATACTATCGAATTCGCGACTTTAGAAAGAGGTAGATACTACGGTACTAAGCGGAAGCCTAAATTGGCGTACGGATAGGCGTAAAACCTCCTCGAGAGTAGGTTATGCTAATCTTACTATATATAGCATAATCTTAGCGAGATTACGAGTATAGCGAGACATCTATAACACGATAATCGATTATAATAAGGCGGTAGAGATTATTGGAAGAGGTGTTATAATCTATGGACCGATTATGCCATAATCGGTGGCAAGTAGACGGGGCCTATGGCAGCAGCAGAAATTTGGGGTGATTTTCCTGCATGCAAGCCTGTATGTTTCATATTAGTTGCGATAGCTGCTGCACAAGCCACACAGCATGCGCGACGAGGACGAGGATCAAGACGCAGCCACCACATGAGATGTTCAATGGTTCGTGAGAATATCTCGTGCTTTTTGCCATGGATGTCGCGGCTTGCTGCTGCTGTCTAATCGCTATCGTGCTCGTGGCACCGGCGTGGAAATGCGTGGGAGTCGGGAGTCGTACAGCGTCTCTACACTTCGGAGTGAAAGTGACTAGGCGCGGACCGCTGAATACCAAGTTTCTATTCGCTGTAATCCTTGAGAAACAAGGATTTGGTGAATACCCACTTTCACTCCGAAGTGTTCAGACGCTGTACAATGGCATGCAGAAACTTGCTGTCATTGAAAGTGCACGGATGTCTGTGACTGGATGGAAAGACGGTGAAATCTTAGGTTGGCTAAGAGTTCGTATTGTTCAATCGCAAAAGGTGGTCTATCGCAAGTGGTCGCTTGCTATCAAGTCGTTGAGAAGGAAGTGGGAGAATTTTGCATTTTCGATCGGCTTGAACATCAACGGCCAAGACTTGCCACTCGCCACGTAGAAACTCGTGGGCTTGTCTGGTGGGCCGGTGGATTTCCGGGTGGAAGTGGTTGTTGCTATTCTGAGCAACAGATCCTTGCGCTCAACGACTTTATTGAACGAGCGGATCTGAGTGCAAGGTAGGTACACTGCAGGATGTATAGTGTCCAGCAGCACACAATCACATCGTTTATGCTGTGGACTTTCACTGACAGTTTATAGAGCTCGTTTATAGGAAATGGCACAGTTATGATGAGGGTGAATGAAGAAATGCATTTTTACCACCAAGGTGGAAGCTTTGATAGCGTCTCGAGAAGAATTGCATTAGTACCGTATCTATGCTGTCAGCGGCTGCTCGCGTCTGCGAGAACGTTGGCATAACGTGCGTTGTCGGTGAGCGCCGAGCGGCATGATTGATACTGTAGATGGATGAACGATAGAAGCCCTATAGTTTAAACTGTGCGAGCTGGTCGGTGAAGGTGATAGCTGCGTGTACAACAGGCATGATGGCCAAGTCATGAAAGTTTCACGCAGCCTTCCATTGAGGAGGTACATGGAAGTATGGATAGCTCTGCGAGAGGCAAAAGAGGCGTGGTGGAGGTCGTGGCACGGCGCGCTCCAACGGTTGGACCGACGTTTCATCGCCTTGATGTCTTCGCCGTGCCCTGCTACACGCAGCACATAGAGCTCACGCTATGGGTGTAGGAGGTGTTTGAAAGTCGATGACCAAGAGATCCTCTCGGCGTGCTGGTTTGGTTAGGAAACGCGCCTGGCCAACGGGATCCTGCACGCCGCATGTTCCGGCGCTAAGGGGGATGTTCATCTCGTTGGCGAGCAGAGGAGGCTCGTGGGTGTTGAAAGCCACAGTCTTACAGCTGGGATGGTGGTTCATTAAAACAGAGATAAGGGCGCAGTGGGGAGGTCGGTACGCTTGCGCCGACGAGGAAGCAGGAGATTGTGCTGTGCGGGCCGTCATCAAATGGTACGACGCGGGCACAGTGACATCCGGCGAAGGGCTCAATACAGTAATAGAATCATGTATGCATGCATATAGCGGTAGTAGTGGTAGTGACAAGCAGTAGCAGGGCTTGTGTGGAGGCAAAATGCAAAACGCAAAATGAAAAATGGATTATGTCATTATGGGCGCCGGCGGTAGGCGGTTTGCAGCGTAAAGCTATTCGGGAATTGGAAAGCGTGTCCCATAGCACTGATAGCAGTAGATATGCAATTCTATACGGCTCGCTAAGCAGCAGCCCCGTGTAAGAGCGGAGTGATGGATCACAGCATTGGCATTGGCATTGGCATGGGCAATCCACGGCCAGCCTCCACTAGCGACTACTGTGCCAGTGTGCCTGTGCCTGTGCCTGTGCCTGTGCCCGGCTAGCACCGAGCACTGTCTAGCATCTCATCCTTCTCGCGGACCACGACTTGCCGGCACCACCGTCCACGAAATCCACGCGCTCGCCACAAATTCCACGCTTGTGCAGGCGCATCGCATCGCATCGCGTCGCGTCGCATCGCATTGGAGTCTTGGAGAGCTGCGGTGGGATTCGTGAGCTGTGCTGGCCATTGCGCCTGCCGTTCGTGCGGTGAAGGAGGCGCGAGGCGACGCGAGGCTGCTGCAGTTGAAACAGAGGCGCGCACTTCCAGCGCTTTGGTCTGCTTGCTTTGCGAGCGTCACTGTGCGCAGCATTCGCTGCGGAAGGGAAGGGAAGGGAAGCTAGCCACTCCTGGTCCCTCACGCTTTCTGCGCTGTCTTGGAACTTTGGCCTCTACACCTTACTGAACCGTCCCCAGCACCACCACGGCCACTCGCTGCCAACCCCCCCTTCCCGCCCCATCACCACGCCGGCCGTCGTCCACTGGTATTGTTCGCATACCGTCACGCTCGCTTCCACGCCCACGCCCACGTCCACGCCGCCGTCGCCGTCGCATTCCCCTCCGCCGGTCTGCACTGCACTAGGGAGCGCCGTCCGGAGACTCTATTCGCGCACGAACTCCACCTTGAAAGCCGTGACGCGGCCAGCAGCACAACGACTTCTGCATCGCAGCGCCAACGAAGCATCCGACCAAAGTGCTGTACACATAATCAAGCAGCTTTAGAATACGGCCACCAAGAGGTGTGCCTGACGCCAGAGAAACACGATGCCTCCAACCACACCGCGCTTGCGCATTCTTTCAGGTGCGTTTCAACGAAGCCAAGCGCACGCAATCTGCCTTGCCTTGCCAGCCACACCGAAGCTCTGCTCTGGCAACAGCTTGAGCTGCACGGCAATAACACGTTGCACCGCGCGGAATCCCGCTGTCATGCCTCATCGACTAACTGTGTGCACAGTGGGCGGCAACGCGGTCTCTGCCTTCTTATCGTGGCGTTTATCGGCCACGCAGGCCTGCGATGTGACGCTGGTATGGAAGAACGGCTTCGAACAAGTGCACCAGTACGGCATATCATTTAGGTACGCATCAACTCAACTCGTGACTTCCAAATTTGGCGCCTGCCTTTCTGACACATGCTACAGGTCAGACAAGTTTGGCAATGAACGATTCAAGCCTAGACATGGTATGCATGCATCCCGTGATTGCAGCTTAAACCCTCAGCGCTGACACGACAATAGTGGTGCGATCTCCTGAAGAAGCTGCCGGCGCCTCCAGGGCTTCATTCGACTATGTGCTGCTCTGCGTCAAGGCACTACCGGATGTGTACGATTTGGCCTCGGTCATTGAGTCCGTAGTTGCGCCGCAACATACGTGCATCCTGGTAAACACTACCCACTCCCTGGGCATCGAGTCGTATCTCGAGCAACGCTTTCCGACCAACGTCGTCCTCTCGCTTGTATCCGGCGTCTCTATAATACAGCTCGGCGCCAGCGAATTTGAGCACAAGGGATCATCGGAGCTATGGGTCGGCGCAGCCAACAAGAATCCATCAATACCTGCATCTATCCAAACAGATATGGCGGAGGCGCTGTCGATGACTTTGAAGTCTGGCCAAGTGGACTGCGAAGTATCCACCAACATCCGGCAACAGCAATACGAGCGGATGATTGGGTATGTACCTATGCACATTCTAACCGTAATCTCGTTGCTAACACTCACAGACCCATTGCTTTTCACCCAGCGAGCGTTCTATTCGAAACTCCATCTCATGCCGAACTCCTCGAAAAGACCGGCGCCCGCTCGTTAATCATCGGCATTATCGATGAGCTTATCAGCATTGCAAAGAAGCAAGGCTGCGACTTCCACCCAGAGTTCCGCGAACAGACGATGGAAAAGATGATTGTGCCATCGGAGATAAAAAGTATCATGTATCAGGATTTTACCGCCAGAAGGCCCATGGAAGTGGAGACTTACCTGGGTACGCCTATAAAACTAGCGCAGGAGATGGGACTCCAGGTCCCACGCATCGAGACTCTCTACGCTCTTTTGCACAACGTCAACATCGTCAACCAGAATAGGCCGGTGGGACCCCCATCACCCTCCGCACAGGCCACTCCAAGGATGTCGTCAGTCCCAGTTGCAGCACCTGCCAATGGCGGCTATGGCAATGGAAGACCACCTCCAAACGCCATGAACGGTCGCCCCATGCCCAATGGTATGCGACCAGGCAGCAGAGCGCTTTCAGCGGCCGGCGGGCCGCCACCACCGATGCGAAGAGGTCCGCCCTCAATGAGTGGATATCCACCACCTGCCAGAATGAACGGAAATGGTTACGGTCCACCACGAGGTCCTCCGCCTCACATGGCGAGGCGACCGTCGTTCGAGGGCAACGACTTGGAAGAATTCAGCCACCTTATGCTTTACGACAACATGAATGCTGAGGACGGAGCGTACGATGTCCTACCGCCTTCAGCTTCTGGAGATCTCGCTATGCGTGAACGGGAACTAGCATTGCGTCAAAAGGAGCTCGCCCTGCGAGAAAGAGAATACAACATGCGCAGAGGTGGTGGCGGCCGCATGCCTCCTCGCGCCAGAGACGACTTTGATGACGATGATGATGATGGCGAAGACTTCTTTGATCCAATGGCTAGCGGTGCTCCGCCCGGTGTTGATGTGGACAACCTCGACATGATGAGCGTTACATCTAGGAGAACACGAAAAGCACCGAGCGCGGGTCATTTACGCAGCAACCCAGAGCTTAGCGGAGTGCCAAACGCGCCAATGCGCCACAGCCGCAACCCAATGAGACGTGCTGGACCTGGAAAGCATCGAACGTCGGCTGCCATTATGGCTGACATGCCAGGGTTACGCGAAGAATTGATGAATAACCCATTGATGGGTTACTCCTCTGACCGCTTCGGCAGTGTAGACAGAATGAACATGGGCCACGAGTCAAGAGCAAATTCGCTGACCGCAGAACGTCTGAACGAGCTGAATGGACCTGGACCAGGTCCTGCACCCAACGGATATGGACCGAATGGATATCCAATGAATCGGCGTGGCAGTCAATCACCCGGCAATCCCTTAGGTCCTGGCGGACGGCCTCCTGGGCGACCCTCGCCACCCAATGGCTATGGTCCGCCTCCTCCGGGAAGGAACGGGCGCCCAAGTCCACCAGGCATGAGGCAACCCATGCCTCGCCACCCGCCAGGTCATGGCAACATGGTCGCACCGCATCAAATTGAACAACAGAATGGGGTGAGCAATCTTTACCCTCCAAAGAGCGGTCCTCCAAATCAAGTGCGCAGTCTGACAGGTTCTGCGAGCGCCAGCGCGGGGAGTGGTGATAGCAACCGCTCAGCACCCATCGATTCCGAACCTTCCGCCCATAGTTCAAGCAGCAGCCTAGGCCCACGAGCACAAGCGATTGGTGTTCGATAAGTCAGGCGCCTTCAACGTGGACAGCCCGCTTCAGCAAGTAGCACAAAACTCCTGCTGCGAAGCGCGTCAGCGTTTGATCACGAAATCAACGCTTAATTCTTCAGAGTGTTCCTCAGCATGGCATCTTCCGAGACGACAAAAGCTTTAATGACGGCCGTTTCCTAGGCGCCACTTGCGGCGCGCACACGGACACGCATACTATCTCATCAGTACCTCCTCGCGGACCGTCCTCACCGCGAATTTGACGAATGTCTTCACATTCATGACGGACGTAATACAGATCGGGCGGATCCCTACGCGCCGGCAATTCCTTGACTGCATACGAACCTCATCGTACATATACGGCATCTGGAGAGCATGGGGCGACGGAATGGCCTCTATAATCACATGCATTGACGGCGTTTTTCAATGGGAGCTGGACAAGGCGGTCAGTTCTGGAGGGATTGAAGCAACCCGCGAACGAGAGATCAAGCACAACAAGAACATCAAGAAACAGCTTCATCGACTACACATATCCTCTTTGTGATACTTTCCTCATTTGTCAGCTTCCGATGATCCCAAGTCTCGCACAGCTGCGTGACAGGAGTCGTCCTACACTTCTTGCATTTTGGCCACACCTGCGTTGGATGGAAGGAATGAGCACATCCGCGCCGGGTGGATAAGCGCGTGCAAGAGGCGCCAGCAAGCAGTGTATTGGTATTGTCTAAATGAACAGCTGCGGTGGAGAGGTTGTTGCTACGGGGCAGCGGATAAGAAGTGCATGCAAAGTGCGTGCAAAGTGAGCATGTGTCGAGGGTAGAGATAGTCGGAAATATACGAGACGAGTTTCACACGGTCGACTATGGGCTGCTTCACATCATCGTATGCTGTCGTCCTTGCTGTGTGCCCCGTGAGTGCTTGGCTGAGAGCTTTGCCAAGCTTGTCGGTGTTGGTGTTGGAGTCTCCTGCACAGACCACTCCAAATCAAATGCCGTGTACTCTCTCGCCTCCTAAAGATGTTACTGCGACGACAACGATAGCGCGGGCGGGCTTCATGAGCACAAATCTCCGCTGCAGCATGATGGCTTGAGCTGAAAGCAGCCCTTCGCGAAGACAGCATGTGTTCGGCGCTGGCTATCGCATTCAATGTGCGCCGGGCCACTCGGCGAGTGACGCCGGCGTGCCCACGAACATGTTGTCACCACCGCTGCTGCTTATTAGGCATTTCCTCATCTTCTTCCACGCCCTCCATCTGATTGAGTCTTTCTTTCCCTTCCTCGGCCGCTGCCACACTCTCACATATATCCGCCCACCATGACAACACCTCGTGTGTTCATCATAAGACATGGCGAAACCGAATGGTCTTTGAACGGACGACACACCGGCACAACAGACATTCCACTCACAGCCAACGGCGAACGACGAATTCGGGCCACAGGTAAAGCCTTGGTCGGCGACGATCGCTTAATCGTACCCAAAAACCTCGCTCACATCTACGTCTCGCCTCGAAAACGTGCGCAACGAACTCTTGAGCTTCTCGGCTTGGGTTGCAAAGATCCCATGCCATGGCAAGAACACGGCGAAAAAGCTGAAACAGCACATGCCACGAACGCGAAAGTCCAAGTCACGGAATCGATTCGCGAATGGGAGTATGGTGAGTATGAAGGTATCACATCGGCAGAAATTCGCCAAGTTCGTAAGAAAGCTGGACTCGATGAGCACTGGGATATTTGGAGAGATGGATGTCCTGGCGGAGAATCTCCTCGACAGATTACTGAGAGGTTAGATGTTTTGATTCAAGAGATTCGGGAGAGGTTTCATAAACATGCGATTGGCAAGCCTAAGGGTTCTGTGAAGGAGCCTTTTGATGTGTTGCTGGTTGCGCATGGGCATATTTTGAGGGCGTTTGCTGGGAGGTGGGTGGGTAAGAATATTGCGGATAATCCGAGTTTGATTCTGGAGGCGGGTGGTGTGGGGACGTTGAGTTATGAGCATCATAGTTTAGAGGAGCCGGCGATTTTACTTGGGGGTGCTTTTATGAGTGATATCGTCGAGAGTGCTGAGCAGCCTGGGGAAGGGAAGAAGTAAAGTAATGGGATGAATATAGACAGCGAAGATGCACCGGGTCAGAGGCAAATGCCTCATTGCTGACATGGCTCAGGAACTACCACCCACTACCAATGGGCCTCGCTGATATCAACCTCATTCACATCCACTCCATCCTTGTCCCACCTCTCCAACTCATCAAGCACAATATCATTCCCACTCATCTGCCGCTTCCTCATCCGTCCATCCTCAGCAAAAGTACAATCCTCCAATCCATAACAACGCTTCCACTTCATGCCATCATGAGCATCCTGGGAGGAGGGGGGAAGGAAAAATCAGGCATGAAAGCTCCCTCATCTCCAGCAATCAAGATGCAAGATAGGTCAGCCAGGTCAAAAACGTACTCGATACTAATACCAAAACCTGCACCGCAATCCGATTCTCCGTAAAAGCAAACAATACCTTCCTCAAACCGAATAATCTTTCTCTTTTCCCCCATTGATTTCTTGCCCAAGAAGTCTATGATCTTGTGCATTGGCCGACGAAGAAATCCTCTCGGTTTCGCCAGATGCCTTGCCGCCTCCCCCAAGCGAGCAATCAGAATCTCTTGTTCTTGTCTCGTCATGCTGCATTCATTGATGTTTGCTTTGCCTTGCAATTTTCTTTTATATGCTTTTTGCGACGTTTTGCGGTCTCCTGATCGCACAGAGAAGAAGCAGCAGGGAGGAAGACAAAAGATGATGATGAAGATGATGATGAAAAAAAGCTGACTTTGTATTCCATCGATCTTGAGCTTTCTTGACTTTTTCATACGCCGTTTCTGCTGTGAATGGTGGTGGTGGTGATAGAGACATGGTTTGCTAGAATATCGCTCTCCGACGGGGTTTCACAGCTCAGGGCTTTAAGGTGTATGTATATATGTTTTCGATAAGAGTCTTGGGTAGATCACACACTTCTCCACGGAATTGTGAAGGGAGCATTTTGGATTTCAGTTTCTTGAGAGCTTTGGGGAGCTTTCATATCCATAATTTTTTTTGTTTGGAGCACGAACGGAACCCGGTTGAGATTCGTGCCAGCTGCTGCATCACGCTGACAAGCATGCACTTTTGACACGATGACACATTCCCATTCTCAATCTTTGCAGAGAGGGGTGAATTTTTGCTTTCCAGCAGTAGCGCTACCAACGACAGAAATCATCCACTCGCTTCCCAATCCTGTAGCACATTCGCACTGGGGTTACTGTTGATCCCACCAAGTTCGCTCGGCCAAGGAGTAGCCTTACTGTAGTTCAATATGCCATTCATACCAAAATCCGCGCCTTCCATATCCATGGCATTGAAGTCAATCCATGCGCCGGGGTAATGTGCGTTACCACTTCCAGGCCCGGTGCCGCCATTCATCATGACGTTTCCAGGTACTAGCATATTATTGGGATCGATATCTGATCGCTGCTGGTCCCAAGCATTAGAATTCTTCGTGACGCCTTGATCGAACATTTCCCAATCAATAGTGCCGGGCATATCCAGCATATCTCCGATCATGCTAAAGTCCATATTCCCCTGTTGCGGGGAGGTATTGTTCGAGCTCGATTGTGAGGTTGATTGCATGCCTGTTCCGTTGCTGCCATTTGCCGAAGGAGTTGCATCCGTGCCAGTATAGGGTAATCCCGTGTACTGGAGATCTTCTGGCGCAGTCTCACCCCAATTGTGATAAGATACGATGCCGCCGAAAGGCACTGTAGTCTGCGGAGGTCCTGGTGTGAAGACTCTCGTAGGGACATGGCTAGTGGTGTTTGAAGCAGTAGCAATGCCGACCTCGATTTCGTCATTGATGTAGCCCGAATCTAGAGCTGCCATACCAGGTCGCTGCCCTTCGTCTCGATTGACGCGTGAGAGCGCCTCTGCCTGTGCCGGGAAGCTTGCCTTGACCTTCTTCAACATGGCTGCCATAGCACGACTCGCTTTCTCGGTCTCGTCGAACATGTGCACGCCTCTGGCATGCTCATCTTGTGCTACGAAGCGATTGGGCGTCCTCTTTCGGCCGGAGGCTTCGCTCCATATCTTTTGCGATTTCTCGAGGGCATCCATCATGGCGGCTCTCTGCGGGCAAAGATGGCCGCTTGGATTGATGACAGCAGAGCCAGGGCCGATCTGTTGCGAAAGCTCCAAACACACAATCATTGCTGCTAGCAAGAAGTCATGTGTTGAGATAGAGCCCATGTACCATTTGACGCTTTCAAGCTGCCCACCGGCCTGAGTAGCATTGTAGATGGTGTGATGATGGCGCAACACCCGAAGAGCACAACCGACGCAAGTCTTACGGCTGACACCGATGCCCATGGTCTGCTCATGGGGCGTGAGTTGCGCAAGTGGCTTTTCCATGTATCGTCTGTGGAGCACAATCTTGGTCTTGAGGTAGAGGAGGTCCAGGTTGAAGCGGCACATCAACTGCTCGGCGGGGTCGGTGACGAGTTCGCTGATGTCGGGCATTTGCAACAGCGGAGGGACCATGGCTTTACCTTCTTCAAGCCGTCGGTCGAGATCCATTATCGTTTCGTAGGAGGGCGATGTCGTTGCATGACTAATTTCGGATGCATCCGCGAATATTCTTACGAGATGCAGTTTTGCTCTCGTATAAGAGCTGGGTGTGAGTTCGTCGATTCCCCGACTCGGCGGAAGTGCCTTGGTGTTGGCACCGAAATCTCGATCGAGGAGGTTTCGTGGCGGTTGTGTATCAGATTGCAAGGTTTTGACCTACGAGACTGTCAGTACTACCACATCGGCTTGCTACGTTATTCAGACTCACCATAGACGGCAAGCCCAGTTGGAATGAGATGAGCACATCGATCATGCTAATAATCGCCCATACACGCCTCCGCATCTCACCATCGAATGCAGAAATTCCTGGATAATTTGCTGGATCTCTGTGGTACCCCATTCTCAAGCATAATCGCAACACAAGACCAATCATTAGCCACACGTTGACGAAAGCGTCATTGCTTCGCAGCCCAGCCGCATACAGTATGAGACATTCGACAGTATATTGCTTAGGCTTCGTAAAGTCCCCAAGCACGGCAGCCGAGGCCGAGAGTGTGTGGTATTGATTGACTTGCTTCAGGATCCTCTGAGCAGGTTCGCTTGCTGGATCGATGTCGCGAAGTCCGAACGAGGCTGCAAGCGACAGGATGGCGTAAAAGAGACCAAGCCACATAGTCGGTGTGTCTTTGGGATCTCGCCAGAACCGGCGGTACTCGTCTTGGAAGGTTGGTGCGTGAATGATGGGCTTGAAGGGGTCAGGCGAATTGAACCATAGACTCAAAAGCCGATCGGCCACTTTCTTCTCGGGTACAGAATCGATGAGCTGCTGCCTCGTTACAGTCGCCGAAGCGCCTAACATGAATCCCAGACCGGTGGTAGCGTATGGTGCTGTATTGCCAATACCTGACGATGTCAGGGTTTCGATGGGCACGTTACCAAAGGCATTTCCGAACACATGCGCTGGAGCTGGATGTTGGTGTTCGGCCGCGTCCTCTCCTTCGTTCTCTTCAGCTTCATCGCCTAGATCTCGTTTGAGCTCCGAGATGCCATGTAGAATTGCTTGCCAATGGGTCTCGCCCACATAGCTGATCTCGTTCTTACTTATCCTCATCTGTCCAAATGGCTTGGTCGCTCCATCTACGTCCTCCGATGCCGATGGTCGTGCCTGAGCCTGAGGGCTGCTATCGTTGTCGCTGGGTGGCGTTGGCTGCTCGAAAGGGCCAACACTTGTAGTATTCGACGACTCTCGCCTAGCATTCTGGTTCTCTTGATCGCTCTTGCCATCGGTGCCATTTTGGTTCTGCTGGTTCATCAGATCCACCACGAGATTCTCTAGCTGTCTTATTCGCCCTTTTACGTTCTGAGTAGGCTTCTGCTTGGCCGGCGGAGGCACGTATACACAAGCGCTCTGGCGGTCGCGCTTCAAACATTGGTCGCAAGCAGGGTCATGGCTACGATTGCACCTGAGCTTGCCCTGTCGACACGGTGTACAGGATAGTTGCGATCGCGCGCGCTTCTGCTTCAAGTGGGCGCCATTCGCGATATTGGTGAGCGTTTGCTGCGTGGTGTGCGAGCTGGGTATGCGGTCGTTGTCGAAGGAGCCGTTCGTGGCTGTATGGTCGCCGTCGCCGTCGCCATCGCCGTCGCCGGACATGCTTTGGCTTCGCTGTGTCGCCAGTTCCGATGTTCTTGAGGGAGATCCTATCCTACGGGACGTCAGTGGTCTACGCAACGACAGCAATGCACTGGCCGCGTCAACAAGCTGCGCCGCGTCAACAGTACAGTACACGTGAGATTGTATGACGGCTTCACGGTGATGTGTTGCAATAGCAGCGTAGGTCGGCTTCGAGACTACTGCATCCTTACATGTTGTGGCAGACTCCTGTGACGCTGCTGTCGAAGGATTCTTTGCTACTGCACGAGTCGACGGCATCCAGCTTGACAATATGCCATGACAGCACAGGACAGGCGCCAGGTCGCCGACGCAACAATACTGTATTCTATCGTACGCTCGACCGAAGTAGTCTTGGCACATCCTCCCCTCCCTTCACTTCTGTCCGTCTTAAGCTTAGTCAAAAAAGCCAAGAAGCCTCATGCTCGCTTTGTAAGCTAACGGTAACGCTACAATGGAGCCTCAAATTTCAATCCTCTCTCCTCCCCCCGCGAATCATAACACACACCTGATCAAATCACACATTCACTCTAAAGCTCTCCACCTGCCACTCTCGCACTCCCACTAGGGCAGCTTCTTCCAGCGGCACATGTTGTAACAGTCGCCGTGCTGAAGACTGTGCTTGTCCTGACCCCGCTTGCGCGGCAGACAGTCACTGTCACGACACCAGTGTTGGCGGGCCGCTCGGCCTTGAGGAAGGCGATGGTGCCAGGCGAATCTGAAGTACCACTGATGGAGCTGAAGAGCGCACAGCTCGATGGGCCGACATTGACAGCCACGCAGCTGGCATATACATCACACTGCGCGAGACAGCTTTCGGCAGCAGTGTTGCCCGATGCTTGACGAGCTTTGAGAGAGGTTGTGTTCAATCCAGTCCCAGAGTAGCTTGTGTCACACTGGACCTCATAATATCCCCCAGACGGAGCGTCGTAGCCTCCGTTGTCGTATGCTGGACAGATCGACACTGTTGCTGATGGAGAAGTCGAAGAGCTGGCGCCTGTTACAATACCACTGGTGCTGCCAGTTGGCACGACAGAGCCCGAGCCTGGTGCAGAAGTAACGCCCGATGTTGGGACATCACTTGCTGAGCCGCTGGCCGATGCCGATCCTGAAGATACGGGCGGGCTGACAGACATACTCATAGAGCCAGAGGGAGTGGATGAGCCAGGAGGTATGTCGACACTGCTGCTGGAGCCTGAAATCAAAGGCGAGCTGGTTGCGACTTCAGAAGATGGAGCAGACACCGATCCATTACCGCTTGAGACTGGCGGAGAGACAGTCGGAGTGCTCGATCCGGAAGTAACATTCCAAGGAGCAGTCATGGTTCCACTTGTCATTGAAGGAACAGAGTCACCACTCGGACTGCTGGAGCTATCTTCTGGGATGGAGGATTCTGGCACGCTTGTTGCTGCACTAGTGAGCGCATCACTCGTTGATGGCAGCGGCGTCACGGTAATCGAGATGTTTCCTGCAAGCGATGTCGATGCCATGCTGGTCACTACGTCACTCGAAGAACCAGCGGTCTGAGATCCTGTGGAACTGCTAAAAATTGGTGTCGAAGTGGACGGAAATGGCGTGACAGTGATAGAGATGTCATCGGTAAGCGGTGTCGATGAAGTCTCCCCAACGGAGGTGCTGGGTGATGCAGATGTCTCACTACCAGTCAAAGAAGCTTCAGAGCTTTCCGCCGACGAGAGTGACGAAGATATGCTCGATTCTGCCGACGAGACACTCGATTCTGAGCTTGATGCCACGCTACTTGTGCTGGAAGCTGAAGAGCTGAGGTCAGACAGCGACGATGAAGTAGCCACTGCTGGTTCGGAAGAAATGCTGGAAGAGCTTGTGGTGACCGGAGGAACGTAGTCTGGAGGAGGCTCTGGATACGGCACCTGTTCGACGGCGACAGCACCAGGGGCCGGTTCCGTTCCGTTGATGGAGCTCAGCAGCGTGCAGTTATAGTTTTGATAATTGCTGCCAACGCAGCCCGGAGTGTTTGCGCAGGCTTGCGTGCACGTGTCAACGTCTGGTAGAAGCACTCGCTTCCAAATGCCAGGCACCTTTTGCACAAGCTCAAGGAAGTTGATCGATCGATCGAACACTTCTCGTTCCTTGACACGGCGTCCGGGAGCAGGGGTCGAGCTTGGCGGAACGAAAGGCTGGGTGTTCCATGGGGTTGGCAAGACAGCATCATCATCACTGATCTCCTCTCCGGTGAACCTGACACCGCAAGTAACATTGAAAGCAGTGCCGTCGTCAGTCGCACAAGTGGTGTTGCTGGCCTGTGGTGCTCCTCCATCACAGACTTCCTCAGCCGTTCCTGTTGGACATGGCGGCGGAGGAGTGTAGACATACGTCGGTGTCGTAGCTGTTGTTGGAGTGGCGCCCTCAGAAGTGATGCTACTTGGAGGAGTTGTGACACCTGCGCTGCTTACGGAAGATACCGAGCTAGAGACCGAGCTGGTGCTTGATGCGATCGAGGATGACACGCTCGAGGCAGAGCTAATGGCAGAGCTGACGCTTAAGCTTTCAGATGAAGAAGATGAAGAAGCGGAGCTTGCTGAAGAGCTGGCGCTTGAGCTCTCAGATGAAGCAGATGAAGAAGCGGAGCTTGCTGAAGAGCTGGCGCTTGAGCTTCCAGACGAAGTAGATGAAGAAGCGGAGCTTGCTGAAGAGCTGGCGCTCGAGCTTCCAGACGAAGCAGATGAAGAAGCGGAGCTTGCTGAAGAGCTAGCGCTTGAGCTTCCAGACGAAGCAGATGAAGAAGCGGAGCTTGCTGAAGAGCTCATAGTCGACGTGGTAGATGGGCTGCTAGTTGCACTCGTAGTCGTAGTCGTAGTCGTCGTTCGCGTTGTGCTGGTGACCGTAGTAGAGAATGGTGATGGCGTTGCAGAGCAGAATCGCGAAGTCGATGCGGGCAACGGCGTGGTGTTTGCTTCATTGTAGTAATTCACCATGATAGCTGCAACCAAGTCCGACCTCTGGCCCCGGAAGTAATCATTCGTCCAGGGCGTTGAGCCGCCACCGACGAATTTCAAGTAGCAGGTGCCGGCAAATACGAAAGAGATACACGTGCCATTGACGCTTGGTCTGACGGCGCCAGAAGAGCACAACTGGAAGCAGTCTTTCCAAGTCCTTCCACCGAAGTTCTCGCCTCCCACTGCTGTATCGAGCCCACAGCCGAGAATGTACTGGACGCCGCATGTGTCGACAACAGTGGACATGTTGTTCGCAGGACAGTCGGCAGAGAAGACTGACATGGCTGGGGATGCTGACGGCGTTGGAGAAGACATCATTGAAGACGAACCCGTGCTGCTGCTCTCGGTGGATGAGCCTGCACTTGAACTAGCTCCGGTACTGCTTGGAGTTGATGAGCCTGTGCTGCTCGAAGTAGAAATTGAAGATGTTGAAGATGCTGATGTAGATACGCCTGTATTCACACTGTTAGTACTTGTGATGCTGCTCGATGTAGAGCTCGATGAAGTTGACGAAGGACTAGAAGTGAGTCCGGTAGATGTCGAAAATGATGATGATGAGCTGCCCGTGCTCGTCGATGAACCACTCGATGATGTGCTACTGGACGTCGGAGAAGAGCTACCCATGCTCGAAGTACTGCTCGGAGTAGATGTAGTAGATGTCGTAGTAGATGTAGTAGTAGTAGTAGATGTCGTACTAGTAGTAGATGTCGTAGTAGTAGATGTAGTGGTTCGTGTCGTACTTGTAGTAGTTGTACTTGTAGTAGTGGTGGTTCGAGTTGTGGTTCGAGTGGTGCTGACACTCGGAGGTGGCGTATCGACTAGAGCTCTGATGGCAGAAACAAGATATGAAACATCGCCATCGCCAGAGAATTGAACGGTGCCTCCGGATGAGGCGGGGGTTTTGAAATAGCACCAGCCATTGCCGTTGCCATAGACAGCTCCATTTGCTCGATGAGGTGAAGGCAACATCCCGGAAGGGCATCACATTGGGTGTAGCATTCTTCGAATGAATTCGGCGAGTTGCTCGTAGCATTCTGTGAAATAACAGCCCCATCCGTATCTCGACCGCAGGCGACCTGATAAGAGATGCCATTTGCGTCTGTGCGGATCTGACCATCATACGAGCAAGCAGTTGGAGAAGAAGCTGCGGTACTCGAGGTGGTACTTGTCGTGCTGGTTGTAGTCGTGCGTGTGGTACTCGTTGTAGTTGTAGTAGTGCTTGAAGTTGTTGTGCGGGTTGTAGTGGTGCTGGTGGTGATAGTGGTAGAAATGGAAGGAGGGGAAGGGGTAGGAGTGAAAGTGAGGGTTGACTCTGTAGATTGACGTTAGCATGGAGGCGGGCTATATGCTGGCTGGCGTGACAAAGGGCAAACGGACTACTACTAGAGGAAATTCGTGGGCCCGGTCCAGTGCCCCAGTTGCTTGTCTGAGCGTAGAAGAAGTCCATAAAGGTCTGCGCTGCGCTGAGTCCGTTGCCATTCAAGGTAGCAAAGCAGTGTCCGCAATTATTCAGCGTGTACTGTGTGATGATTCCAAGATTGTCGGCATTTCCAAATTGATATCTCGTCACACCATTGGTGCCGGTGCTCAATACGGTGGTCACGTTTGTGCCGCTATAGCCCTGACGCTCTGCCCATCGAGTGGCCCAGCGCGGGATTTGAGGCAAGATTCGCCTTCTGTAGAGCGCGCCACTGTAGTTGATTACTCCGTCGTTAAGACCATGGATTTCAACTAAAGCGATGTTGTTACGCGATGGCAGGCATAGAGCTTGGGTTGGAGTATTGATGGGCTCGATTGTGAGAGGATCGCCACTGGTGTTGTTTGTATACATGGCGGCCGAGCTTCCAGCGAAGACACTGATGACCTGGCTCATGTAGGGGTCGCATGCCAAAACTTGCACGAGGCCGCCTCCATTGCTTTGTCCGGCAGCGAAGATTCGACCAGTGTCAACACAGAAGCTGCTCGTCAGGAAGGGCACAAACATCCTCATGAATCCAACATCGTCCAAGTTTGGATAGTTTGCTCCTGTTGGACCCCAATCCGGGTTCGAGATGAAACCTTTGCCCATGCCAGTGACGTAGACAGCGATGCCATACGGATTCAAGATCTTGTCATCCCATTGTACCTGAGCCTGGATTGCAGCAGCATCGCCGCCATTTCCGTGAAAGCCAAACATGAGAGGGGAAGCTTTGTTCGGGTCGTAGTACTTCGGGATATGAAGGAGGTAACTACGCGTCAGCCCATCAGGGCCCGTGAAAGTGTATGATTGAGCAGTGCCGTCCGGAACGAGGCCAGACCATAATGGTTGACCGCAGCCAGTCGAAGCGTTCCCTGTCCCAGCGGGATAAGGCGCCGCATAGTTCGGGTTTGGCGGGATCGTGCGGACCAGAGAATGAAGGCCGCTATTGCTGGTGAGGCTGTTGAATCCAGTCTTGAGATAGCATGTTGTTCCTTGAAGACTGGCAGCTTTGCATCCGGTATACGCATCACAATTGGCCATGCATACTGATAGGCTAGACGCGGAGGTCGTGGAAACACTTGCTGGAGTGTTGTCGAACCCACAATAGACGGTATAGACACTGCCGCAGGGCGAGGTGAATTGTGTGTTATTGGCACCTGGACAGACTGGCGCTGCAGGCTCGACCGGGCCGCTTGTTGTGCATACTCCTGTAAACGCTGGGGCAGTTGCTGAAACTGACGTACCTGTACTGCCTCTCGATGTAGTGCCCTTTTCAAGATGCGTTAGCAAAGTCTCTCCAAGAACTGGGCAGGACGACGTGCAGTGAATGGCGAGTCTAGTGTATCGGGCAGTGGGCGAGTGGACCGTAGATGAAGAGCTCAGGACATACTGTGCTTGCTGACGCTGGTGATGTTGCGGTCGAAGCACCCCCACCCGGAGTCTAACGATTGTCAGCCCTTTATTCATGTGCCACTGCAGATGGGCGCATCATACTGTTGTCGTTGTCGTTGTTGTGACAGCACCTCCTGGGGTCGTCTATCGATAATCAGTAAGTTTGCGACATCGATACGACTGAGGACATTGTTTACCGTGGTTGTTGTAGTGGTGAATCCAGACGATGTTGTGGTCTGGCTTAGGTCAGTCAAGGGAGTATTGTAGCTGTAATGAACATCATACAGTAGTAGTAGTCGACTGGATTGAGCTGTCAGCAAGTTTCCACACTCTGCAGCGCACTTGAAACATACCCGCGATCCGACCGTCGTCACTGCGTTGAGGCGATACGCAAAATTGACAGTATTGGTATTGGATAGACCCTGACCTGTGAATGTCCCACTCTTGAGATAACAAGTGCCGCCAGTACCTCCGGTGATGCCCGCAGGTTCAGAGCCACCGTAGACGTATGTGAACTGGTTGCAGGCTGCATTGTTGTTGCACGCTGACATGCAGCCAGTCATGTCGTCAACATTGAGTGACGACACCCCTGTGCCACCTCCATCGAAACCGCAGTATGTCTAAAAGCCATCAGCAAGTTTCAGTGATGTTTGCCGCAAATGGAGGACTGACTCCCCACTGGTTTCCAGCAGTATCCGTATATGTGGTCTGGTTGTAATAGGGGCAAGGCAACTGTTGAGACGCTGATAACATGTGAGCACCAGCGTAGAATTTGCGATTGCCAGAATCCGTGGAGTCATCATAGACGTATGTCGAGAGCGGCTGCAGCTGAAAGTAACATTGTCCGGATCCGCCGGTGGCACCTTGGCCAATGTCAGTCTTTGAACGTCGATGCTTGAGGGAGAAACCTCACCAGTGACAGTTCCATAATAGTAGAAACCAACACATCCCGGTCTCTTATCGCCTGTGCCACGCTGGTCAGCAAATGTTTCAAATGTTTATGGCGAAGGATTCAACGTCAAGGCCACTCACATCCTCTGAAGCAGGCCGACATGCCTGCACCGTTGGTGCCTCCCGGAGTGCCTCCTATGTAGGCTTTGACATTGCGCTGTTGACAATTGACCTGCCATCTTGCTCCATACGAATCGACCAGTGTTCCGTTCGCATCTGCCGGGTTCTGAGGAGTCAGACCCGCAGTGCAAGTCGGGTTGTAGGCATATGATTGCGTTGCAGAGGGGAGAAGCTGTTGATTCTGCGACACCTGGGCTTGTACTGTCGCAGCGAGAGTAAGCAGCAAGCCCACGCCTCCGCAGAGGCGTGAAGAGATTCGCACCATATCACGAGGAAATGGGCGATCTCTGAAAAGAACGTCGTATGCTCAAGATGGTAAAGCGAGAGTCAAGGAAGTTGATGGAGGGAGATACTGCAGCATGATGCGGCCGATGTTGAGGACATTGTACTGTACCTGTAGCTGGGAGGTATCAACACGGCAACAACACGACCCACATTCCTGTCATCTTACAAGAACCATTCCAGGTTCAGCGCCTAGAACTGCCCACGGCGTTGCCCGAGTACTGCTCGACGCGTATTGGAGCAGGCGGCACATTTCTGCTGCATCCTCCATTCGATGGGCAATGCGTGTATGTACGTGCTGAAAGCCTTCACTTCCACATTCCGGTGCCCGACCATCCACAAATGGTGTTGTGGCGGCGGCATGTGCCTTCACTTTTCTCTTCTCTGCGCACGGCGAGTCCATCGTGCGGGAATCGAGGAGGTGTTGTGTGCTGCAGGATCAGCAGCATTGCCGAGAAGCGACGTGGTGAAGAAGGGGTCCGTGCGGCGCGTCTCTTCCCTGCACCAGCGCGTCTCTGGCCGAACAGTGATGTTGTTGAGAATGTGTTCGCCCAGCTCTGGCTTGTTCGAGATTCGGGCCATTCCGAATGCGGGACGAGGTGTGATCGCAATTCGTGACATTCCTGCTGGAACTCCCGTGCTTGAAAGTGGGCCTGCCGCCGCTCATATCATCTTCAAGGAGTATCGCAAGGAGACGTGCGCATACTGTTTCCAATGGGATCGAGGCCGGACGCTGCCCGTGCGTGAGCATGAGCTTGGAAAATGGTTTTGCTCCTCCGACTGTCAAGGGAGATGGAAAGAGGAGCAGGGCGATCTTGGCATCGAAGCGTGGAGCATCGTGACAGCATTCGGGCATCGAAACACGAAGAGGCGTGGTGACGATGATGAAATCATGTCTGATGCTGTGAGACCGACGGAAGAAGAGATCGCTGCGTCGTGGGCAACCGCTTCCGAACGCGCAAAGCTCTTGCTTCGTGGTCGTACTGGAGCACCCGTCTCGAAGCCAGAACGGAAACAATTGCAAGCTTTGCGGCAGGATTTGGCCCAACCCATGGACTCCGATCTGCTTGCCTACCTGCTCGAAGGCGCGCTGCTTTTCCATCAGCGTCCCGCGAAATGGCGTCAAGAAGTTCTGAGTCTGGCGATGGACCATACGCCGTACAAAACCAAGCAGGATCTTGATAGCAGTTGCAGGGCATTTCTACAGTTGACCTCCATCCTCCCAGAAACCATTCTTCCCGCTTTGGGTGCAGAACTCTGCTTGGCTCTGGTCCAGGCTGATAACCACAACGCGTTTGGTATCCGAGGAGGTGGAGAAGACAGCGAAGAATATATGGGCTATGGCCTCTATCCATGTGCAAGCTACTTCAACCATTCTTGTGATCCAAATATTGCAAAACATCGTAGAGGCAGGAGTTGGGAATTCCACGCGCTAAGAGACATTAGTGCTGGCGAAGAGTGCTGTATCACGTATCTGGGCGGCGACGAGAGGGACATGGACGTGCTCGAAAGACTGCGTCGGCTACGCGATGTCTGGGACTTTGTGTGCGTCTGTCAGCGTTGCAAGGCCGAAGCAGGCATATAGGAACTCCTTTGCATCTCTCTTCGCGTGAGCACTGTCCATTTTCGCCACGCGGAGATGATTACTGGCCTATCTTACACCTCCTCACTTCTACCAGACTCTACAAAGCGGCATTCCACCAATTTTCCTCTCCACACACTCTCTAGCTTCCATGATTCCCTTGTCTGTGCTGACGGCCATGATTTCGCCCACTCTCGTCAAAGCTTTGACCTCGCCGGCCTGACCTCCTCTCACCACCTTTCCTAGATCTCGGCTGTTAAGCCATATCCTCTTGGTAGGCTTCGAAATCATCCTCGCTTTGCTCAAGACAGGACTGCTCTCGTAGTACTTCAATCCTAACCATAATCTTCGACTCGCACGATTCTCTCTGGTCACGATTCCTTCGGTTTCCATGTGTGCAGGATCCTGATATGCTACTACGGGGAGCGTTATGCTTTGATTTGTGACGGGCAGACCCATCGCCTGAACCGTGATACCATTAAGGCGGAGCTCTCGTTCGGTGATTAAATTTGCATGGCCAGCGACGTAGCGGATGAAGTCGGGCTCGAATTTTGTGGTCTGAAGCTCTTGCCTCGAAAGGGATTTGTAGGTGTTGTAAATCGCTGCGCGTTTTGCCGAAAGGGATTTAATGAATTTCTTTTCCCACGTCGCATAGCGCTCCCCTCGTGTCTTTCCTACACTTGTTTCAAGATCTGTGATCGCTGCTTGTGCTGAGCCGTTTTCGTCCTGCGCATATAGTTCTTCTCTTCGTTGCCGATACTGGTCTTCTTGTTCTTCTGCCGATGCATTGAACTGTGCTCTCAGCTCATTGATGAGACGCACTACTTGCTGTGCGAATCCAGCCTTCTCTAAGTCTTCAATTGTTCTCCTGCCGTGTTCCTCTGCGAATTGTATAGCTTCGTCTCCAAATCCTTTTGCCTTGAGCTGTGCTGGCGTGTACTCTTTTCGCACGACCAATGCCAATGCTGCTTCTGATGAAAATCGATTTCGCCCGGCAGCGCCATGGGGGTAGTTTGTCAGGGAGCGGTTATCGCGTGGACCTTGTCCAAAGACAGAAGCAGGAGGTGATGGACCGCCAAGTTTGACCTGTGAGAGGAAACCTTGCTTTTGCAGAAGTAATGCTAATGATAGATGAAGCTTCGTGTACGGTATTGACGTAAGGCCTAGTCTTGCGAGAGACGCATTCTGCAGATGCGAGCAGACGTGGGCGAGATTAACGAGAGACATGGCAGGCGAAAAGAAGATCTATGGCCACAAGGGCCGTTCTTGTCGTCGTCACTCTCGCTGCGGAGATTTAGGTCGCGCCGTCTGGTGATCGGGAGGTCCAATGAATGCTGAAGCTGAGATTGATCCTGATACGTATTCGTTCTGCTGTGCTGCTCAGCGTTCGTCATTGATGGCAACTCGCTGCGCGACTGTACACACTCCCAGGCTCGTCTTCGATAGTTCTATCTATGGCGGGAGTCTTTGCGGTCGGCTGGAGATGCTTTCGGATGGACTCTGTCGGCAAATCTTACCAGACACTGCTACGCGCCTCTCACGTGAACCTCTCACTCCATGATTATTGGCCTTCTAGCCGCCATCCATCTCACAGGCACATGCACATGCTGGAGACAGCTGAAGCAAGCACAGTAGCCACACGTAGCCTCAAACATGGGCGACAGTCATACATGCTCTCTGCACTTTTGGCAGAACTCCTCGGCAAGACATTGGCCCTGCTATTCTTTGTCTACACCTTCCACACCATCTCGACTGAGTACCTAGAGGCTATAATAGAGGCTACCAGAGCCTACATCGCCGTCGTCGATATACTGTATACCCGAGAGAGGCTGCCGCTGAGAGTATAGGACTCGGAGGGTCAAGATGCCTGCGGGTCCTGAGGAGCAATTGCTCACCACTCTGTAAGATATCACCTTGTCATCATGAGAACATCTCCGGCACCAGAGATCCATCTACCGATGCGAGATGCGCAGGCATTCAACAGACCAGCTACTGACCTTGCTCGAGCTTCGCCGACATACACTACTACTTCAGTGATCCAGCGTATCGTCCCTCTCACCACCGCTTCGACAAGCGCAGCTATGTCTACCTCTTCTACAACCCCAATTCCTACCAGGCCAAGCTCGAGGTTGCGAACTCTGCGGGCACACCGCATCAAGACGCCTTCTATGGCTACCTGAATGCTGCCAGTGTGCGATACAACCACTCACAGCCAAATCTGGTCACTCTCACAATCGATTCGAACGCAGTCCATGACCAGACAACATGGCATTTACCTAACTACGATGCCAAGAGTGAGCAGAATTATGTGGATAAGCTGCATACTGTGGATGTATATCTATGGACGGAGAAGGATGCCCGCACTTTCCTTGGACATGTAAAGAGCGCAGTGCCGGCAGAGAGGTTAGAGATCAAAGGAGCACCAGGAGTTGGTACTCCACACTCTGAACATAGAGACTCGATGAGCCCGGTCGTGCAGCAGCTTGAAAATACTGCCATAGGAACGAGCTTTCCTCCTCGGACCATGAGTGCAGTATCTGCACAATCGTTTCCCGGACCACCTACTCCCCAATCTGAGGCTGCTTCACCCAGGCCTGTGGCGGCCTATAATCCTGCCGCACCTTCTGCACCAGAACCAGTACAGTATCGCGAGAAGACGCCTCCACCGCCCGATGGCGGTACTGGCACTGGCTTGAAAGCAACACAGTCATACGGCAATGCACCACAGCAGATACAGTATGCTTCAGCTGCTGGAGTCTACCAGAACTCAGTTCAGACCACTCCACAGCAGGCATACTTTTCTGGACCTCCGCAGCAGGCAGTACCGGGCCCTCCTCAAGGACTTCAATCACAGCAGCGATACCACTCTGGCAGCATACCTCCACCTCCAGCTCAATCACCGCCTGCTGGAACATCGACACCTTCCTTTGGACCGATGGCAGCCAGCACAATTGGCCCGAAATCTCCCCCACCGAATCAGTCGTCTTTCAATCGACAATCGTCCTATGGACCTGGTCCAACCCAATTCGCAAGCTACAATCCTCAATCACAGTATGAAAATCATCAGTCCCAGCAAGGCCAGCTTCCTCCTACGCCTTCGGCGCCCCCGGCCTATGCAGGTCACACTCCATTGAACTCACCTGGCATGCCACCGCCGCCTCCAGCTCAGCCATACCAGCCGCAGCAGCACGCCCCTGTGGGAGGCTATAGCAATTACTCGTATACCACTGCTGGTGCGGTGAACTCAAATGAGATGAACCAGCATGGTGCATACACTGGCGATATTCACAATCAAGTCTATCGTCCCACAGAATCTGAGCACGGTTCTCATGGCAAATTGAAGAGGGCCCAGACTTGTCAGGATGGCATGCAGAAACCAAGCCCGCTGCAGAACAGTGTCGGCAAGGCAGAAAAGAAAGTAGGCAAATTTTTGAGTAAACTCGACAAGTTGTACTAGTTTGTAGAGAAATACAACATCTTTTGGTATTTGTGTGCAACTCCCTCGTTTTCCATGTCCAGTTCCCGTCGTCTTGAAGTGAAATTATTGCGAGTCGTCATTGCCTTGCAGTACTTCCAATAAGTGAGCACGGGCCATTACGGAAAGCTGAATTTGTGGACACACGTACGTGGGCTTTCACGACATCCTCATCCATCTTTAATCGCAATGGCTACTCCATTATCTTTCTTCATTTCAATGGATCTAGAACTCGCCGACTGCAAAAATCTATGCTCTAATAGTAACGCAAATCGTCCCTCTTGCACTTGAACGCCATGGCCGGAGGCGACTCTTTCCGATATCGAACCATCTTAGAAGTCGCAGCCATAGCGGCGGTCATATACTTCTTTCTCGCAACGCCAAATCTCTCAACTCCAGGATCTAATGCCGAGAATGTTGCATCGCCAGCAGTTCCAAAAGCTAGAGCGAAAGTCGAGAATTTGGTCTATCCTTCGAAAACTCTGAAGTGCGAAAGACATGATTATTCAACGCATATATTCTCCACCAGTCCGCTTGTAATCTATGTTGAGGGGTTTTTGAGCGGTGAGGAAGCGGAGCATTTGGTTGCGTTGAGGTAAGGCAAAAAAACTCTTATCTGTTCCACCCGATGGGCAGGCATGCTGATGTGTATCTGTATACACAGCGAAGACCGATGGAATGTTTCCACAGTCGTGAATCAAGGCGTTGAAGGAATCGACGACAAAGTTCGGAAGTCTGAAAAAGCTTCGATTCCAAGAGACCATGTTGTGCAGTGCATAGAGCAGCGTGCATTATCTTTTCAAGGCTGGCCGAAAGATACTTTCATCGAAAGACTTTGGACTCAGCGGTACAATGTTTCTGGGCATTACTCGTTACATTACGACTGGGCTTCCTCGACCAAGACTTCGAGGAGAGTGAGTTCATTTATGGTGTATGCGAAGGATGAATGTCGTGGTGGAGGGACGAATTTCCCGAGATTAGAGAGGCCGAAGGATGAGAGATGGTGTGAGAATGGGTTTGTGGAGTGTGGGGTGGAAAGTGGTGAGGGTGTCACGTTTAAGGCGAAGAAAGGCGCTGCGGTTTTTTGGATGAATTTTGATGCGGAGGGAAGAGGCTATAAGGAGACGATTCATGCTGGTATGCCTGTTCTTGAAGGGCAGAAGATCGGGTTGAATATCTGGAGTTGGTATCAGGCTGGTCATCAGCCGCCTGAAGAGGAGGTGGCATGAGCAAAACAAGCGCCGCCCACGGCTCAATGCAATGTTCGTCGTCGGATGAACGACCGGCACCGAATTCTTCCCGTCTCTGTTCGCCAACAACCCGAGCCACGCACTCATTGCAAGCGTAAGGCATAGGCAGATTGAAAGTCAAGAAATATTAAAATAATGTCCGACATCCAAACATCTAGAATAATGCTTGCACTTCTTGATACCAACTCGCAGATCCCAGTCGTAATGATTTCACCTTGTCCAGGGATCGATGAAGCTCACAGTTCGCATGGCGAAACGACCAAGCCACACCTAATCATAATACATACATACACGTGCCAAGGCATGTGAGATGTGAATTTATTTTGTTCAGGTGCACATGTCGCGACGTAGCTTTGCACGTGCTACTAGTGAAACATCTATGTACAGGCAACATGGAGAATTCTCCATGCTTCGCGCATGCTCATGTAGAGTTTGAAGACTAATAATATTATGCTGAAATCAAGAGCTGCAGCGTGATTTGAATTGATTAATAATCCGCAAGATGGTAGTAGTCGGAGCCGAGGGCAATGCTCGGAGCAATAATCTACTGTAAATGGTCAGAAGGATAGTCCTACTAGGATGATGCGAGGATCGATGTCGGTGTGAGAGTGAGACGGAGCTTGGTGTACCGCGTCAGGTAGCACTGCTGTACGGTACATAGGTAGGACTGTATGCCGGGCTCAAGAAGCCGAAAAAGGCGTGGGCATGAAAGTATTCCATACAATAAGCCACGCCATGCCGATTTGCTATCGATATTCTAGGGAGGAACGATACCCACCCTGCGGTCCAGTAGAAAAATCACGCACCCGCATAGAAGTCATGATTTGGCCAGGCCAGGCCAGGCCAGGGCACGGCCGGCACGGCAGTTGTGCTACCGTATGCACCGGTGCTTGCTGAAAGTGCATCTGCAGACGCAGGAAGCAGCTCAGCGGTTCATGCGTAGTACATAGTCATAGTGTGAGGTTGTGAAGGCCGGCTGCGATCGAAATTCCTCGCGCCCGAGGCAACAAAGTACATGTGCGTACTGATTCGAAAGCATAAATAGAAAAGCACTTGCCTTGACGTCATCCGTCCGCCGGCCGGACTGCCCGTACTAGAAAACTTCTGCATGCGCGCGCGGAACACACCCTGCACGGACCAGCGCAGAGCACCTTGACCACCGACCACCGACCAGATAGTGTTGATTGTAGAAGGAATTTAGCTTCCCGTTCCTTTGGGTTTCTGCGGGACTGTCTCCACCATTCCGGCTAGGAAATGGCCCGATTATTAGGCGTATAATAGGACCTACTAAACTTACGGAAATGCTCGGTTTTAGTATATTAGCTCGGTTTGCCTAATTAGGCTATATTATTGTCGCAATTAGACTAGTATAGCGACTTCTAAGGTGTTGTTAGTTGCTATCTACGGCTTCTTCTTCTTCGGCCTCTTAATAGTAGGTAGCATTGTCGCTACTAATCTCTTACGCTTATTACTATTATATTTATTAGACGTCCGCCTTTTACCTACTACTTCTCGTATCGCGTTATCGTTATCTAACTAAGGGAAGTCTTCTACTACTTCTAGGTCTTGTTTTAATAGCGAAGCCTCTCTTACTAGCGCTAGTAAAGTAAGGTCTATAAGCTTAGCTATTTCTTTAATAGTATCTAAATCGAGTAGCTAAGCCGATTATATAGATAAGAGCGACTCGCGCGGCTACCGCGGTAGCGGCTTCGAAGGTAAGGGTCTAAAGGGTAGCGGACTCGGCGTAAGAAGGTCGATAACCTATAATAGTCGTATTAGTAATAATAGCGTCTCGTTAAGTAGCGGAAGATTAAAGGCTCGAGGTCTATATTTAGTCGCTAGCGGTAGTAGTAGTAGTAGCGGAAGGGTTAGATACCGAGGCAATTGCTAGCGAGTTAGAGTAACAGGTTTAGGTAGAAGTTGTTATTAAGTCTACTATCGCTATCGGTTACTAGTTAATTAAACCTTAGGCGCACCTTCTCGAAGGAAGTTATCTAGTAAGAAGTTAGCTAGCTAAGTAAGTGTGTCTTTAATACGCCGTAAGAAGCTTCTTATATATTTGTCCTTTAGCGTACTATTACGGATTGTCTTATCGTTACGGACCGTATAGAAGTGTTATAAGAGGCCTTCTACGCCTTCGTTAAAGTAAGCGCGCAAGTCTCGAAGATAGGGATCGCTAGCAGTATAGGATTAAGTGTCCTCGAAGCCCTTAAGGAAGAGGGTAGTGCTATCTCGCTACCGCTAATACGGACTAATTTCTATACTATTAAAGCCGCTATAGAAGCTAATATAAATTTGCTGTTATTATAGGTTAAGTAGTGTTATAAATAGGTAGTATCGAAGGATATAGTAGTAAGGTAGGTACTACTAAAACTATAGCAGGCAATTATAGTAAGGAGGTTGTTGTCCGTTACGATACAATATAAGTATTAAGGCCGTCGTATAGTAGCAATGCCTTAGCCTTATATCTTCCGCAATAGCGAGTTGTTTCCTAACGAAGTCCTATATAGTAGGAGGTATTAACTCCTCGAAGTATAGCATCCCTTTAACCTTCTAATATTGCGTACGTTTGCTAATTCTATAGCTTTAAAGGTCCGCCTTATATAGTTGCCGAGCGTCGATTGTTAGCAACTTAGTTATAGTGCTATATATCGTTAACTAAGGGAGGTCCTTCTTCCGGTCGTATTTAATAGTATTATAGTATCCTTCTAGTAGCGATATAGTACGTATTTGCATAAGTACTAGATTGTTTAAACGAGCCTATATAGCCTATTTCTATAACTTGTCCGACGACTAATTCTTTAGTAAATACTAAGTCTCTTCTTGCTTATTAAGAAGCCGCAACTCCGCTTCTATTATAGTAACAACTTCTTTAACCTCTGCCTTACTCCGAGCCTAATAAATAGCTCTTTTAAATAGTCGCTAGACTATAGGGTACTTAAATTTAGGAAAGTATCGAAGGAAGGTCTCTTTAGCGTGCCGCTAGTAGAGATATAGTCGTATTTCCTCGTTAAAGGACAGTCGAATAGAGGACTGTTCTTATACCGAGTCGTTAGTTATAGCTAACTTCGGCTTCTAGCAAGGATACTACCGCTTTAGGACTTAGAAAGCAGCTTGCTAAAGCCTCGTACGCTGTGTTTATAGCAATATATATACTGCTAGCATCTAACTTTCGAATCTATTACAGATATATACTATAAAGAGATGCTAGCCTGTATTAGTAGTCTTATGCGTTGCGTCGTAGAGAAATAACTAATCCTAGATTAGTCGTTGCTTTGCGGTTCCTATCTAAAGCCTAGTTACGTAAGTACTTATATCTCCTACTAATCTACTTTCTAATAATTGCCTCTACTAATCCGCCTGCTATATAATGCCCTTATAAAGGCGCCCTTTAATCGTTACTAATACAGCTTTATACTATAACTAAGCGCCGTTTACTAGATTAGTTAATAGCGCTAGCTCGTTATATAGGTTCTCGAGTTGCAACGAGATATTGCCCTTCTTAGCTAGGGTTACCTTCTTTAAATTCCTCTTCTTCTTCGACTACTTAATTATACCTTCCTTTACTCGATAACCTCTAATAATAGCAAAACGGTTAGTATTACGGCCTTCTTTTATTAGATAGAACATTGAAGGACGGAAACTAATACTACTACTACTACTTGTAGTAATAGTATAGGCTACCGAGGGTAACATAACCTATAGCAATATAGGCAGCTATGTTTAGCAAGATAGGATAACGAGACTGTCGCTTAGGCTAATAACTAGAGCCCTGCAATATAGGCATTGTAGAAGTGTAATATAAACAATGTGCTATACGAGGTTAATACTCTACCTACAATGTAGAAGGAGGCCTCTTATATAGGCTTAAAACTGGCCTATAGGTGTAGGGCCGGTTACTAGCTAATATCCCTCCCTTTCTTCGTATCTAACTAGACACGCTTTACATTGCGCGCTTAAAACAAACATGTATGCATCCTTAGCCTTCTTAGCTAAGGCTATTTTTAGAACTCCGCAATAATACCCCTAGGGTAGCATTAATCCTAGATACTATAATTATGCAAAAACAACTTCCTAAGCAATACTATATAGACCTACTATTGCTTTAACGCGCCGTAATCCTTACTAGCAATAACCTTATCCGCTAGTCGGTTCTCGAAATCTCCTCCGTATACGTTAAAGCTGTTAGTACCGAAGTACTATCCCTCGTAGAAAGCTTAATTGACGAGGAGGTTAGTAGCCTTTTCCTTCGTAGCATTCTCCTAATTGTACAGATATTCCTTAAGTCCCTCGTTATTAAGCTAGAGGATCTGTTTAACTTCGTTCTAAATAACGTAACTTAACTAAGGAATCCTACTAACTAGGGCGTCGGAGATGCAACTAAGGCCTTCGACTAAGATAGCGGCAGGGAAGGGGAACGGTACGAAGGTGTTCGAACCTAGAAGGGCGGTTAGATTGCGGTGCGCCTTAGCAACCTCGGCGACGGTTAAGTTATCGTAACCCTTAATCTTAGTACCGTCGATAACGCGAGAGTAGCCTAGGTTAATTAATATACGGTTACTTTTAGTCTTTAGATTACTATATAGCAGGTATAGTATCTAAATAGAGACTTCGCACTCCTTTAGAGGGTTAAGGATCTACTCTGCCTTGCGCCCCTTACTATTAAGCTAATTATCGAATATATAGTCGAGGTCGTCGTCGGTAAGGTACTTGTTAGTAAGCTTGCCGATCTTACTTAGTAGGACTAGGCTACGAGCCTTAAGCTTCTTAACCTAGTTCGTAAAGACCTTAGGCTAATATATGCCTTCGACAACAGTAGAGTAGCTAGTCTTATCCTTAGATATAAGACAGACCTTAATACGTAGGTAACTAGCACCCTCGCTAGCTACGAGCTTAACTATATCTTGTCCGAGACGAGTAGACTCCTTAGAAGGACAGTTTTTATAAGTACCGCTAACCTTAAAGAACTTAGTAGGCTTAGGGATAGAGATAAGCTCGTATACGTAATTAGGTCGAAGGGCGATAGCTAAGAGCTATAGGGCAGGGTACTAGCGGACGATTTGGTTACTTACACTATAAGTTTAAAGGGTATTGCGGCCTTCCTACTTAGACTTAGGCATCGCACGTATATACTAAAGGTACATTTCAAACTCCTCCTATATTAGGTCGATAAGGAAAGGAAGATATACTCTACGAGGCTCTTATAACTAGCTAAAGACTTAAGGGAAGATAGTATTACTAGTCTAGCGAAAGCGGTCGAAGGAAGTACCTTAGCTAAGGATGCCGGTAACGAACTTGCTCTAGCGATCCGTTAGCGTAAAGGCGCGAGTAATAGTACTAGTAGGGTTAAACGCGTAGAGTCCTAGAGATGTCGGGGCGGCAATAGGGCGTCTAGGAAACTAGTTAGCATAAGCCTAATTAGCCTTAAGGGCAGCGAAGGCGTCTTAATTAGGAACCTCGCGACTAATCTTTAATAGGCGGCCGACGAGGACAATCGCCTTAGTACTAGTATAGAGACTACAGACCTTAGCGGCCTTCTTAATATAGTTAGTATATATAGAGAACGGCTCTTCTCCTAGCTTACTAAGGTCGTCGAGCTATTAATAGATAGATAGGGCGGTAGGAGCTTTGCCTATATCGGCTTTAGGAACTATATCGATCTTAGTAATAAGGTACGCAATAGAGTCGCCCTTATAAGAACTATAGATATTCTTAGTTAACAGGATCGGCGAGAGCCCTCTATCTCTACGCTCGCTAAAGGAGCCTTCGGAGGAGACATCTTCTAGTAGTATATCTAGTATATTAATATCCGAGTTACTATAGTTAGTACTATAGTTAGCCCTAGAAGGGGCGCTATACTTCTTAGTAGCCTTGCGGAGGGCCTAGCGAGTATATAATACCTTCTTACGCGCTGCTTCGGCCTTAGCGCGCTCGTCCTTAACTTCCTAAGGGACTTTACGGTTGCGGGTCGAGCGACGGTCTTAAGCCTATATCTCCGTAGCGAGCGCGAGACTAGTAGCCGTATCGGCCTCTATTTCTAGGCGAAGAGCCTTATATTTAAGGACATTAACGATAGGAGCCTCTTAACCTTTAATAATAAAACCTATACTATTAATACGATAGCCCTTCTCTTTTAGTAGATCCTTAGTTGTCTATATATTAAGATCGATCTAGACAATTGCATCGTAGTGCCGCTTCTAGTAGGATATCGTAAAGTCGTTAAGCGTAAAGGACAAGTTAAGTAACTGCTTGCCTACCTTCTTACTAGCGGTAGATATACGATAGATTATAGTGTAGGAAAGGTGCTTAGCGCCTTAACGACGGACCTTATACTTATTAACGAACGAAGAGACCTACTTTGTACGCTCTTATCTACCGTAGGCGAAGTTAATAAGGCTCTTAGGAAGACTGCTTAGTCCTCCCTAATATTCGAAGGCCTAGTCGAGGGTCTTAAAGCGTAAGCGAATCTAGGTGCCGGCCGTCTCGAGGCTATAGACGATAGGAAAGGCTTATTCGATATCTATATCGTTAAGGACCTCGCGCTTAAAGATACGCTTACCGATAGACTAACGCAAGTTGTTTATACCGTATATAACTAAAACAGTAGCCTTCTTAATATTCCTATTAATAACGCGTAGTAGGGTACGAGCGTTCTAGATCTTCTCTTAAGGGTCTTTAAGGGCGGTAACGATCTAGAAGCAGTGCTCGAGGCTAGTTATAGTAGCTAAGGCGCTGTCGGAGGGGGCTTCGATCGGGACTAGTACGCCTAGGTTTAGGGCTAGTAGGTTGCTACTGCTGCTAGCGCCTAGCGGATTCGGGGCGCTAGAAGACATCTTAGTCGACCGGAGCGGAAAGGAGTTAGTAACGAGTTTGTAAAAACGTTCGTAGCTTATTAATAATAATTAAAGGGTTTAGATAGAAGGAGGGGGAGAGAGTAGGCGGTAGTAAGTTAGTTAGTATTCGAGTAGAAGAAAGAGCTTAGAAAGCTCGCCTTAAATAGGGTGCAAAGGTAGCGTAGTCCGTATGTTCCGGTAAAGCAAACAGATAACGATTATATATAGACCCTAAAAAGTAAAGCTATATACGAGACTCTTTTATTAGTAGGGCGGCTAAAGTTTAACAATCGATCTAGCTAATTGCTAGTAGCGACTACGCGCCTTTATTAACCTCTAGCTTTCGTAGATTCCCGCGCACTCGGAATATAACTAGTTAGTTCGAGTACCTAGTAGTAATCTATAGTAGTAAGGCTAGCAGGACTAATAACACCCCCGGGGTAGCATTAGCTTTTCTCTAGAGATACTCGGCAACTAGGAGCAAATCGCCTAGGCCTAGCGTAGCTTGTATTAGCCTATAGCACTATCGTTGTAGATACAGCATTACCTTTTATAGCAGCAGGCATATAAACGTAGCCCGTACGTTCTTCTTTCTTCTAGATACTAAGCTTAGCGGCCTAAGGTCCCTATTCTTAGAGGCTATAGGCCTAGGTTACTATATCTATCTAAGAGCTAGGAAGGGAGAGGGATCCTCCCTTTCTTAGTGTCCTATATAGCTAGTGCTAATTAGGGCAGGAACATCCTCTAGCAGAGTATCTTGTTATCGTTATTACTTAAGGAAGGTTACTAGAGTCTAGGAATCTAGAGGGAAGTAGTCCTAGAAGGGTAGAGGGGTTAGGTTCGGCTATCTTCCTAATGCTACCCCTAGGGTATTATTAGGAAAACACGCCTCGTATAGTTCTATCTAAGGAAACAAGAGCGAAGGAATAAAGTTATAGCAACATTAATCGAAGGTAAAGGCAAAAGCAAAAGACAACAATAGGATAAACTAAAAGCAATAAACGAGAGCATAAACATTAGCAGGAACAGACAGTAAGGACTGAAGCTATAGGGCGGCACCGCATTAACAGCGCGGAGAATAGTTAATAGAGGTAAGGAAAGCAACGTAGCAAGGAAAGCAACGCAGTAGAGGTAGGAAAGGATATGCGATTATTTAGTCTCGGGGTCGTCTAGCTATAATTCTAGGCGGTCTTTATCGCTAGACTAGTTAGGTTCCTCGGAGTTAGAGTTAGATAGCTAGAAGTCTAGTTTACTATTAGAATCGGAATTAACATCGGAAACGCTCTATATATAGTTAATCCGTATATAACCCTCCCTCTATTCTTAAGTTATTCCTAATAGCTTACTAAGACGAATCTAGGGATAGGTATAGTTCGTAGGTAGAACAGGATCTATAATCGCGGTAGGATCCTCCTCCCGATAGGCATCTAAGGACGGTAGAGGGTCTATAGAGGCACTAACTTCCTCCTCGGTCGGCGGAGGGCAGGCAGGTTCGCGTAACTTAACGATCTTCTTTAGATTAGCCCGAGGGTGAGAGTGCTTCAAGGTAGCACTATCTAGCTCCTAAAGAAGGTATACGGAACCCGAGTAAAGGACCTCCTTTACTCTATAAGGACCCTTCTACTTAAAGGCTAGCTTATAGGAGTAACTATACTCTAGCTCGGACCGGTATAGAAGGACTATATCGCTAACCTTAAGAGGCTCCTAGTTAATAGCATTATAGTCGTCGAAATACTGCTTAGCCTCCTTACGAAGGCGACGTTATCGAGCAAGTCCCTCCTAAGAAGTAGTAGTTATGTCTTTAAGAGCCTTAGCGCGTAGAGTAAGGAGATCTACTCTAGTACGAATAGACCCCTAGTCGTAAACGCTATGCGTACGGTAGGACAACTTAATCGGAAGAACGGCGTCCCTTCTAATTATAAGCTCTACTAACGTAAGTCTAGTCGTATCGATAATAGTAGTTCGATCCGCCTAGAGAAGGGCTAGAACGCGGGTAGAGATAGGAACGGACCTATCCCCTCTATTAGTTATCTTAGATAGGGCATTAATTAAAGACCGATAGCTACGCTTAATAATAGCATTCGACTAGGGATAGTACGGGGAGATGCGAACGTTCTTCGCCTTATACGAAATAAGCAGCGCTTAAACTTCTTTAGCTATATTATTCGTAGCGTTATCTAAGATAACCTCGTAAGGTGTTCCCTAGCGGCAAAACAGATCCTTAAATAGGAAGGTAGCTATATTACGGGCATTAATAGCACCGCAACCCTTGTAGAAATAATAGGCCTCCGGCTATCGAGAAAGACTCTCTCGAATAATATATAGGCTATTATTGCGGCTAAGATAGACCCTATCGCTATACTACCGCTCCCTAACTAACTAGGCAGTAGGGATACGTAGCTCTCTTAGACGTCGGTAGCTGTTCCTAAAGTTGCACTTAGGACAGCTCTTATAGTAGCGGGAGATATTAGCCTATACGCCGTTCTACTAGTAGCGACGACGAAGGACATCGAAGGTGCCCTCCGCCGCCCGGTAGCCGAGCTTATCGTAAATAGAACGAAGGATTTCTTGTCGGGCTACTAGATCGTTAATAACACGCTAGAGTAGCGCGTTAACTATAGCCTATCGCTAAAGGATGCGATCCTTAATAAGGAACCTCTAAGAATAGCGAATAACACGACGGTATTAACTCTTCGATAGACCGGGAGCTCTCTTCGTATAAGTAAGGAAGTAGGCGATATTATAGGAGTCGTCGGAGTAGACCCTATTAAGGATATTATCCCTATCTAGTTTGCCCGCCTTAGTATCGTCCTAGTCCTCGCCGTTAGTAGCAGGGTCGTCGTTAGGCTAGTTACTAGGGTAGTCGTCGGTAGTAGACCTAGTAATTACTAGTATAGTATTAATATAGAAGGTAGTAAAGAAGGTGCGGTTAATAACCGCGTCGACATCCTCTTCTTCTATTATCTCGGCAATGTCTTCCTCTATAGTAGGCCTTCTAGAAAGGCTATCCGGTCTAGTATGCTTCTTACTAGGAACATAGAAGACGTCGAAATTAAACAAATAGATCTAGGCAACCTACCGAGCTATCGTAGAGTTAGGCAAGTCGGAGGCTATACGGTTAAGTTAATAGACTAGCGTTTAAGTGTCGACTTCTAGGCGAAAGAACACTCTAAAGAGCTAAGGTCGGAACTTCTTAAGAGCCTTATAGACACTAAGGCACTCTCGCTTGCTAGCATCGTATCGGGCCTCGATAGGTTTCTATAGACCGGACTCGTACCGGATAGGGTAACGTAAGGAGGGCTTCTTACGATTACACTATATTAGTATCTCGCCGTAGCCTTCCCCGCTCGAGTCGATAGCAATAATTAGCAGACCTACGCCTTCCGAGTAGTTAATAGAGGTAAGCGTAGGCGCGCTAATAAGTGCCTTAGTAACCTTGTCCTTAGCGGCTTAGTAAACGGAGGTCTATTCAAACTCTGTATCCTTCTTAAGTAAGGCGTATAGGGGCTTGTATACTAACGTAAAGCTTTCGACCTAGATACGGAAGTAGGAGACTACTCTAAGCTAGATCCGGACATCTTTCTAGTAGGTAGGGTCGGGCTAGGACACAATCTTTAGGACCCGTATATTGTTAGGATAGCGGCCGTTCTTATTAGTTACAAACCCGATAATGTTTATTCGTTTGTATAGGAGCTAAAGCTTCTCCCTATATACCGTTAGGTTAGCTCGCTCTAGGTCGCAGAGGACACTATCGAGGTTCTAAATGTATTCGAGAAAGAACCTACGGATGCTAGGCTCTACTTCTTTATTATCGTACCTAGTTTTAGGGCCCTTAATGCCGATGTCGTTAAGGAAAGGCATCGCTATATAGGAGATATAGGCCGCGAGGACTTAGTTTATAATACGAACGAACTAGGCTACGGAGTTAGTTGCCCCTTAGGGAAGGGTAGTTTGTCTATATAGCCTAAGAGGTATCTCGAAACTAGTAAGGTCGCGGCTATTAGGATAGAGAGGGATCTAGTCGTAGCCCGAGAAAACATTAACTAGTAAGGCTATAATATAGTTAGTAAAAGCTTCCGAGAACCTATTAGTCTCCGGAGGGAGGTTAGCATCTCTAATCGTAACTACGTTGAACTTTTGTATAGCGTTAATTAGACGGTACTTCTTTAGTTCCCTAGGAGCTATCTTCTTCTAAACTAGGAAGTATAGGTTGCGATACGAGGCATAGGAAGGCTCTAAGGTACTAGCCTTTACACGCTACCGTATTATATCCTTAACTATACCTCTTAGGCTTAGGTTTAGCTTAAACCCTAGGTAAGCCTAAGGCTTATACTCGATCGTTCGGATCCTCTATAGAGGGGCAACCTCCGGGTTGATCCTGCCTAGATGCGTAAAGTTATATACTAATACGGCTTCGCGGTTGTATAGAAGCTCGTATAGCAAATCTAGTTTAAGATCCGAAAGCTCGATGCTAGGTTTAATGTTCGCTAGTCTCTCCGGCGTTAGCCTCGACCCCCTAGGAATAGCGGAGAACTTCTTAGTAATGTATCTCTAGTCGTATAGACTATCCCTAGGTATTAATATCGCTTCGCGGTTAAGGCACTTTTGTCGCTAGTTAGGATTTCCGCTAGGATTAGACCTATCGGTTATATACACGCTGCCCTTTATAGGCTTAATCTTGTTAGCTACCCTCTTATATAGGGTATATATACTAACCGCTCGTAATACCCGAGCCCTCTCTTTTTAACGTTAGGCCCGGAGATTGGCGTAGTAGAACAGCGCGTAAACTTTATTAGAAGTCTCCTTAAGTCGGTAGGTATACAGCTAGTAATCCTAATTTATAATTCCGGCGAAAACGTTAGATTCCTAATAATACCCTCGGGGTAGTATTAGCTCGGCGTTCTAATTAGTTAGTTCGGATTCGGGTAGATCCGCTTCCGGCGGCGATGCCTGCGATAGCATTATTACCGAGATTCGTACACTAGGTAGTCGTTATACTATTATACTCGCTATCGCTTCGAGCATTCGTCTCCTTAGTATAGAGCCTAGAAACTAGCCTTGTCGTATAGAGCGGCGCACCTCTAGATATAACCTATTTAAGCTATATTAACTTATAGCGTAGATTGCCGGTCTTATAACCGCGCTATAGCGTTTCCCGAAGAGCGCTTAGAAGCAGCAAGGATATCCTCGTAGAACTTGTAGCTAGTGTTTCCGATATAACTAGTAAACACGACTCGGTTGCCCTTCTAGTTAGCGATAGTTCCTTCCTAGGAGCTATCGTCGCAGTTGCGCTAGATACCCCGGGTTATACGAGACTATAGTCGACCTAGAATAATTAGCGTATTCGGGTTAGCGGCAATCTAGAAGGTAAAGGAAAAGCATATGCCGAAAGCGTCTACTATAATATTATAGCAGGCACCTACTAGCGTAACCTCCCTATTTACTCCCTATATACTAAGGGAAATATCTCTGTTTATTAGCAGTCGGAGCTGTTTAGCCTAGCGCTTACTTATAATAAGTAACTCTAAACCATTATTAAGCATTACTAGCAACTACTAACTATAGCTTCCGATAGTAACTTAGATATAGATAGCGGGAACGATAGCAAAGGAACGGGTAACTACGGAAAGGTCTATATTATTAGGGATAGAGTAAAGTTCCTTAGGTCGAGGAGGTCCTACTCGACCGATTTATTAGCTAGTAAATCGGACAGCCTTAATAGAAACTAAAACCGAAGCAGGGTCGGTATTATTATTATCCCCTCGGCCTATCTCCTTAATCCCCTCTTCGTTAGTATTATCGATAGTCTCCTAGCTCTCGTAGGTTACTAATTCGCCTTCTACTAACTCTTAGGCCCCTAAAAATTTAGGAAGGAACTATAGGGAAGAGACGTCGATATAGTCCTCTCGCCCCTATTTACGTCGGAGGGCTGTAAGGTCTTTTATAAAGGTAGCATCGTTAGGAATCCGGCTCTAGAACAGGTTAGTAGGCAAACCGATACTAGAAGCTCTCCTATAGATACGTTAGACTTAAGGTCTAGGAACTATAAAGCCTAGAAGAGAGCATTTGCCTTTATATCGTAAGAGTTAGTAGGCCCGGCACTATACTTCTTTATATACCTATTAAAGCGAAAGCTCTTTAGGTCGGCTAACTTTCGTTTATAGGCCGGCGGGTTAGCTAGACCTAGGGTACTACTAATATCGGTAGCAACATCCTCTATATCGACCTCTAGAGTCTCTAGGACGACTAGGCTTTCTATAGGTAGGGTGCTAGGTACGGTGCTAGGTATAGTGCTAGATCGGGTAGCACGGTCTATAGCTATCTAGAGAGTCTTAGTTTTTACGGTTAACTCGCGCTATTGCTTAGCCTTGTCGGCCGCCTTGTTCTTTAGTACCCTAGTAGGGGCTGCCGCACTAGGGCGAGTAGGGTTCTAAGGGTTCTTGCCCTTGCTTTAGGACTAGGTCTAAGACCGTATAGTAGCGTAGACATCTATACTGTTCTTAGTAACCGCGTAAACATTAGTAACTGCGTCCGGATCCTAAGATATAAAGTTAACTTTAATAGGCTTAGTAGTACTATTACTACTCCGCTCCTTAACCTGTTTTGCCCTAACCTTCTAAGTTTCTCGTTTAGTAATAGCGGCAAGGGTACTGTTCCTAGTGTCCTTAAACTCGATCTTACTACTATACTTCTTCTCTAGAAGACTCCTAAGTTAAGGCAGCTTCGGAGCTCTACGATCCTACTCGAAGTTAATCTTATCGCCGGTATCGGTATAGTAGAACCGACTATTTACTTATATAACGAGCTTCCTCTTAAGAAGCTCTTTCTAAATAGGGCAGTCTAATTAAACATATTTGAAACCGCCGTATATCTAGCACTTGCTATCTAAGTTAGAATAGATCTTTCGCATAGCGTAGACGTTAACTAAAGGGGCCTTAGGGTAGTTAGGATCGGAAATCTAGTAGACCGGTAGTACATCCTTTAGTATACTAGCATTAATAACCTCCCTAACTCGCTATAGTGCTTTCGTATTAAGGTTGAGCTAGGCTAGGGATTTAGCTAAGTCCGTAACGTCCTAAGAATACTTAGTAACGGTAGGAGTTACGGTACTAGGACTACTTTGCGATTTAGGAAGAAACTTAGGCCCTCTAGTTCCTAAGGCATCGTTCCTTACCTAGGCTAGGTTATTCCGGTCCTCGCCGTAAATGAACTTCTTTATATCGGCGGAGCTATTAATATCGTCCTTAATAGCCTCTAGGACCTCTTTATACTTCCTAAAGGTCTTAGGATTAGCTTCGCTAAGCTTATAGCGACGGAAGACACGCTTAGCCGTAGACTACGGCAACCCTTTAAGGAGCAGCCTCGTTCTTTAAGAATTCTCGAGGTCCTACTAGTCGATACCGTCCGCTAACTTAACAAACTCGCGGACGTACTCCTTTAGGTCGTTATCTTCGGTACGCCTCTCTATATAGAGGTTCTTAAGCTACGTACGACTGCCTTTAATGCGACGGCTATCGCGATCCCGATACTCCCTTATAAAGGCCTGCTTAAAGACCTCCTAGTCGGTATTAGACTTGTCGTCCTTTTCTAGGTAGCTAACTAGGGTTCTAAGGGTTCGGTAAAGCTTAGTAATAGTAGTCCTCGTAAGGGACCGGACCTTGTACTAGTCCGACTCCTTTTCGAGTCCGTACTCGGCTAAGTTATCCTTAAAGCGTTCTACGTGCGCCGTAGCGTTCTACCCTTCGAACAAAGGGTTCCTACTACTTCCTAGCTCTAGTAGGCGACGCCTGTTCTAACGGAGAAGGTTAGTTTGCCCTTGAATTATCTTTATAACGATATTATAGAGGGCCTCGGGCGTAGAAGGCTCGATAGCCCCTAGTTCGACGGCGCTTATAACAACTGGTCGTCGCCTAATTTCTTCGTTAATAGGGTCTAGTAGGTTATTAGATTCCGAAGATTCCGCTAATTCGTAATACTCGTTTTCGCTAGAGCTAGAGCTTATTCGATTATCGTAAAGTAGTTAAAATAAAATACTATAGGAAAGTGTTTTTAGTGTATGTTATAGGTTTGGTTTGTTTCGATATTACTATACGAGAGAATAGTATACTAGGCTGTTTTCTTCTAATATTACCCTCGGGGTAGCATTAGAGTTTAGCCTCCTAGGGGTCGCCTATATACCCCTAGGAGCTAAGTTTAGTATTAGACGAAAGCCGCTTAGAGGGAGAGACTGCAATCTCTATTTATACCTAGATCCTAGAAACTAGCTCGTATCTCCTTTAGCTAGGCGGGAGGGGGCGGGGACCTTCTTTTTCTAGTAGAAGGCTAAGCACTATCCGAACGAGGCAGCGAATCCCGAAACAGTCTACCCGGTTAATAGGGGAACTGTCTAGGCATCCGACCTATAATCTAGAAATTGCTATCGTATAGATAGTCTTAGCAAACTAAGCAAGGCCGATAGGTAATTAGTCTATCTCCTCCTTAGGCGGGGCTTATCTCGAGCAAGCGGTACTAAATAGGTCTTCGACCTAGAGCCGAGTCCTTAGAAGCTAGCTATAGTTATAGACTAGGCCCTAAGCTATAATAGTCCTAAGGGTTTATAGCTTTTCGGGGTTAAAGCGATGCCCTCGTTAAGAGGTTTCTCTACTTGTCGTAACGGCCCCTTAAGATACTTCGGTATCGTCCGTATCGTAGGCTCTTATCGTACCCTCGCTTCGGTTATAGCTATTCGTGCCTAGAGACTACCTTTAATATACCCGAACCTGTTAAATATAAAGAGATAGCCCTACCTTCGGCTCTAATAAAGGACGGAAACTAATACTACTACTACTACTTATAGCAATAGTATAGGCTACCGAGGGTAATATAACCTATAGCAATATAGGCAGCTATATTTAGCAAGATAGGATAACGAGACTATCGCTTAGGCTAATAACTAGAGCCCTACAACATAGGCATTATAGAAGTATAACATAAACAATGTGCTATACGAGGTTGATGCTCTATCTATAATATAGAAGGAGGCCTCTTATATAGGCTTAAAACTAGCCTATAAGTATAGGGCCGGTTACTAGCTAATAATATATAAGCTATATTCTAGTCGTATTAGTCTATTAGGTACTCGAGAACGACCTTTAAGCTATTACTAGCACCTCGTACGTCCTACTAACTATTAGCTTCTATTATCGACTAGGCCTCTACTATCGACTCGAGAGGCAACCCTACTAAACTTACTATATAATCTATCGAATAGTAGTATAGCGAGCCTACCTCGGTAGAAGCGTTAGGCGACGACGAAGCGACCTTATATATATACGGGTCTTTATAGTTCTTCGAGCGATATATAGCAATTACTATATACGAGGCCTCGTACCTATTCTTATAATACTCTACCTTCCGAATACTATCTAGCAACTCGCGCGGCCGATTCGAATCTAACCGACAACGATAATAGTATATTATCCGCTATATTAATCTATCCTTGTATCTGTCCTACGCCTTCTAGTACTAGAAGTTACTAGTAAATAGCTATATCTTATTAAATTTGTCTATAGCTAAGAATAGGCTATTTTTAGGTAGATTAAAGAGCTGTAAACGCAGTAATATATCGAGACAAGAGGGGATTAAATAAGCTATTATAATAAAGAAAGAGCGTAGAAATTAGCCTACCTATATGCCTTAAACAATACCTTATATATAGCTATATAGCTAATTTTTCGTCGATATAACGACTTTCTACTATAATATAAAGTCGCCGACTAATGGATCCCCGGCATGCCCGATTTGGCTAGCAAAAATGGCTATATCTCGATTCATTAATCGACTCCACTACCACCGAGTATGTCCGTAAATGTAAGCAATCCACCACAACCCTTGCACGCTAAAAACCTGCTACAACCAACACCATCTCCACCGACCACCGACACGCGCCCGCTCTTCTTGTTGCCTCCTCACAGCCTGCCTTCCTCACCTCCTGCGTCCACCGCCTGCCATATCTCGCACGTCCTGCGCTACTCGCTGCTTCAACATCACTGCCCCGGGTGCCCCCCAATTACCATTGTGAGATGAACCCTGACGACCGCCGCGCCTACATCACCGCCGCATCCTGTCACTCTTGTTGCTGACTTGTCGCAAGTCTTCGAGCCTACGCCGACGCCTACGCCTGCACCTGGCACCTCCTTCTGTGACCTCATCCCAGCATCCAACTTCTCGCCACACCCAATCACGCGCACAATGATGGCCTCGACATTATAGCACCGGCGGCCCACTTGGGTCATCGTTAATCCTTCTACCGGAACAGCAGTATCAGTCGCAGCACCACGCCACCGACACATTCACCCCATTTCTTCCCCTCCTCCTCACCACCTCCACCGCCGCCATGCATCCGAGAAACACAGCCCAGCCGTCCATGCCGACCGCGACTACTGGCATGCATGAGTCCGAAGACTTACTCGCCGAAGTCGACGAACCGCCCGACGAAAAACAACACCCGTCTACCACTACCTGCGCCCCGCCAAACTTGCCATCTTTGACTTCTTTCGCCAAAGCCGACCCTCGAATGTACGAGCGAAGAGAGTCGCTCCTGACGCGACAACTGCACTCCGAAACAGAACACACTGACGAGGAAGGTGACTCTCGTGTGCCACCCCGCGCCCAGAGCACTCAATCGACCTGGAGTAACCCAAGCGTCGCCTCCACTGCGGAACTCACCAGCGATGATGGTCATAGTCTGGCCAGTCCCGCCATTTCACCACCACTTCCGCCAACTACCATCATGTCATCCATCCCCATTCCCGAGAAGGCATTGACCAAGGAACCGCACATTGTCGGTCAGGACGAGAAGCCTGCACATGGAGCCTCTGAAAAGACGGTCGAGGCAGGCTTAGGCAGGAAGCGATGCATATCGTTCGCATGCGGTGGCAAGAAGATCGAGAGGCCTCCAACATCACAGCCAAAGGAGACTCCCAAGACAGCAGAGCCGTTGCCATCTTCGGCCTGCCCGCCAAAGCGAAAATGTGCTTTGAAGTTCATCTGTCCCACTCGATCCGCAGCAGAGAGCACACCACCAATGGAGAGGACAAGCTCCGGAAGACGCATCGTCAGTCCTCCGCCTCCGGAGCGGAGATCTGCGAAGTCTGAATCAAATTCCCATCGCGGCTCTGATTCCACTGTCACCCATGCTTCACCAAAGAGCTCCCGCAAAAGTCCCGTCATTGTCGAGACTGCTTCCGCGCCCACTGCAACCCCTTCTGCAAATGCGCATCAGCGCAAAGTGTCCGACGATGAGTCGGATGCCAGCACAGAAGCAATTCGATTCCACGAGTTCGCTTCTAGTGATGACGAGCCGGAAGAATGGGTGCAGGAGTCTACTTGTCATCGCAGCCGCTTGACGGTCAGCGACACTCTCAAGAAAGAGACCTACATCCGCAAAGCGTGCGAGGAAGTCGAGGAAGAAGCTGTCGAGGAAGAAGAGGACGAGGATGATCTCGATGCGGAAGCGCTCAACGAGGACGATGATGACGATGATGACCTCGAAGCCGAAGACGAGGACGAGGACGAAGAGGAGGAGTCTGACGATGGCTTCCGTACCGATGATGAAGATGGCTTTGCCGAATCCGATTCTGAAGGTGAAGCGAGCGACGACGAGTGGTGGAGACCTAGTGCCGCTGCATCGACGGCCGCGACTTCAATGGATCGCCTCGACCTCGCGGCCAATGCCAAACACCAAGACACCGCGCTGTCTTCTTCGGTGGGCTCTGCAACTTCAAGCCACCTCTCGCCAAGAACTTCGCTCAGAAAGGCTCGTCGCAAGAACCATGCTCACGGGGTACCTATCCATCCTAGGGCTGAGCCAGTCGATCTTCCAGATTCCACCGACTTTGTGTGTGGCACTCTCGACGAAGACAGACCTATTGAGCAAGCCTTCATCAACCACCGCAAGCAGCGTGAGGCGGCGAAGCATAAAGCACGACCGCAAGACATTGACCCAACTTTCCCTACCTCGGATCCCGAACTGGATGAAGAGGACGATGAGGATCTCGTCGACCCGGAAGAGAGCGACTGCGAAAGTCTGATGCACGGCAAGCTCGATGATCTGGACGGCGACACCACGCTCCGACGTCGACCATCGCATAGTGCACGCAACAAGACGAACGTGCACAGATCCCCACCACCTCCAGCTCGCCACAGGTCTCCCGCTCCGTCTGCTTTGAAGCGGGTGCCGGCCAGCGCTCGGTCACCTCCGCCTCCTACCACTAGACGCAGCACTGCTCGATCTCCACCACCTCGCAAACTCTTTGGTGGTCACTCTCCAAAACGAAGCCGATCACCACCAGCACCGCTCACCATGATGACGTCGCCCCCAAACACAAGGCGAGCATCGCCAAACTTCCACGCCGATGCTGCTGCAAACGTGCTGGCCAGCCGCCCACAGCTCACCCACACCTCATCACTTCCTCGCGGCGGCGGCTTTTATCTTGGTAAGCCCAACGGTTTCCGCATCGACGACGGAGAAGACGACGAGCCGGCCGATCACGCTAATACCGGCGACTACCATAAGCGTGGCGCCATTGACATCTACAAAGGCCTGGAGAAGAAGCGTCAACGACGCAAAGAGAAGATGCTTCAAAAGGCCTGCGCGAAAGCAGCTGCCAAGGGCGAGAAGAACTACCGAGTCAAGCCTGGCAGAGGAGCTGAACGCATGCGCGAGCTGGGCCTTGAGCTTCAGCGATACCGCGGCAAAGGAGAGCATATTCTCTCCATGTAACTGCCACTACCGTCATCACCTTTTACCATTCTGTGCGAAGAGCACAGCGCCGCCGGCACTGTTTCGGCACTTTAACGGGCTTTCAGCAGTCTCCGTGATGACTCATGAGAAAGCCTGTCTGGTCGCTGCGCTCGCTACTACATTTTCAATTACAAGCTACTTTGTTATTTCGGCATGAAGCATCTGAGCGTTTTTGCTCAATGGCATTGGATTTCTGATTCATGCATTATACCAGTAACGCAAACGGCACGGCAATACGAATGAGCGTTCTAGCATCCGATCTGAATTGAGACGGCAGAGTGACGATACCAATGAGAGAGCACACTACTGAGAAGGAAAGAGAGAATCAATCATGCTAAGGCCTGCTACAGCTTTGCTTTGGGGCGTTTGATGGATTTCACTTGGGTTGTGCTTGGTTTTTCTTTTTCCTGTAAATATGATGTTACTGAGGCAGGCGACTTGTCTCGCTTCATTGAATCAATCACTTCACGCGCCTCAGAATTTTATCTCCGCTTGTTTCAATCAACTTCTCCCAATCTCAACTCCTGATATTGTATTGATGCACTTCCTATTTGGAATGTCGCAGCCTGGTCCTGGGCTGACCAAGACGGATGAAGTCAACCTTGATGCGTCTTTGTGACATACCAAGAGTCTTGGTCCTTGGCATGCGTGCGTGTTTGCTTGGCTGTACTGTACACGTACGTACTGTACTGTACCTTTGATGCGTGCGTGTATCTGTGGCTATGTCGGATTTCCGAATACTGATGAGCGTGAACGCAGTGACAATATATGTACAGTAAGTTTTGTCGACCTGCCGGATGAAGTGAGATGTGTGATGAGAACAAGGTAAGTAGCTCGTCAGTAGTTACGGCGTATGATGCTAATGTACTGTCTGCCCTCTGAGATGCGTGGGTTTGGGAAAAGTATAGAGGGGTATGTATCCATCGTCCATCGTTTTGATTCAAGGTCGTACGGACGGACGTCCGTATGCTAATGGTAGGTAGCTTGATCCGGTCTCCGTAGCCAGCTCATTCATGCTCCGGAAGCACGTCGAATGCCAAAACTCATCTTATTATCAAGAGAGAGAGATAAGCTTAGTATAGATAAACAGACCACCACCAGCATGCAAAAATCAGAGAATTTCCTGCACGTGTTCCTCTCGCAGTTTGCCCGAATCATGCTACACCACTTCACCCACCCACCCACCTCCCTTACCTCAAATCCTCAAAACATCCCCAACCTCAACCATCAAATTCGGCGTATAATTCACCCCCTTCCCATCCCACCAAACCCTCAAACTCTTAATCTCTTTCCTCCCAAATTCTTCCTCGTGTTGCACCAACATCCAAACCACCCCACTCACGTTCGGGGTCGCAATCAGCGCTTCGAAACCTTCGTGTCCCGGTTCAAACATATCTCCAGGCCAAGGTTTTGCTTTGAAGTCGCTGTCGCTTTGCTTGGACTTTTTTCGCAGGGCTTTGGTGATCATCTCTTGAGTTTTTCGGTTCGTGATGTTGCGGCGGAAAATCCAACGGAGGTTTTGCGGGGATGATGAAGAGAGGTGGATGTATTCGAGGGAGGTGAGGTCGGACCATTGGCGGAGTTGGACGATGGGGAGGGGTTTGTTTCTAGGTAGGAGGGAGGATGGGTGGTTAGATGGATGGATGGATGGATGGTGATGAGGATGGTGAGAGAGAGAGAGAGAGGGAGGGAGAGAAGTTTTACGTACCGAGAATCTTTCCATGGGTTGTGAGAGGCTTTGCCGTTTGCGATTTGGGATTCGGGACCGTAGTTGTCGTTTGCTAGGATTATGCCGTGGTTGGGATACTGGTGATGGAGAGGGAAATATTTGTAAGTAAGGACGCGTCAAGAAGATTTTGGAGAGAAGGAGTGCTTACGTAGACATTGACATACTCGCCATTCGTGGCCTGATCAGATTGGTGAGTGAACACATCAAAAGATTTCATGCTAAGGTACCTACTCACCGGATAATTTCCCACATCCCTATCATGGTCGAATCGTACTTTGATCCCATTAGACAAGTCCGTTCCAATCATTTTGATCATTGATTGATAATCTCCACTCGTGACATGAGTATAGTCAACAGTCTCCTGTCTTCTAGTCCAGCCTTGAGCCTCGATGTCGCTATGCTTCGTAAACTTTGACACGGCCTTGTCTCCGGCACTCGCAGGATCTTTCATCCAGCAGATAAATTTCCCACCTTTCTTTGTAGCAGCTTTGTAGTCATCTGTCCATGGAGCTTGACGACTCTCCAAAGAAGAGGCGTTGTGGTACGAGTCGACTATGGGGATGTGGCTGTTGAGGGCATGTTCATGTGCCTGCCTTTCTTCGATGTGATCGATGGGTGCAAACTTGGATTCAGAGCCGTATGCAGCACTGAGAAATTCCAACTCGGTCTTCGTTCTTGAGCAAGATGTACCAAGACAGCCGCTGCTCAAATCTGAAGCCATCTTATACGTTGCCATCCCAGCCACCAGGAGCAATACAATGCATATCGACGGCCTGCCATTGATGGCAAGACGATACCTGGTGCGAGTCATATTGCGATTGCTCCTCGATCGAGACTTGTTTTGGTTGGATGCGAGGCCAGAATAGGGTTGTGGTGCACTGAAGTCGCTGGTGCTGTGTGGCTCGAATTTGTAGGTAGCTGGCTGGACAGGAAAGTGGTTCAAAAGGTTTGCTGGCGCGGGAGTGTTACGGTCATGGTGCAATCTGAGCTGGCCATGGGATGGCTATTGGTGATGCGTGATCGCAATGGTCGGTGACGATGTGTTGGTTGCCAACGCGTTGACGTGGTATCATGCTACGGAGATCATGAGCAGTACATTATCATCGCCACTCATCACGGGCTCCTCTAATCACAGGAGTAAGTACTGCCTGTCGCTCACTGGCATTATTCATAAATCTTGTGATAACAGTTCCGAGCTCTGAAGAATTAGAGGAGTCGACAAGACATATACACACCTATCTAGACAATAATCCAGCCTGCGTGGGGGTTGAAAACTAGTAATTACCTTGACGCTTCTATGCTTCTCCAGTATTCTTGTCCAAGCGACGCCTACCTTCTGCGTTTCCGCGTTTGAAGGCAGCCGTAAGCACTTTCGTTCATGTTGCTGCTATAAGAGTCAGCTCAGCCAAGCTAATGTTGTAAAAATCAACCATGCTTGCCTGAGCGCCTTTAGTCATTACACCGTCCCGTGATATCCCTGAAATGAATGCCAGTCTCGCCTGGCCACTCTGACCTTCAACATTCCTTAGTCAAAATCGCGAAAGCTGTTGCTCCGCGCCACTCATATGCTGCTTGCAGATATGCAAGACTGGTTGCAAGGCTTATCGGGTACCTCATGTATTTGAGTTGAGTTGTAACGCCGTCATTGAATCTCCAGCGAACCGTGTCTTCCTTCGAAGCTGGGCATCGACCTGCTATGATCACGTCTCGTGATGCGTGCAATCCTCTAGCGAGAGACGTCGCTTTTGAGCGTAGCAATTTCTTGCGCTGTTTGCATTCTGTTCCGCGTGTCAAATTTTGCACCTCCATTGTACCAATATCTCGGCCGTGTACTATTAGTAGCTCTGTGGGAACTGGCTGGCCGGTGGACTATTGAGCATGCTGTTGCGCTTGTTACGCCCCTTCTTAATGTGATTCTTCAGCGCGCTTGAGTCCAGAGGCTTCAGGAGTTCAAAGGAGCACAGTAACTCGCCGGAAACGCTCATGACAGCGCCCCAATTGTCGAATTCGCCGCAGTACTGCAAGCATGTTAGTGGTGGCCATCAAACAAGATCCCAAGACACTACTTACGTTTGGTGCTGAGAAGACAGTGACTAAGATTCGCTCATTGAAGAACTCGTAACCATCCTCAACCACCATGTGCGCTCGGCAGACCAGATCAAAGTCATGCTTCTGCAGGAATTCCATGATGACTTTCTTGCCGAAGCAGTAACTAACGCCTCTTTCATTGGCTTCCCAGTCGGCCTCCATATCCGCAGGATCGGACCAAAGCAGATCATTAAGCAACCCATAATCGGGAACATCAGTCGGTCTTGCGATGCCGCGAATGTCGTCCATGTGCGACAGCGATGGTGACAAGCCACCATGGACGCAGAATATCTTGCCAGCCACGATGGCGGCAATTGGCAGTGTGTTGAATGTATCAACGAAAGTCTTCCACACTTTGACATTGCACCTTCGCTTGCACTCATCGTAGAATCCATAGACTCTTGTGACATTCGCACACTCATGATTGCCTCTTAGGAGGAAGAAATTCTCCGGGTATCTGAGCTTATAGCACAGAAGTAGTAGAATGGTCTCCAGACTTTGCTTGCCGCGATCGACGTAGTCCCCCAGGAAGAGGTAGTTACTGTTAGGAGGAAAGCCGCACATCTCAAACATGCGGATCAGATCGGTATATTGGCCATGAACGTCTCCAACAATCTTTACGGGTGGCGATAGTTCCAAGAGCGCCGGTTGCGATAGGAAGAGCTCGCGAGCCGCATTACAAATAGCAGTAATTTCAGCATTCTTGAGGCAGACAGTCTTAGTGACCTTGCCCGCGTAGCCTGCATCCACGAGTCGCTTGATCATATCGTCCAGATCGGAGGCTTTGAGCGCGCCGATGTTCATGTCTCCCGATGCTGAGGGTGACCGTGACTCTGGATCGGATGCTGCAATTGCGAGTGCGGCAGCCGCGCCCTGCCCGTTAGGCTGGCGCTTCACCAAAATTGACTCCGTGGGCTCTTTATTATGCGATTGATGAATGTTTCCCTGAGGAGGTGCATCTGATACAGCGTCTACTTCTCCGCTGCGTTGGGCCTCCTCGATTTCGCCGTGTCCACCTCCAACCGAGGCGGACATGGTCGGTGAGGGCGGTGGTTGATTCTCATCTTCGTCCGCTGAACTGCCTCTGCGGGGCGTCTCAGATATAGATGCTGATGCGCGACTGTGTTTGCCAGAGCGACCCGCAGTGGCTGACTTGACGGACTGCGAATCAGTCTTGTCGAGGCTCGTGTTTGACTCCGCGCCTGCCAAATTGCTGCTGCTCGCTCGCGGGCTGTCAGTGGAGGTCTTGCCAGGGATCTTGGTGCGTAGAGCACTTCTGAAGGAGCGCGATGACTCTTTCGTGTCGGATTTGCTAAAGGACGGGTAGGAGTCCAGACTGGGCCCAGTGGGTGTCTCCGAGCCGCTCTTGCCCTTGCCGTCCTTCTCCTTAGACGGCTGGTTTCCCATGGCTGCAATGTAATGCTATGCGCGCAGGAGGCAGAGATATTGTGCTGTGCGGTCGAAGGATAGGTTGCCTGATCTCGGCGATAAGATAAGAATGATGACGAGGTCGGTGGTAGCAGCGTCGTGTCCCGAGAATGCGCGCGCCGAGCCTCGCAGATGGAGTAGTGCTATGGAGGTCGGAAGAGTCTCGCTAGGTAAGCAAGACAGTGAAGCTGAGCGGACGCGGTCAAGGTGCCCTTTGCATGGACGTTGTGGTGATGAAAGCCTGCTCCGCCAGTGATGTGACGATGCGCTGGGGGAGGAGACTCGTGTTGCTGCCGGCGCTCCAGACTGATGGATGGCGGGGCGGAGTGGGGAGGGCGGAGGGCGGAGGGCGGAGGCGGAGGCGGAGGCGGAGGGCGGATGACGCTATGCGGTGCGCGGTGTTGTTCGTAGCTGCTTCACGACGACCGGGAGGCGAAGGCGAAGGTGAAGGGGCGAGCGGTGGCTGTTGCTGTTCTCCAGCTTTTCGTGGAGGAGGTATGCACACTAGAACCAGTCATACGCTCAGCCACGCTCTCGTTGACGGTGTTTGCGCCGCCGATAAGCGATCCCACACGAACGAGGCAGATACAAAGGACGATATGGTTCGCAATGACTTACGCCCAGCACACGTTTCGACGTTTCGAGGCTCTGTTGTCGATATGTCACGAGGGCGCAGGGATAGACGGAGGACAAGGCCACCACAACACGGGAGCAGCCGAAGCGAAGCGGAGAAGATCTGGCTACGGGGCAGCATGTGAAGGCCGCTGATCCACAGAACCAGACCACCGCGTTACATGCACGACAGCCCTCTGGCCATGCGCCATGGTCATTGTGACATTGATATATGTACACTTGGTGTACAGCGAACACAAGAAGAGCTTGTATCGACCTGTTCTGAAGCAGTCCCCGAGCTTACATCTCCTCCTCTTCCCATTCCTCATCGCCCTCCTCCTCACCAAACACACCCTTCCACACCCTCCCTGCAAGGCCCTTCTTCTGCACCATCGCCAGCACAAGCACAATCGGCAGCTGCCACACACTGGCCCAGAACAGCGCCCGAGCAGAGCCTTTCTCGCCATTCAGCCTCAACATTCTCCAAGCTTCCTTCAGCATCCAGGCATTGATGATCGAGCTGGTGACCACAAAGGCTGGGTCTGTGACTTGGTAGTAGCTTAGCCCCACGCAGACCGGAAACATTGCCAAACTGTATCTGAACGATACCCTTGCGGCCATCGGCATGTTGCTTGATACCAGCATCCTGTATCCAGCGCCTGCGTATTCCTGCCGTACACCATATGCCAGCGCGAAGAAATGCGGGAATTGCCAGGCAAAGAGTATGCCAGCTATCAACCAGCCTCCAATGGCCTGTTCGGTGAACAACAATTCTTTTGCTTCATCCCATGCCGATCCCTGCGTTCCGTCTGTGGTACTGTACTGACTGGCCGCGGCACACCATCCCATCAATGGAGGAATCGCCCCCACAATTGCCCCAATCCAGGTATTGACTGGATGCAACCTCTTCGAAAATGTATATGCAAATGCGTATATCCCAATGTTGGTAGCTCCGAGGGTGGAGGTGGTAGGGTTGACTCCATACCATAGCAGCCCTGTTCCCATGATACCTGTTGCAATCGCGAACACGAGTGCAGCTCTCTTGCTTATGAGTCCTCGTACAAGGGGCCTATTCTTCGTCCTACTCATTTTGGCATCGTATTGTGGTTCGAACAGCATATTTAGAGTATTTGCGGAGGCAATCTGCAGAAATGTCCCGCTTGTGAGGAATAAGAGTGTAAGCGTGCTGAGTGATGGAGCGTCTGTAACGGATGTGCTCAGCAATGTTGGCACAGGATATATGGAATATGATGCCGTAGCTGTGAGAACGACAAGGAAAGCCAGTCGTGGTTTAGAGAGGGCTAGATATGTTGAAATCACTCGTCGTAGTGATTTTGCCGGTGCCGCGGCCGCATCTCTGGACAATTGAGAGGACGCATCTGGAGGAAGTGGCATCTCTCCCGAATCATTAACCGCCGCCGCTGCAGCCGCTTTTAATCGCTTTCGTCTTCGGTGTGGTGGTTCTTCAGTTGCAGATGATGTGATGTCTGCTGTCGTAGATATAGATTTCGTTTCGCCAGGCGCATCGCTCCTCGAAGGCTGACTCAGATTCCTGGACCCATTCTCTTGTCCATTTCTGAAAGCATTTGCCCAGAAGAATCTCCTATCGACCTCTTCCTCTCTGGATATTGCAATCTGGACCTGGCGTTGCTTCACGGCTCGCGAAAACGGTCGACATTGCGGCTCTCGTATTCGGGAAAGCCTTCTCGCGCATCGCAGGCATATTGATCCAGCATCGAGAGGGTTGGCGAAGACCGCTGGCGGTCGACGAAGGAGCATTGGCGGGAGTTTGTATTCATGTAGAGGACGGCAACAGATCGAAACATCACGATCGACATTTGAGATGCGATCCCGAAACTCTGGGTCCGGCCCGGAGCAGAGCCTCATCGCGTGGACAATGGCTGGAGCATTCAACGTCTCCCTTCCCTATCCTCATGATATGAATATTGTTAATTGAAATATCATCATTCCGACGATAACGTCAGTGAGTTGAGAGAATCAGGGCGGCATGATGTTGGCAGCATGCAGCATGATGTTGGCCGGGTATGCTCCTGCTCATACACCCAGAGTCAGACTGACAAAATGCACAACCTCGTCTAGACTTGCAAGAGGTCTCGGAGCTTGGATCAGAACTATTCCTCCTCCTCCTCTTCCACTGCTACGAACGTGCAAAGAAGGAACAGCATGCCCCAAAATAACGAACTCGGACTCAATGGCAAACCCGGCGACGGCAAGCATACTTTGAAACCAGGAATCCCATTATTATCGAGGCATAACTAAACGGGAATATGGCACCATCACCGTCACGAAGGAGACTTCGGAAATACATAACTCAATTCCTGAAAGAAGATACCTGGCCATGCTTGCAAGCAATGAAGCCGATATAAGAGCAAAGCCGCTGGCTCAGAGAATAGCTGCTTTCGACGCTCTTGCTCGGCTCTGCAATCGGGTGGAACCTCAGGGGGTTTCACATGCTGGCCGCTGGTCGTGGGGTCTACCTGTCCCAACGGTTGGCACATACTACAGCGGCCTTTGGTCCCCTATTCAGTGCCTGATTCGTTCACCATTCATTCAACCGTGAAAGCCGTGGCATAGAAGCCAGAAATAAGCAAAGTCGAGCAAGGTTAAGCAAGGTCGAGCAACGCTGAATCCCCACGCAATTGCTCAAGCATGCTCTTCAAGCCCTCCAACAATTCAGTGTGCTTCGCACTTCTAATCTCCACCTCCCAAGCAAATGGCTTTGGACGATTGACCATTCCCGCCACGGGTTCCAGTTTGACTGGAATCTCCCTACCGTTGGCATCTCGCGCTTTGCGAATGTCGAAACACGCTAGGAACTGCACCATGGTAATATACACGCTGGCATCCGCGAAAAAGCGGCCCGCACATGACCCACGTCCATATCCGAAAGCGATGTCGCTAGGGTCTGGCTCGTTCAACGGCGGTAGGTAGCGCTCGGGATTGAAAGCTTCTGGGTCTGAGTATGTTGCTGGGTCGTGCAGAAACCACCACAGCGATGGCAGCAAGTATGTACCTTAGGGAATGCGATACCCTTTGATTATCATTTCTTCCTCGCTCCGGTGTGCAAGCCCCATGGGCCCGACGGGGTTCCATCGCCATGCTTCCTTGATAATGCCGTCGACGTAAGGCAGATTCTTGCGGTCGGCAAAGGTGGGAAGACGACTACTTCCAACTACCCGATCGATCTCTTCATGGGCCCTAGTGACGCTCTCGGGATGAATAAGCAGAGCACAGATGACGCTCTGCATGATGGCAACGGTAGAGTCCGAGCCTGCCGCGTACATGCTCACAGCAGTCCATTTAATCGCGCCTTCTTCCTCCGGCGGAAGCTTGGACATTCCACCGTGCTTTGCGGCCTGTGACTTGAGCAGATTCGCGACATACGACGGCCGCTCGGTCTTTGCTTGCATTTGTTGCTTGACGAACGCGTAGGGGAGATTGGCCGCCTGGTAGTTGACTTTGGCGTATTCTGCGGCCGTCTTCCGAGACCCCGTGCCTGGAACACCATCGGGCAGATACTGGATGGCTGGGATTGCGTCGACTGCCCATTTGAGGGGAACAAATGCCTGTGAGAGGTTGTCCATGGCGTGTTCGATCACTTCGCACAACGGATCACGTCCGTCACGCTCGATCTCGTAGCCATACATGACTTTGACAATGACGGCAGCCGCAAGACTATGTAGTCATTAGTTGCCGACGAGAATTGCAGTAATGGCAAAGGGGGTCAACTTGCGTTTTCGAATGCACCATCCTCGCAGCAGGATTCTTGTAGACCTGCAAGACGAACAATGTAGCTTCACGCTCCTAGTGCCCTTCATCAGCATTTCGGACGAAAACACATGGATGGCACTTGCACGGGATGCGCACTTGGATAGGTCGAAAGCCGTCTGCTCGGAGAGACCGGGACAGCGTTAGTGTTTCAGCGTTTGAGCGGCTACCGGTTTCCTGTACGCACCTGAAAGGCTTTTAGTGCCAACCTTATGATGGACCATTTTGCGGTGCAGACGATACGTGTCGTTATACTGGTGAGTGATGAGGAATTGCTCGAACCCTGCCAGAGACGCGAAATTAAACTGCGGTCTGGCGGCGGTCTTCTGGGCCTTCTTCGACAACAGCGAGTACGCCACCTCTTTATCGTGGATAATGACCAGCACCAGGCCCATCAGTGTAACAGAGCTGACGGGGCCATACTTGTCCTTATGCCTGAACCAGTGCTTGAACTCGGGCACGCCTGAAGGCGGGAGATCCAGAACATTGCCAACGAGTGGAAGAGGCTTGGGTCCGGGAGGGAGTGGCATTTGAAGCCTTTGAACTCTTGCGGTCAAGAATGCCAGGCTGAGCAATATCCCGACCGCAAGCTCTGTTACCACCTTCGGGAACCTTTCACGGTTCCAACATGTCTTTTTCGGTGAAGAAGAGCTTTATATGGCGGAAACACATACCCCAAGCTACGTTGGATTTTGATGTAGTCCATATTTGTGCGAGGTTATGGGAGAGACCGTAGATCCAGATGTGGTAGTCCCAACCAAGTACAACGTATATGAGCAAGCTGTCTTTGTCTGAGCCCGATATGGCCATATGGCTTGGCCTTCTAGACGTTCAGACATGGTTCATACAATGATTGTTAGTTACGTTTTCTGCGATATCTCAGCCTATAGAGAAGCTAAAGACTCGCCGCAAAGTAGAGGGGGCAGCTGTACTCAAGCCAAATTGAATAGTATGATTGAAAAAGCTTAAGTGCCTGAATTGCGTTCAGCAAAAAAAATCGGTTAAGAAGAAAATCAACAATTTTTGACCGGACTGTTTAAAAACCAACTAGCGTATATATCGTTCAATAATTGATTCTTCGTTCGTCGATAAAAAAATTAATCTACGATTTGTATAGCCAATTTAAGCCCGATCAATCCAAAAGTTTGCATGGACAGAGTCTAACTGTCATTCTCCCGCGGACTTTTCTCACGTTAGCCTTGGCCTTCGCCTATCAATGACTTTCGAATCAACTTACGAGGCTCGAACTCTCAACCTTGAGATGTTTTTGGAAACCAGGCTCTAAAAGTCTCACGCGCTAGCCAATTGTGCCACGCGGGATGCGCCAGAGGCGTTCATCAGGGTTTGGAAGTGGTTGTCCAGCTTCCGTGGCTCTAATTGGCTGAATGGCGGACAAGATACATTATATCGCTCATTCCTTGGCGCCAAGAGATCCACAAAGCCAATCTAAGGACATGATCGGAAACTACAGGCTCAGGGCTGCCTCCTACACTTCACTCCAAATCCCTAGTTGCTCTAATGGTTGAGATACGTAACAATTAAGTTTTAGCACAACAATCCCATATGTGAGTCGTTCGAGACCACAGAGAGATTTTGAGGACAGAATTCAAAACTACACGTTCAGGGCTACCCGCTGCACTTTATCTGAAGTCTGCGGTCGTTCTGGTTGCTGAGATGCATGTCGTTGGAGTTATCTAACAATGAACTCATATGTGAGTTGTGGGAAGTATGGCTTTTGCATTAAAGCGTGGTACAAATTGAATTTGGCAAAGGAATGAAAGAGCCGATGATCTCAGCTGTCTCTGACAGGTCTTGTGAGTCTGCAGCTGCTCTGACGGTCGAGGGTTGGATGCACGGAGTTGAAGTAGATGGGTGCAACTCCGAATTTCCAACTGATCCCTTGTCTCCGAGCTCCCGCACAGCCAGTATGGACACTTGCGGAGACGTGTGCTGCGAGAGTTTCTCGAAAACTGGTGGTGATATGAAGCCTGAACTCGCCCAGAATAGTGTCGAAGCCTGACACTGTGAAGGCCGGAAGCTGTGAGAGTCTTGGACTGCTTCCCTGCCAACCTGATCAGCAATTTCACATCTCACATCGTTCGGAGTATGCAACTGGCCGTGGAAAAGTTACATAACCTTCGCTGTACAACAAGAATTGAAACATGTTTCCCGACTCGCGCTATGCTATATGCTCCCAAGCTCCTCAGTACTCTATGCCGGAGCGCCACGCTCTGCTTTCTATCACTCAATGCAATACATCTGCGAGCTCAGAGCTTTCACAGCACAAGACGACCAGGCTCTTTCTCGAGCACAAGCTTCACCCTTTCAAGATATTCGGTGGCTCTGCTCTCATCTCCAGGCTGGGCCATGACCGAAAAGATGTTGTCGTCGGTAGAAATGCCAGCGGGTATCACGGCCGATCTTGGAGCAGGCTTCTTTGCTTTAGGTGCTGCCAGTATGTCGATTATATCAGCTTTACTCGCTGGCTTTGTAGCGCTCATGGGCGCAGGCATCAGTCCAGTAATAAGCGGAAAGTATGCTCCTTTGCTCGATGGTTTGACTTGCTCCAAGCCTAATATTGAGTTGAAAAGCTCGTCTGCAGTGGGTTTTCGGTTCTTGCTCAAGGGTAGATCTTCGTTTGCCATCTCGCTTGCTCGAGCAATAAGGGTGGAGAGAGGCAGTCGAATGCCGAGAGTATCTTGCACTCGCTTCTGTGTTGCGATGACTTGCGAAAGAGATATACGGAGTCCAATTTCTGTCTCCTTGGGTGGTTCTGGTGCTGCGGCCTTCCCTGCGGCCTTTGGCTGCTCGGGCTTGCCTTCAGCCTTCTTTGCGAGCTGGATGTTGCTCAAATCGAGATGCGACAGCTTCTCCAGTCGCTTTGAGGATTCCGCAGGATAGTCCTTCTTGATCTTGCCTAAGTATGCAAGCACGTCGCCCTTCAGTAAACGTCCTTGTGGTCCAGAAGCTGGTATGCTGTCCGCATCCTTTTCAGAAATGCCATTCTGGTGAAGCATAGCCTCGACCGATGGGTAGAGAGGGTACTTCCGAGATCGTGGAGCGCCCAACTGCTTGCCCTCTTGTCCTACCTTCTGTGCGCCCTTCTCAGCTGTCTGCGAAGGAGGCTCCTCCTGCTTTGGGGCTGGCTTGTTCTCTTTCTTCGCTTCCTGCTTTGGCTGCTCTGCCTGCTTTCGCTGCGGAGCACTATCCTCCTTTGGCAGTTCCAATGAGCTGATGTCGTCTCCCTCTTCCGCCAGAACTGCTATTCTCTCGCCGACCTTCACTCCCTTGGTTCCGTCTGGCTTCGTAATTTTCATGAGAATTCCATCGTCTTGCGCTTCGACATCCATGGTAGCTTTGTCGGTCTCAATCTCAAGAATGACATCTCCGGCTGCAAAAGAGTCTCCTTCCTTCAGTCTCCAGGATGCAATGTTTCCTTCGGTCATCGTTGGGCTGAGCGCAGGCATAGCATAGTTCTGAGCAGCAGCAGCCCTTTGGGAGATATGAAAACCTGCACTCTGTTAGCAAGAGAGTTCGCTTTCCGTGAGAACGTACCTCTCCGAGCAGCTGTTCTGGTGGCACAGGACATGCGCGCTGTGTTGGCGACACCTGCCATTACAACTGCTTCAATGCCTCCTTCTGCAGCTGTCGAGATGTGGTGTGAGCAGCAATGGCATGCGAAAGCAGAGCCAATTGAGCTCGTTGAGATGTACTGTATGAGACAACGGCCCGATTGATCCCCGATCCCCGATTCCCGAAGCCGTGAGCACTTTACTTAGAAACCTGTCCTGTGGACGCGACTTGACGTGTAGCATGTACACCAACACCTAGACACAATTTCATCGATAAAATGGCCAGCGGTGTACATCTCCTGCTTCGTCTCCCTCCGGCGATACGGCAGCAGGCTCTGTCTTCTGGAACGTTATGGAGTAGCAGCAATATCTGCCGGACTGGCCAACATGTAAAATTTGGACCAAATGGTCTTCATCAGTCGAGATCCTTCACTTTATCCCCGTTTCTGGCAAAGAATAAGCAAAATGCCTTCAAGAATGCTCAACCTCAAAAGCCGACTCCTCAAGCTCATAAACTTCCAAAAGCAACACTCCCCGCTGCAAAATTCAGTCCTGGATCTGCTCCATCTATACCGAAGGCATTGCCACCAAGATCGAACTATCAGGACTGGATCAGTTCTCGCTTTCCCAATACCGAACAGGTCCTGCTTTACGCCTCACCGAACCACGGAGGATTCTTCGCCATATCCTTCTTCTGTGGCTTCATGTTCTTGCTAGCTGCCTACACTCAATCTCAGCTATTCCTCAAGGATGAAGAGGGCAAGCCAGCTGTTCCGTGGCATATCAAAGCTATAGGCGCAGTACCTATATTGGGCTTTACCGCCCTTGGGACGACATTCGTGATGGCACCACTCAAAGTCATCAAGTCTGTAACATTGATCAAGGCTGCCGATGCGAGGACAGTGACGCAGGCATCCAAGCTTAGGGTGGAGATCAAGAGGTTCTTGCCATTCAGTAAACCAGAAATTCTAGAAGTGGATCCCTCAAAGTTCGTTCTGGATCGGAATATTCCAGGCTCAGTACACGATATCAAATTCACCAATCATCACATCAAGGACACGAAAGAATTCAATGAGTACTACTTCTCAGGCAATCTTTACAAGAAGGAAGGCAGTGCTCTCAAGAGGTTCAATGCAGGTCTTCTGAACTCATGGCCAGGACTCGTTAAGAATGCCAGGCGAATGTTCATGCGAGACCAAATGGCGTATGTCAGAGTCGGTAGCAATGGCAACTACAAGCTGGATCTTCAGGGAAGTCATTTGCTTGACTATGGTAATGTGCTCGCAAAGATAGCTAGGGAGGATGCCGACATCGACAGAGGCATCAAAGCGGTCATCAAGTACCTCACTAGGGCAGCATGAGGTACATGAATAGCTTAACCGTCCAGCTACTCCATCAAAGTGTACTTGTACAGATTTGTATTCAGCTTGCCCGCCATGTATTTTTCCTCAGTAAACGGTGTCCATCGAAAAGGTGCAAATGCAATTTATGCGCACTGCACTGCCTGCACTGGTTCTCTTTCCTGCTGGATCCTGAGCCTGAGGCAAGCACCCTCGGCAAACTTGCCCCGACGGACGAGCGTCCGCAGCCACAGCTGAATAGCAATTTCGTTCGCGACGCGCGACCTCTCCTTCTCTTCTTCATGATTTCTCCTAGTCAAACCCATGTACGTACACTCAGCGTCACGAAGATCGCGCACCAGAAACTGACAGCTCGCAGATGATGAAAGCCTAGCGTGCAGCAGATGAGCTGTCTTCGAGTCGTTCCATCCAAGCTCTCCCTTTACCGGGCTCAAGGGCGAAGGTGGGATCTGGAAGCAGCATGATCTATGCGTTCGGCACACACACCTTGTACTATTACGGACGCGAAGAAAGGCATCTCTGACCCAGCTTTGACTAGAGAGGATTTCGAAGATGGCTATAATCAAAACCACGAATGCAGAATTTTAGCACAACTCCACTTCCACTTCCACATTTCTCGCAGCTGCCCATAACTCTACGGTACACTCGCGTGGCGAGACCTCGAGAACCCACTCGAAGAGCTTGGAGCATACCCATGCAGCGGACGGATAGCCCAAACGAGGACGCAAATTGAAATTTCTCAAACATTTTCCTTGCTTGCCGCAGGAGTAGGCCGCTCATAACTCTGGAGTAGACCTGCTCATAGAAGCCTTTCGAACTAACCAGCAGGCCTCAGAGCATACCTATACGAAGAGAAGGCTCGGAAAGCCTCATGAAAATATTGGCAGAAACCTCCACAACGTCCACGGAGGGCTTAGAGCTTAGATCCCGCCTGTGTAGCGGAGCGGGAGGTCTAAGATTGCCGAGAGAGCGACAAATCTGGCTCAAAACATGTCGCGAAACGCAGCATCTCAAAGCCGAACGAGGGATTCAACTGCCTCAACTCCGTCCCGCAAGAAGCGCGTAGAGACACCTCTACTGTTGAAGCATGCGTTGAATGGCGCAGAGATGAATGAAATGGCTCGGGACACAAGCGCCAAGCTTGAGAGGAATCTGCCAGGCGCTGCAACTCCGCCCTAGACCGCTTAGCAGAAGACTTGAGAACCTATCCGAAAAGCGGAGAGACACCTACCACAGCGGAAGCAATAGACGGTAATGGCCCGAACCCAGGGCATCATGCCTCGATACATCTGCCACGCAGAGTCTGCAAGACCCAACAACTCCACTCTAAATCGTCAATAGAAGCCTCAGGGATTAACTCGAAGGGCTTCGATGTACCTACCCAGTAGAAGCAGAGGGTTGAATCAGCCCAAAGTCAGGGGACCATGCCTAAACTCATCTGCCATGCAGAGCCAACTTGACGCAACAACTCCAACCTCGACCCGTCAGTAGAAGCCTTGAAAGCCAACGCGGAGGGCGTCGAGACACCCGTGTGGCGGAAGCAGAGCATTGAAATAGTCGAAATCCAGGGTATCAATCCCAAATTAACCGGCCATGTAGAGCCTGCGACGTGCAATGCCTCCGGCGCAGACATATTAGCAGCAGACTCGAGAACGTACGCGGAGGGCTTCGAGGCCCCTATGCCGCGGAAGTATAGATCAAATAGCCAAAGTGTCAGACAAACTTGACGGAAAGTAACAGTTTCATTTCCCTATCACATGCAAAATCTTTTTAGTTTTCTTACCAAAAGAGGAAGCGAGCTGCCCACAACTCCACCCTCTTCCTGTCAGCAGAGACCTCGAGAACCAACCCGAAGGGCTCAGAGGGCACGTATACAGTGGAGGCGATGCAGATTTTGAGCCTGATTCACGATTTTAAAGGAGGGTTAGGTAATATACGGGGCACCCAGCTCCGCTACCCCAACCGAGTAGAGCCCTTACAAACTAATACGGAGGGCGTCGGCCTATCCTATGCTGCGGAAGCGATGCAGATTTTGTGCCTAATTTACGATTTCAAGAGAAATCTATATATCTTACGCGGCGCTTAGCTCCGCTTATCTCAACGGAGTAGAGCACCCTACAAAGTAAAACGGAGAGCGTCGAGAAATCAATCCTATACTACGGGAGCGATTAAGCTAAACCTATGATTTTTAAGAGAAGTCGAGGTCTCTTAAGTCCGCCATCTCTATAGAGTAGAGCCCTTATAAACTAACACCGAGAGCGTAGAGACATCCTATACTATAGAAGCGATTAAGCTAAATCTATAATTGCAAGAGAGGTCTATATATCTCACGTCGGCACTCAGCTCCGCCATCTCTATAGAATAGATACCTTACAAACCAACATCGAAAGCGTCAAGAAATCCCACGCAGTGGAAGCAACGCAGGTTTTGTAAGTCAAAATCCGTGAAACTTCAAGAGACACGCAGGTATCTCACTCAGCACTCAGCTCCGCCACATCTACGGATCAAACACCTCACAGACTAACACGAAGAGCTTAGAAAGCGCCATACAGCGGGAAAAAAAAGCAGAGAGACTTGATTGAACGGCTGAAAGTGATGTGCCCAAACTGAGGGCGCCAAAAAGCCCAATCATATGCAGAAACTACTCAGTCTTCCTAGAAAATGAGGAAGCGAGCTTCCCCAAGAAGCTCACTTTTGGCGTCATCTGACTGCCACTCCTTCCCTTCTCGGCCTTGTCCACGCTGGCCCTGCCCGCCACTGCCACCTCCCCCTTCTCCCCCTCCCCCTCCCCCTCCCCACCCTGCCCCACAATCCTGGGCACACTCACCCCCTCCTCCTGCACCTCCCCCAAGGTGAATTCGATGCTCTCTCGCTGGGAGAGGCGTTTGTTGCCGCCGGCGACCACGTAGCGCTGCTGGGTCGCACGGGGCGGGCTGTTGAAGGGGAGCGGTGGGAGCAGCTCCGCTTCCGTCGGCTGGGCTGGGCTGGCAGGCCGGGTTCCGTACGAGAAGCTCTGTGTCGCTTGGCCGGTGGAGTTGAGAGGGCGCGGCTGCTGCGTGGTGGTCGTCGTCGTCGGGAAGGGAGGGAACCTGCCGCCGGTCTCCCTCTCACCGTACAGTCCCAGCGGGTAGATGTCCTTGGCGGTGCGAGCTGCTGGACGTAGAGATACCAGGCCGTCTGGCACGTTGTGGAGGTTCTGGATCGTAGTTGAACGGCCTCTGTATGGCTCGGGGCGCGACAAACCACGGCGGCGATTGGTGGCGTCGGTCAGGAATTGGACAGCTTGGCGCATGTGAGGACGTCCTTTGCCGACGGCTGCGGTGGCGACTTCAAGCTGCGCGACTTCGTTGGTGGGAGCGTCGAAAAGGTTTCTTGAGGTCTGCTGGTGCGCGGCATATCTGCGTCTGAATTGGCACTGGCACTCCCCGACTCCGTATTCGCATGCCACTTTGCAGTGACAGTCGTCGCTGCATGTGCATGGCGGGTACTGGGGAGCGGAGTCATCTTCATCATGAGCTGGTGCTTGTACGTTGGTCTCCGCTTGCGCCGGCTGCTGTTGTTGCTCGATTGGAGCGAGCCCCGACTGCTGCTCTTGCTCCTCTTGCTGCTCTTGCTGTTGATGGATGGAAACTCGACTCTGGCGCCACACTTCGATGTTGAGCTGCGGGCAAGCCATCTCGATCTTTGGCGCGTATTCTGCCCATAGAATATTCATGACTTCTTCTGACGTCTTACTCGCCATGTCATACATGCCTCGCGAACGCTCAAGGATGCGATTTCTCTCGGCAGCGGATTTGGCCTCCCATTCCTCTATGAAGGCCTTCTCCTGTTCCTGCTCGCCGAGGTCGAGACGATCTAGGTCAGCATATGACTTGGTGCGCACTACGGTCTCCAGAGGTCCCAACAGGCGATGGTCCGTAAGCAGTACCCAGAACTCTTCGAGCAGCTCGCCGAGGTCTCTCATCGTGAATGGATCATTGATGTGCTCGCAGTCTCTGCCGTAGTTGTGGAGCTGGACAGTGCTGTTGGGATGCCTCGATAGGTGGTCCTCAACATCAGCTTGAAGTCTGCGAATGTCGGCGATGATTGCATAGTAGAGGCAGTCGAAGTAGTAGATCCCGACCATCTTCACTGGTGCTAGGCGTTTCATGTTCATGGCCTCTTGAACATTCGACGGTGCGCGGCACCTGTGTATAGCGCAGATGAAGTACAGAAGTATGTTCCTGCCCGAGTGCATCTGTTGGGATTAGCAGTGATGGTAGTTGATCGGGAGAGGGCATGACTTACTCGAGTCTGAAAGCGATAGGCGAGCTTCTGGTGACCGTAGAGTGTAATTGCGATGCGACGTAAACTCCGCTGAATCTCCACATTGCTGAAGCCATCGTGCCACTGCTCCAGCTTCTTGAGGGCATCTGCGGGCGTCACTGTGTTCTTGAAAGCTATCAGTTCGTAAGGCGACGAGGGCGCCACCCCCGTCTCCTGTTGATCGTGCCCAAAAGTTGGATCGTCCATTCCTCCACAGCCTTGTGCTATTGTATAGCGTTGACCTACCACGGCGCGCTATGCGCTGATATGTATGCGCTGATATGTATGCGCTGATATGACAAGAGCGACGTGAGCGCCGTGTCTTGTCGGTAATGGTCGATGGCCGTCGTAGGCGGCGTGAGTCGCAGCACTGGTAGAGGGGTTGTTGAGACTGCTGTCACCAGGTTGCGGACACTGTGTCGCTGTCGAAGTGGTGGAAAAGTCGAGAAGAGTTCACGGTCAGAAGGTGAGCTTCGACCTTGATTGGGCCGTTGAAGCTGCATGTTACACAACACTTGCTTCACGCTCCAACGGCGAGGGGCACGGCAGGCAGGCCATGAAGCAGGTCGCCAGCCTGGGGTGGTTCTTCCTTTTCGCTGCGGACATGATGGGAATGATTGTTGGCGTCGTGCCATGTACTGCACTCCGAAGGACGCGAAGAGGGACAGGCGCGGCGTACTGCACTGCGAAGGATCAGGAGAAGGACAGGCGGCATCTCCATCCATGCAAGGCTGTGGCGCTATGCGTGCCCGCCGATTGGCAAGCCTACATGTAGTAATCTAGACCATAGCAAGGCTCCGAGCGAAAGGACAAATTTCGATCCTGGCGATATGCCCGTCCATCGTTCTGCTTGCAATCGCATCTGTTCTGAGCTTGAGGCCGCATCTGTATGCAATCATGATGCACGACCGTTGGGTCTCTTGCCAGCTTCTGCATCTCCTAGCAACGCGAAGATTCTGTCTTGTGGTCTGCGTGCGGAGCTGCGCCCACAGAATGCTCCCATCAGTCATCATCGTTCAGACGCGCATGTGTCACGTTCTCCCCGTCGTCCGCGGTCATCGTGTTTGTCGTGAAGCTGAAGCGTGAGAGCGCAAGCCAGATGAAGTTGGCAGCAGCGCGCCAAGCCTTCACGATGCCAAGCAATCACGCGACATGCGTAACTGCCTCATGGTCATGCAACCAACAACAACCAGTGCACATGATATGCATGTGATGAAGTCAAATCAATTCCCGCTATGTAGAACGTGAGAATCTATAAAATCCGCGTAGTGATGCCCCGTCGTATGTGTCTGAACGCGCTTGGCATGGAAGTCATTCGTACGCTATACATTGTCTCACATCCATCTCTCGATTTCCAAGCATATTGCACACAGAACGAACGCTCGTAAGCGTCCTCCTTCGAATCAAACGACACATTCCGAACACATTGGATATAAGCGAGTGAATCGATAATACGAATCACGACCTCCTGGTCGGCCCGTGCCCAAAGCGTTCGCCTTCAAACGCCGCGCTTCAAAAGAGGTTGAGAATAAATGCTCTCGTCACAAGATGGGCGTGTGGATGCGAGCTCGCCGAAAGAGCCCACGGTTTTTCCCATCTAGCCCTTGAGGTTGAACGAGAATTCGCTGGCGCTGGCGCTCGTCAAACGGTCGGTCTCAGCTTTACGCTCGCGACTCCTTGCTGCTGGACTGGCCATTCCGCTGACGGCCTGACTTCCTGGTCTGTGCAAGTATTCCGGCGGTTTGGCAGCGCCGGCTCGTCGTTCATTTTGCTTGTCGAAGGAGTTGGGGTTCTTGCTCCGTTCTCCTGAGTGAGAAGCATCCCACTCTTTGCCCCCAATGATCGACGCAACTGGCGGTGCTTGCCTAAATCGTCGCCCAGGTGTGGTGCCAGTCATTGCGCCTTCTTCGTCGACGAGGACGATCATCCAAACACCCACAGCACCAGAATGGCCAAGCAGAGGCGTGCAGTGAATCCACCGTGGACGGCCTTCTCCTTCGCCATCGTCATCAGGTCGAGACAGCCATCGAACCTTGGCTGTTACGCCTCGTCCTTCAGCGAGCGCTGCTCCAAGATCGGCGCGCACTCGACTGCTGCCGCCAATTCGATTCAAGAATGGCGACTGCAGAATGCCAGGCACACGAAGTGATGGAGATGTGAAGAGGATGCGGAGCGATGGTGCCGGCCGGATCAAGAGATACTAGAATGAGTCAGAACGAGCAACACTTCACAGTCTCACAAAAGCTTACGTGTTGGTAAACGCCCTCGAGCTTACCATTGAGGCGCTCCTTGATGGCGGAAGCAGCGCTCACTGATGGCAACGAGTGTCTCTCTTGGTCCAACAGTTCTCCGCTCGGATCCTTGAGGACCAGTCGCGGCTGATTACGCACACTTTCTTTATCGCTATCATCGACGTATTCCTTGTGCATCCTTCCCCCGAATCTGCGGACAGTGTCAAGTTCGGCTCCATTGAACATCTCGCTGAGTTCTTGGAATTCGTCTTTACGCTGGCTTTCCTCACCGTCATACCCATTGGCGTATTTGGCGTTTTGTGTCTTCTCTACCAATCTGGCGAGTCCTTCCATTTCGCTGCAGTCCTTGATCAGTCCAGAGACATCGACCTGCGCACCGATGAAATATCTGACATTGCCGCGGCTGTCCAGCAGGGGCGCAATCATGAGTAGATTCATGAAAGGACTGCCGTCTCGTCGATAGTTGAGGAAGACTTCTGTGTGTTCCCTTCCGGCTGCTGTAGCCATCGCCAGTCGCCTGACAGAATGTGGATTTGTCCTTGGGCCTTGCAAGAAACGACAGTTCCTTCCCATTGTGTAGTTCATGCCGTACTGAGTGGTTCTTGTGAATTCTTCAGAAGCAAAAACGATGGGGTTGTCCGTGCGACTTGGGTCTGTCAAGCAAAATACTTCTGCCAGACCTTCACTTGCTTCCCGAAGATGAGGCGCTAGCGTGCCCGTGATTCTCCTTTGAACGCTGACACTGACGACTTGTACCCATGTATGTGCCACATATGCAGGCAGATCTTCTTGTACCAAGACTTCAAAAGCCCGATTCGCCTTTTCTTCCAGTGTGCTGTTGTTGGTTGGTTTCACGATTTCTTCTGTGAATTCTTGTCCTTTGATGGGCTCCAGTGCTTCGGTGATTGCATTGGCATAACTGATCGCGCGAAGCGCCTTTAGGGCATCGAGATAATATATCAAGATCGGAATGCTTTGTGGTCGGTGTGAGTTCAGGAAGCCTGTGAATTTGAGCAGAAGCTTCGGGTCTTCAAACACGGTCCGAAGATGCTCAGCGCTGAACAGTTGATCGGAACGCTGCTCGAGCGCATACAGTCCCACCTCCTGATCTCCTTGAGAAGGTACGACTAGATCCCACGAGGCTGGATCGTCTTCCATCACTGGTTCCAGGTATGTCGCGTCTCCGTTTTCGTGGCCTTTGCTCTGCAACGGTGGTAACGTGTGGACTGAGGTCGCCGCAGTCTCGTTCGAGAAGACGGAACCACGGCTACTGCGCGCACCCGGGTCGTATGGACTGTCCTGTTCATCGGCTTCCTCTGGCGATGGCGGCGCCGACACCTGACACTGATCACGATTGGCAGAAGAGCGAGTTGGTGTAGGTTCTTGTGGGACGAGGGGTTGAAAAGTCTGGCGGGCCCTGGTACTGCTACTGTCGGCCTGTTAGTGATTTAATAACTCGCAATATAGATTGCGCCACCTTCCATGCTGTGTATGGGGCCCGTACCTGGTACGTGTAGGGATGTGAAAGCCATGCTTGCCAAAGTCTGCGGGAGAGGCTGTCTGTTCCGTGCCATTATCCGTTCCGGTGAGATCAGGTAAAGTCGGTTGCGCTGAGTCGTGTGGTTCGTGGATGCTCTTCGTTCGGTGTGCTGTAGTGTCTGAATTGGTTTGCTGCCGTCTCGCACTGTAAGGCTTCGCGAAGTCGTCGTGTTGCGAATCGATGGGAACATGGCCATTGGCAGTCGGCACATGGATGGCAGTGTCAACTCTGTTCATTTTCGTTCGATCTCGTGAAGTACTGTGCGGGCGCTCTGTGATGTTCTCGTTGTCGATCGCGCGCAATTCGCGGCGGCCATTAAAGGATTGATGAGGGTACTGTGAAGCAGGGTAATCGTAAGTGGGGCTGAACGCTTTGAAGCGCAGCTCGCGAATGCCCTGAAGAGACATTGCGACTGGCTTGTAGGAAGTGTCTCGGTGTCTCAGGATGCTCGAATGCAAGGTACGAAGCGAAATCGAAGGAGGCCGTGCCGGATGTGATGGACGGAAAGTCTATTGCATCTCAGAAGCAAAGGAATGGGGCGAGGCCACGTGTGCACGTGCGTGCGGTGCGCAAGAGAGGAGGATTACGATATGGCAAACACTGGCGAGTATGTGGTAGCGAGTGGAGGCTGGATGGATGCGCGCGAGCGAGACGTGAGGCATATAATAATGATGATGGAGAGAGGAAGAAACATTCTGTGACGTACCAGCCTGTACACAGGCGCCATGCTTGTTCCTGAATCGCTGGCAGGGCGAGCAGCTCTCTGCAAGGATATCGCCTGCACGAGGCGACCGAATCCAGAAATTGCAGAGTCACGCTTGGAGAGGGCAGAGGAGCCGCTGTTCTGCCTGGACATTGACGCCGACTGGGAGGCGGAGGCCAGAATCAACGGCTGCGGCACCACTTGCGAGCTGACCGAGGCGCGTGAAGCGTGCATCCAGACATGGACGGTGGTGCTGGAGGGGTGCGGTATGCGTGTGCGTGTGCGTGTGCGTGTGCGTGTGCGTGTGCGGGCGAGGGCGAGGGCGAGGGCGAGGGCGAGGGCGAGGGCGGCGAGGGCGAGGCCGACAGAACGGCTGCGCGCGTGCTCTGCAGCCCCGTCATATACCTACAGTCTCAGTCTCGACCGCTGCGACTGCGACTGCCTTCATGATGATGGGCAACGGCGCCAAACTCCCTCCTTGCCCGTGCAGTGTGCCCGCACCCATGTGCATCGCATCGCATCGCATCGCATCGCATCGCATCGCACGCGTATGCGCTTGGACCGGTCCCGTCCACAGCCAACGCTGCTTTTTGTGATGATGAAGGCCGGACCAACCGCATGCACGACCGCGCGTGGAGCGAAGGAGTCGCGCGCTGAGAGAGTTTGGGCTACAGTACACAATGAACGGGAGATGGTGTTGATTGGCGCTGATGCTCATTGGATTACTGCTGTATGTCAGGAAATTTAGTGAGTTTTAGCTGAACCTAGAGCGGAGTCAGGGACACAGTCTTTTACTAGCGATTACTAGGCAACAAGCCACCCGCAATCCTCCAGTTTAGTGGCGTTTGGAACCACTCGGGTTAGTAACGATTTAGGTTAAGAAGGGCGCCTCTCTCGAGCCTATCGGCTGTCGGAAGTAGCTATTTTACAGTAGAAGAGACTATTATAGAAGCGGCTATTTTGCAGTAGAAGAGACTATTATAGAAGCGGCTATTTTGCAGTAGATAAGACTATTATATAGACTAAGATTAAATATACTATTATTGCTATAGAATCGCTATAAAATTACTTTCTTCTACGACTATAGCGGAAGGCTTGCTCTCGCTAATTGCTATCTCTTCGACCTCGTTATTATTATTGCTTAGTACGTAGTCTACGAGTTATTATTAACTTACTACTACTAGCGGTTAACTAGCGGTTACTATATATCCTTATACCTCTTATTTCTCGTCTAACTCGCTCGTTACTAGGCAAGTTATTAGCGGCGTCGTCGTCCGAGTCGTCTGTTATCTAGCTAGTTAATCGCCTAGCGGCTCGCTCGATATCGTCTTCCTTTATATAGTCTATTATTATCTTAATAAGGTCGTCGTCTACGTTATAGAAGATAAGAAGCTCGAAGAAGGAAGAGAGGCCTTTATCGGCGAAGCAATAGTCGTCTATAGCGTAGCCGTTAACCTCTTAAATACCGTATATATAGACCTATAATAGCTTACCCTAATACTAGTAGTTAGTTAAATAGCGAAGGCCTAGCGGCGTAGGTAGACCTCGTACTATTATATCCCCTATTAAATCTACCTCTTTAACGTCGTCTATATCGAGCGGTTATAAGGACTATATATCTAATATTGTCTCGCAGCGCGGTATATATAGTAGAAGAGGTAGAAGGCGCGGAAATAGCCTCGGAGTAAGGTCGCCTAGCGGAGGTAATATAAACATAGGTTATCGAATAGGTAACGACTAAACGCGCCGTTTTAGTAATAGTCGGAGGGTTATATTAGCATAGATATAATGCGTTTCCGGTGTTGTTAGTAGCAATCGAGGGCGAGTTAGTGTCGCTAGTTTAGAAGGTAGCTAAGTTGTCTACTATCGCTCGGTCTTACCTATAAATAGGACCTCTTATAGGTTAGCGATAAACTAGTTAATATTTAGTGCGTAGCAACTGTCTAAGAAGTCCTTTACCTTCCGTACGTAGAAGGCATAGAATAAGTCCTTTATAGAAGGGTTAATAGAAGGGTCGTCCTTTATCCGCTAGTACTTTAGATTTAGTATTTCTACGGCCTCCTTAAAGTGGCCTCGAAGGTCTCTTAATTGAGGTGTTTGTACTAAGGAAACGGCGTCTTCTTCGTAACCTTCGATTACGAGTTACTAAGTGTCGAGAACGCGCTAGTATTCGTAAGCAAACATAACGTTAAGGCCTAGAAACAGCTCGATATATCGTCGCTATTATAGCTTACTAATTTCTAGTCTATTAAATAGGTAGTCTCGTAGAATATAGTAATAAGGTAGGCGGGTTTGAAACTATACGAGGCAGTTACAGCGAGCCGGAGTTATATAGTTATAACTGCGTAGTATGCCCTTATATATAGGCGCCGCCTTAGCTTCTAATTTAATAGCAATATCTACCTATTCTCGAAGGCGATCTTAAGCGGCCGGTAGTTATAGAGACTCGAAGCTTAGAAGGCCCTTTTAGTACTAATATTATATGCCTTTGCTAACCCTATAGCTAGCTAGTTGTGCCTTATAAGCTAGCCTGTCGTCTACCTTAAGAACCTCGAGAATTGTACTATATAGGTTATAGAACACGAGGTTCCGCTTGTTGCGGTTATACTTAATAGTATAGTAGTAACCCTTAAGAGGCGAAGTTGTCCTTATTTGCAGCAACAATAGACTATAGAGCCGTGCCTAAGTAGCCCATTTCCGTAAAGTCTCGCTAGTCTAATTATAGCGTATATATTAGACCTTGTTCTGCTAGTCTATAGGCTTCTTCTCTCCTAACTACTCCTATATCTAATTTATATTAATAGTAACCTCTCCTACGCTGCGGGCGTAGTAGATTACGTAGTAGAATCGCTTTACAATCTCAGGATAATAGGCTTCTAGAAACGAGCGAAGGAAGGTCTCCTTAACGTAGCGCTAGTAGAGATAAATAAGCATAGGTCGCTCTTTAAAGGAGAGATTAATAGCCGCCTGTTCTAAGGCCGAGTCGTCGGTTATAGCTGCAATAGCCTTCTAGTGCGGTAACTACGATTTAATAACTCGAAGTCCGGCTTCTACTAGCTTAGCTTTCTAAGATTCGAGCAGTATATATCCTACTAGCAACTAACACTCTAACCTATTACGAACATGTATAGTAAAAAGGCTCTAGCTAAGGTCGGTAGTCTTATAAGTTGCGTCTAGTAAGAACAACTATATAGCATATAAGTCGGTAATGTTTTAAATTTTTAAAGTTAGTAGTTAGAATAATAGAACGCAAGCTCGTAAGCTTAGTTATACGCCTACCTTCTATAGCAATAGCACTACTAATAACAACAACAACGATAGCTACACTTACATCTCCTGCCTCGCTATTTAATAATACTCGCTACTAGTCGGTTTAGAAGACGATACCGCGCTCTATCTTACCCTTTAGTTTCTTAGAAATCGCCTAGTATTAGAGCTCTTTGCTGTCTATATTATTATAAAGGCCTTTAAGTATAGCAGGAAGGTCGTCTAGCTAAATAGTCGCATTTCCTCGCTTAGTACTACGCACTTTCTTTAGGTTAGGCCTAATCTTCGACTAGGCGATAGTGCTAACCTTTATATACTGTCCGCTAATCTTACTAAACTCGTTCTTTAATAGGCTATTTTTAATAAAGTCTAGTACCTTAGCGACGTTAAATTTGCGCTATTCTATTAACTCCTCGAGGAATACCCTTAGCGCGTTGTTAGCTAACCTAATATCTATATATTTTAGATTATAGTAGTATAGGTTATTACCTACTATAGAAGGGTCGACTCGGTAACGGCGGATACTAATTTTATATAGATTAGCCTCTTCTTTGCTCTAGAAGTACGAGATAACTACGATTGTAGTATTATACGGCTCTTTATTATATTTAGCCTTACGAATGCCCTCCGAGGGCGACCTATTCCGCTACTAATCGCGCCTATAACGATAATACTAGTGCGACCGCTATTGCAATCTATCTTTCGTCCTTTGCGACTTCGCCTCCTTATATATATTGCTTATATAGCCCTTTAGTACCTCGAAGCGCTTAGGCTCGAAAGTTAACCCCTATAGTATATTAAATAGCTGCTTTCGGACATCGATTATATTATATAGTATGCGGTTAGGCCTAAACGGCGGCGGCATAGCGATAATAATAATAACTAGAAAGTGCTATTTAAGCTATTATAGAAAGAGCTAGATCTATATATAAGAAAGGGGCATAGAGATAAGGTTAGAACTAGAAGTATAACCGAGAAGGTTAACACGGTACCAGAATGGGAAAAGCACCGTCGATTACTAGGCAAACCATACTAAGTCAGTGGATAACGCCCTCCGGAAGTAAACCACTGTTGCAAACAGTGGTACGCTAAATTTCCTGACATACAAGAATAGCTGCTCATTGCTCACAGCACCGTCTCCAGCCTCGGCCTCGGCCTCGGCCTCACGCGTCATTCGCGAACGTGGTCACTTTCGCCTCGAAGACTGGGAGCAGTGCTATCGCTGGCCACGGAGACATCGAGCATGTACGCTGGCCTGGCCTGCTGGACGCGGGGGGGGGGGATGAGGTCGAGCCGTCGAAGAGCAGAGCAGATTCCTTAGATCGCCACCACCCATGCAGCTGCGTGCAGATCTCGGAATCTCCTGCGCAACGACGTCTCCCCTGAAAAGTTAAAGCTCCAGTCCCACGAACTGCGATCACACAGATCTGATGAGAGTCAACCCGGCCAGAATCCCAGTCTACCCGACGAACGCCGTACGAGGTTCATGACTTCTTCAGGGGATTGGCTTTGGCATTGGCCGGCGCACGCTCCATCGTGAACGCACGCCCACCATTGGCAATGTCGGGTGTTTTTGATCGTAAAGTGAGATTCCAGATTCCGCAACCCTGCGGTGGGGCTCGTGGTTCGCAACGAATCAGAAGCCTCGCTTCCACGGGCCGCCAGTCTCTACTGTCCCTCCGATGCAACCTTGAAGATGCTGTAGAGTGTAGACAGGCATTTTGGAAATTTTGAGGCAACGTCAGCCTGAATTGATAAATCCCGAAGCTGTGTCAATGACCTTCCGACATTATTTGGACAGCTTAGCCTTCGGGGTGGAAAAGGTCCCTGGCGGGGAGAGTCGACAAGCCTTCGCTGCAGCCTGCAGGCCGCACGCCGCGCGGTGCTCTTGATAATAAGTTGATCCTCTCGCATACCCATGCATGCACAGTGCATGAACTCTGACATTTAGCGGCGGTGCGATGTGCACCACACCAGACGCCTTCCTCGTTAAATAGACTATTATTGGTGCCCAAAGCCTCAAGCAACCTGAAACACACCGGGCAGTTGGCACAGCTTTCGAGGGAAAGAGGCTTTATGGGACAGCAGCCTGCAGGGCGACACGACCTCAAAAAGGTCAGCGGGTCAGACCTGGCTTGATGTATACATTCGTGCGTTGGGCACCTTGCGCGATTCGCCAACCAACGGCCGCTTCGAGTTCTGGCTGACCATTATTAGTGAACGATCAGTAACACTGCACGATCGTCAACTTCCCTTCGAAAGATACATCTATGGCTAATAATGAGGGCCAATTTTACCCTCGGTCCATATTGGGGAGCAGCGGCTCTCGCTCGTCACTGACTCTATCGGCAATACCGCCAGCATCATGCTTGGACACCTTGGCAGTTGCTGTCTCCTCCACTGGTCCAAATAAGACAAAATGCTGGAGTATGAAAATAATGTCGAACACCAGAGAAATGTTTGCCAGCCCGAACTTCAGAGGATTTTGTTCAATCAACCCCGACCAGTCATTCTGCAGACTGCTGTCAATGATGAGCTGGAAAAGGCTCAGAATGCCACCCGTGAAATCAAGCAGCTGCTGTGTGATCGACCAGCCTAGTGTTGACTTTCTGTGAAAGTTTGAGATTGTTTGTGGGATGTATTTGAAAATTGTGAAAGCCAACTTCACGTACTCCATACAGTAGACCTGCAACGACACATCAGCTTTGCATGACCAACAAGCATATTCCGGACAGTGGGTCTAAATAAACCATTTCACACGTGTTCCAGACGTTGTTGGCCATTGCTTGGCTTGCGCCAAATTCAATTTGTGAAGAAATGTCGCCGAGACTTACCAAGTCGATCCATGACCATTTCATTCCATCTGTACCGTTGCCTTCGGCGAAGATTATGGCAAACACTACACCAAGGGCAACAAGTCCGCCGGAAATGAGAGCAAGCGTGATCCGGAGGGCATGTCGCTGAACGTTGGGCTTCTGTTCCCAACCCCAGAGCCGAGGATAGAACTGGCTATAGCAGACTATGCTCATGAGAAAGGCGATTGTTCCGAAAGCCAAATCATTGAAGCGCACCGTTGGCTCTGGCGAATGTGGATGACGAACTGCATATTGGTCTCTGATAACCGGCGAATAGAGGAACAGGAGCGCGCTGAGAGTGTAGCAGCCAAAGCCGAAGACGTTCAGGAGCGGAAAGTCTGGCAGCATGCCTTGCGTGGTTCGTCTGGAGTGGTTGAGGATAGCTTGCGGAAAGAAGGAGACTGTCCACTGCTCCTGATCAGTACGACGCGTGATACGAAGATCGTCGGGCTGTTGTTGCAAAGCGTGAATTGATTTAATAGCAGTGCAAATGCATTTTCAAGACAATGCAATAAGTACATGCTGTGTTCAAGGGATACATACAGCGATGAAGTAAATCCAACCACATAGCCTGCCGGGAAGGAGCTGTAAGCACTGTGGTCATGCTAGGTTGGGAGTCCAAGGGATGGATGTTATACCATGAGACAACTGTCCAGCCTGTGAGAGGTCGAATATCCTCCATCATCGCTAATAAGCTGTACAAATTGTGCCTCGATTGTGTCCAGCTTTATCTCATCATTGCCGAATAATGGCGTGCCTCAAACCGTCGAGGAGATATGCCGTAGATCTGCTGCATCAGCACAAGTATGGTTCGGGAGTGCGTGGCTTGTGTGGCAAGACAGAGAGAAAATACGGCAGCATGTCACGATGCACGCAAAGAATTCGCCATCGGTGAAGTGCCTGCAGTAGTATCGGCCGGCTAGCGCGACATCCCTACTCTTGGCTGATTCAAGATCTCACCTCACTTCACCTAACGCGCATCGGAGCGGCGAAAGCACGCCGAGCTAGTCTCTCGCGCCCTTCAGACATTGCTACTATTGACACGCATAAGGAAACACATCTTTCGAGAAGTTTGCGCGCAGACACTGCTGTCTTCACGAGACATGCGCTGTGGCTTCGCTTCTGCGGGCCTAAAAAACAAGCGACAACGGCGTTGACACGTGCATCCCACTAGGCACTACCCTTCGAACGGCAGCAGCATCAATGGCCGCGCCGGCTTTATCACCGCGACGCGCAAACCGCACTCCGCGCGCGCTGGCATCGATTGAGCCTGCCACCGAGCCACCACACAAGAAGCGGCGATTCCTCCCTGGAGGCCCTGGCGGCGGTGGCAGGTACATCGACGAGGACGGGAACGAGATGACCCGCGCTGAGGCCGTAGCGGCCGGCCTGGTATCGACAGCACCGCGACCGCGCAGACGAGAGCCCAGAGACCCAGTCGCCAGTGCTGCGCGGCAAAGGGCGCCACGAGAGAAGGACAATCACGACAGCAATGACACACCCACCACCACGCGCTCCGCCATGCAGACGCGCCCACGACGTGAGCGCCCAGAACGATACGCTCCCCCGCCGACCACGCCGCGACCTCGCTATAGCAACGCCGCAGCCGCAGCAGCTGCCAGTCAGGCCAGCGATGGTTACAAACCCAGAGAAGAGCGGGGCTGGGAGGAGTTCCACCCAGAGCTTGATCTTGCTGCTGGTCTTTCGCTGTTCTCGGCAGATGAAGTGGATGGCAGGACGAGCAAGAACGACCCCAAGATCCAGAAGCTCAGACTCAATGGCCCGACTTCTATAAATGGTGATGTGGACATGAAAGACGTAGACGCGGAGGATGGGATGTCTCCTGCAAGGCGGAAACCTGGTCGGCCACCAAGACGTCCCGAATCTATGCTTAGTGGGCTTGGATCACCTCCTGCGCCTCGAATAATGCCTCTGCCAACCCACAACCCCAAAGAACGCCTGAACTTGCCGAAGCCGTCCTACCGTCAGTACAACCACTTTCTGCAGTATGAAGAGAATCAGAAGGAGAACAAGGTCAACTACGTTGATCGGACCATGGCCGGAGTCGGCTATCAGGAAACAGATCGCTTTGATCTACCTCCTCACGTACTGATACGGCTTTCCGAGAACCAGCATGTGGAAGACGAGGCCGATGTTAGCCTTCGGCTGGAAAGTGATGGACCTGCTGAGAGTCATCAAGGTCATCCTCCAGTCGGAAGAGTTGAGTACGACATGGACGAGCAGGATGTTGCCTGGCTTGAAGAGGTCAACGAACAGCGCAAGGCGGAAGGCGTGGATGCGATCAAGCCTGCCATCTTTGAAATAACGCTTACACAAATCGAGAAGGAGTACCATGCCCTGGAAAAACGAATCCCAAAACCTCAGCCTCGACATGCTCAAACGCATAGGCCTCGTTCGAGCTCTCAAGCTGCAGTCAATGGTGATCCAAACCCCCCGGGAGACGAGCCAGATAGCAAGTGCTCGATTTGCGACGATGGTGACTGCGAGAACGCCAACGCTATAATCTTCTGCGATGGGTGTGATTTAGCCGTCCATCAGGAGTGCTATGGAGTCCCGTTCATCCCTGAAGGTCAATGGTTCTGCCGCAAGTGTAAAGAGATTGGTCGCGGAACGCCCACGTGCATCTTCTGCCCGAATGTGGATGGCGCCTTCAAACAGACCAGCACTCTTAGATGGAGTCACCTGCTATGCGCTATCTGGATCCCCGAAGTGACGATTGCTAACATGACGTTCATGGAGCCGATTCAGGATGTCGACAAGGTACCTAAGCCGAGATGGAAGCTGAGTTGCTACATCTGTGAGCAGAAAATGGGAGCATGCATTCAGTGTGGCAACAAAACCTGCTACCGGGCGTTCCACGTTACATGTGCGCGACGAGCCAGACTCTTCTTGAAGATGAAGTCTCAGAACCAGGGTTCAATCGACACGACATCTCTGAAAGCATTCTGCGACAGACATGTTCCCCCAGACTGGCGTCGCACGCACGACACTGAAAATGCAATCCAAGAGGCTAGGCGCTGGTACAAGCACACGATGAGGGATCGCAAGTGGGCAGACAATCAAGCTACTGCCCTCGAGCTCGGCGCGCCACCACCTCCTGACGGCGGTTTCTCAGCAGAGGGGCCTTCGGCAGAAGACACAATAGCAGTCACCAAAAGACGCAACAAAAAAGACCCAAAGATGAATTGGCGCTTGCCATCTGGCGCGCCCGTCGTTCCGGCAGTCGTCTACAACACAGTAGAAACAAGTCTTACTCGCTTCACCATTCGTAGGCGGAAGGAGTTTGTGGAGAAGGCTTGCAGATACTGGACACTGAAACGCGAGGCTCGCCGAGGCGCCGCTCTTCTCAAGCGACTTCAGCTGCAGATGGAGAGCTTCTCTAGCATGGAGGTTACTCGTCGCAACTTTGCAGGCATGGGCTCTGCCGGCGGACCTCGCTTGCAACGTCGCATCGATTTCGCTGAAATGCTCCAGAAGGACATGGGATACTTGAAGGACCTCACTGCTGCGGTGAAATCTCGTGAGCTCCTACGCCTGCAGGAGATTGAACTTCTCCGTGAGCTCGTCGACACCGTCTACTTCCCTGTACCGCCTATGCTGTGGCCAATCTTGAACCGTGCCCAAAAGTAAGTCTTGGCGTTGTTCACAAGAGACTCCTCACTAACCAAAGCGCAGGCTCGACGAGAAGACCCGCGCCTTCCGGCCTGGTCTTGATATGCTTGCACAACGACTCCGTGAGCGCTATTACACATCTGTGTCCGACTTCTCGCGTGACCTGACGAAGGTTTTCAGCGATGCCTTCGCTGCTAAGGACGGCGAAGCTGCCGCTGGTGCCGACATTGAGACGATCCATACTCAGCTGAATGAGATCCGACCAGGGACCGCAGAACACATGAAGTTGACCCAAGAGCAGAAAGACCTGAAGAGACTCGCCAAGCGCATCATCAAAGCCATCAAGGAGCCGCTTGAGGAAGCTACCAAGAAGGAGGCCGAGCTTCGTGGTCGGGAGCTGGAGGAGGAACTCCGCAAGCTGGATGCGATGGGCATTTTTGCAACAGCCGCGGTCAATGGTGAGGAAGAAGTCGAATCCACTCGAAAGCGCCGATCAGGTTCTGATGCTTCAGCTATCGCAGGTGCTGAAGACCAGGTGCAGACCAACGGCGACGTCGATATGCCTGACGCCGATGCCGACGAGCACACAGACGAGGCAGTGATCCACCTCAATGTGGCGGGCAGAGAAGACACGGTACCCGTGCCAAACAAGAAGAATACAGCTGCATCTAAAGCCGCCAGCTATGCCTCTTCTGTTGCTGATCAGACCAGTGAGGCGAGCAAGAAGAAGCCAACGGAGCCGCTATCTCCACCCATTTCGCGGTCATCATCTGCACCAAATAGCTCTGCAAGTGGCGAATCCAGCAATGCGGAACCTCATGACGTGTTTGCTGAAGGTGGAGTGCCTTGGTATCTCATGCCCTTCGATCCGGTCGGGACTACTATTCACGAAGAACGATATACTGGACGCGAAGTGCTACGAGCCATGTCAGAAGAGCTCTCGGACATGGACGAGGATACTTTGACTGAACTTGCCGGTGTAGAAGGCACGGCACTAGCAAAGTCGGCAGGCAATAGTGGTGGAAGCGTGAACGGCACTCCGGCGTCTGCATCGGGTGTCAAGAAGGCGGCGAGTAACAAGAAGAAGAGACCGAAGCGATGGCATTGGTCTAGATAGGAACTTTACTCAACCATTGGAATGGCGTTGGAGGAGGAGCATCGATAGACAGACAGCGAGGAGCATTTGGGTCGGGGTTATTATGGCGATGTGCGGCCTACCACTGAACGCAAAGAGCTTGTCACGATATCGGGAAGAACAGGCCCTCGAAGGCAGATTCTGAATGCTTAGCTTCGTCACGTCATGAACCCTTCACGATCATATCTCATTACCCGTACTGCCTCAAAGCTTCGGCTTCGTCGTTGCCTGCAAATTCTCCTCACTTGCACCGTTGTCTGTCCTCGCCAAAATCCACTCACTCACATCTTTCGCAAACTTGAACTTATCCTCTCCCGGCTCCGCATGCAATTTATGATACCACCCATCATAAATCCTAAACTCCTTATCCCCAACCTCTACTTCCTCTTCAAACCATTTCCTACAAGCCTCCCAATCCAAAACTTGATCCCCAGAGCCAAATCCAACCCACACACTCATCTTATCGTCCCCCTCATCTCTTATCCTCACCCTCCCTTCCTCCAACTCCGCCGCCCGATCAATCATCGCGCCCAAACCTTCTAATGTGCCGGTATCATGACATAAAGGATCTTCATCCCATTCTCTACCCACTTCCGGATCTCGACAGATTTTCCCGACGTCGAGTTTCTGCAGCATTTGCGCGTGAGGGAGGATCTTTGCTAGGATCTTTCCCGCGAGAACGGTCATTTTCCATGGCATGGCGGTTGGGTGGAGACGGATGTATGGAGCTTCGGCCAAATACCCTCGAATCTGGCGCTTGATGTTTTGGGGGGCTGTGGCGGCGTAGTAGAGGATTTCTCCTCCGCCCATGCTGTGGCCCATCAAGAAGAGAGGGATTTTGTGCTCTTCGGGTGGGAGGGCGTGGATGAAGTCGGTGATGTCGGACATTGTGAGGGATGTTGGACCTGTGAGGCCTTTTTGGGAGGGTTTGGTTACGCTGCGGCCCCAGCCTCTTTGGTCGTAGGAGTAGACTTTTATTCCGGCTGAGGCGAGGGTTGGGAAGAGGATTCCGTAGAAATTGCAGTGGTCGCTGAAGCCGTGCACGAAGACGAGACGGACGATGATCGTTGTGGATGGGTGCCAGGTTTTTGTGTAGAGGGGTGTGCCGTCGGATGTTGAGAGGGACGCTTCTGTGGTTTTTATATTTGCGATACTTACGGTAGACATTTTGGCGGTTTGATGTGAGGTGTTAGGATGGAGAGGGAGTGGGCGTGAGAGACTGAGTATGGTCTTCACATGGAAGCTTGAATGAGAGCCGAGGCTGAGCTATTCTAGAAAGTCTTTGATTATCGATGACTTACGTGAAGTCTTCTTCGTCGCAGGTCTGTTGATGAAGTGTTGTTGTTGTGCTCGGGATGTGTTCAAGCATTGTTCTAGAATATTGGTGTCCTGGTTGTCAGAAAGTCAACCTGTCGCGTGGAAGCTTTTCATCACGGTGAGCCAAGGTATAAGTGTTACTCTAGCATCATCGAACAAAGTCGCTCGCATTCATATCAACATCGGAGCAGCTGCAACACATTATCAGAGGCGCGCGCGAGAAGGTCGACAGGACTTGCTTGATACGAAAGATGACCAGAATGTCCGGGTAAGTGACACTTCTTTCCGACCTCCGCCTCATGTCGCATGTCGCGTCTAACCGCTCTCTCTCGACATTACAGAGCATGGCAGAACGTCGGTCGCAACAACACCAACAACAACAACAACCGTAAAGGCTCGGGCACGGGCACGCCGCAGAATCGATCCAACACCACGTCGCCGGCTCCATCGAACACCTCGCAGCCACCAAAGCAAGAGAGCATCCCTGCTCCTCCTCTCCCACCCACCGCCAATGTCTGGCAACAGAAAGCAACAGAGCGACAAGCAGCAGCAGCAAGCTCGGGTGGAAGTGGAAATGCAGGTGCAAGTGGAAGTGCGAGTGGAAGCAATGCGCCTCATCAAGCCTCTACACCCACCATCTCTGAACCACATACTCCGCTAAATGGCTTCGACACATCTGCCACCAAAGCCTTCTTGAACCGAGACGCGCCTTCCATGCCACCTACCTACAAGTCTTCGGCTGACTCCAGCACAAGTATATCCACGCCCAGAGAGAGCTTCCTAGAACGGTAGAACCCATGCTGACTGTAGTTTCTCAGCTATCAATCCATCCAACATGGCTAACGGCACTCCCTTCCTCAAACATTTAGCGAAAGAGATATCTAAGACTGAAGCTGGGGGCTGAGGAATCTCAGAGCTGAAGGCGAAGATACGACAAGAGATAGAAGAGCTCCGGATTATTGGGAGCCAAAGAGTCAAGCACAAGCCCCGGCGAGCATGGCCGAGACACAGAAGAAGGGGCAAGACAGATCTCGGACGACCAGGAACTTGAGCTTTCGAAAGCGAGGCAACACTCGCTGCTCGAGTAACACCGCCATCATGATTTGGGCCGGAGCAGGGAAACTTCCGTATTTTGGGCTGCTTACGATTCGAGAAGAAGCGACGGCATCTTTTGGACGGCACGTTTCAGACGGAGCTGTAAATATTGGCGCACTGCACTCGCTGGGAAGGAATTATAGAAGATCCATCACTAGTGTACTCATTACAACCTTCACATCATGTACCACCACCACCTCTCCTCCCAGCCCTTCCATCTGTCCTCTTCCGACTCCAATCCACATCCTTCAACAAAGGCACCTGCTGCTGATCGCCCCTTCCCCTTCTCCTCACTACACTAACCGGTCTCCTACCCTCAGCCTCAGCATCCTCAACATTCCACTCCCCACCAGACAACAAATTATTCAAAGCCCCACCTTTCTTCCTCATCAACTCTTCAAACCCACCTTCCTCCTGAATCCTACCCTGATCCAAAACCACAACTCGTTCCGCCATCTCCATCATATCTTTATGATGCGTGATGATAATAATCGTGATCTCTCGGCTCCTGTCTTCGACAAGCTCTCGAATCGTCTGGCGAATCATATTCGAAGACTCCACATCGAGAGCTGAGGTAGCTTCATCCAAGATCAGAACGGAAGGATTACGCACGAGCGCTCTCGCGATCGCGATACGTTGCGCTTGACCTCCTGAGAGTCCGATTCCCCCTTCGCCGATGGGCGTGTTGTAGGCTTGAGGTAAGGAGAGAATGAACTCGTGGATTGTGGCTGCTTGGGCTGCCGAGGAGATATGAGCGGGTGTGTTCCGAGGATGGTCTTTGGGGAGACCGTATGCGATGTTTTCTGAGACTGTGGCGGCGAAGAGGGTTGGCGTCTGAGAGACAGGCACGATCATGGCTCGGAGGGATGGTGTGTAGATGTGTTTGATGTCGCGGCCGCCGAAGGTCAGGTCGCCAGGTCTGGAGCCTGGCACGGTCGCTGTGCTGTAAAGGTCGAGGAGGAGGTTCGCGATTGTGGACTTTCCGCTTCCTGAGCCGCCAACGATGGCCGTGACGGTGTTGGGTTGGAGCCTAAGGTTGATGTTTTTGAGAATTGTTTGTTCGGGACGAGATGGGTAGCAGAAGCGAAGGTTGTCAAGGACGATGTCGCCGACCGTGGTGATGCGAGTATCTCCGAGATGCTCGTGGGAGTCTTTGGGCATCTTGGCGAGACGAAGAAGCCTTGAAGCTGTGTCCTTCGAACTGCCGATTTGAGGTATGAAGCCCAGTATAGCGCTCACATTGGTGATGGTGAAGATGAGCATTGTGAAGACTTGCAGTACGTCCTTGACGGCGACGCCTTGAGTGACAAATTTGGCGCCAACGTACATGATCATTGCTGTGCTGAATGCGCCTGCGGAGTCGGACAGACCAAAGAAGAATCCTGCATAGGCAGATCGCTTCATACCGACGCGAAGCGTATAATCGGTCGCTTTGACGTATTTGGCCAGGAAATGCTTCTCCAGAGTCAAGGCACGAACAGTCTTGATGTTGGTGAATGTCTCTGTGAAGATGGCAGAGGCAGCTTCGGACGCATCATTGCTTAGCCCTTCCCATTTCTCGGAGACGGCCGCAAACACCTTCGTCACTCCAAAGATGTAGGGCGCGATTGAAAGCGCGATGAGTGTCATTTTCCACTGAGAGCTCATCGCCCATGCCAGTGAGACGAGCGTCATTAGAGCAGCGACGTACGTTAGTGCTGCAAAACGACCAAGCAAGTTTCGCATCTCTTCGGCATTGCGGTCGAGACTCTCCGTCAGTCTTGAGACACCATTCTCCTCTTTCTCGAAGAAGTCTCTACTTTGGTCCAGAATACGTTCATACGCATTGAGACGCACAGCGTCGACCCACCACTGACCACATATTTCGAGGAGCAGACGGTATGTGTACGTCCCAGAGGCGTCAACCAAGGCAATGCCTAGAATTGCAAGCGCGTAGACAAGTTGCTTATTCTTTGCACCTCCAGGAATGGCGTAGGTCTCCAGTAGCTTCGACAGCACGAATGAGAATATCGGAGAGCTCACAGCATGAATGGTGGCCCCCAACCAGCCGACTATCAACACAACACGGGCTTGCCAGCTGAGGTTCGGCCATATAGTGCGAAAGATGACCTTGAGCTTCTTGTTGTTCTCCTCGATGTCCGTCTCAGCTTCACCGCCGCCTTCCAATTTTGCCAGCGCGTCCTCTGGGCCAGTCAACGGTATCTCTTCAATATCTTGAAGTGGTCGTCTTTTCCTCGCTGCACCAGAGACCGGCCGTCTAGCTTCGGCAGCAAACATTCCAGTCTGATTGACAAGCTTCTCAAACGCTTGCGACCAACGCGTAGCACCACCCGGACTGCTGCGATCTGAAGGCGTGGTTTGAGTCGGTGAAGGCGGCGAGCGTTTCTGCCCAATTCCTGGTGTGTCTACAGGAGAGAAATTTCCAGCCAAGCGCATCCATGGCGATGCGAAGGCTGATGAAGGACCTGTCTGGTATGCACGCATCATAGGCATTGGGCTGCCCTCTTGAAAGACATTAGGCAACTTTGACTGCCTTTTGATCTTGGTCTCAGTTCTGGTCAGCGCTGCATCGAGAGGATCGAAGTACGAGCCGGAGCGATCGTGGTAGATGTGAAGTGACTCCAATGAGTCCGTGTCCATAAGCGATTCTTCATCGGTCGAGTGGCGGGCTAAAAGAGGTGAGTTCAACATTTTCTCTTCCTCGGAGAGGAAATCTTGGAACGGCGTTCCTTTCATCTTCTCCATATGCTTGCGATAACCTTCTTGTACGAGTCTGCTGTTCTCCAGAAGGTAGATGTAGTCGTCAGGTGTGATCTGAGAGATATCGTGGGTGATGATGATAGTGGTCTTGCCCTGACGCCAACGCCGGATCGCTTCCATGATGAGAGTCCTAGTGATGTGGTCGAGCGCGCTTGTAGACTCATCTAAGATCAGCACTGGCGTGTCTCTTATCCTGGCTCTTGCTAATGCCACACGCTGACGTTGACCTCCAGACATATTGCCACCTTTAAAGCCTACCATAGTATCAAGCCCTTGGGGCATGTCGTTGATCATTAGTTGCAACAGCGCAAACTGTACGGCTTCTAAGATCTCCTCGCTTTGCACTTCGCCGTAGTGCTCGCCTCGACCAAAGGCAATGTTTCTGAACATCGTATCATTGAACAGAAGGCTGGTCTGCTCAACCAACGTGACATTGGTCCGTAGCCATGCGGTGTCTAATGACTCAAGCGGAAGGCCGTCCACGAAGATCGTTTCCGGCGGCGATGTGTAAAAGCGCATCAGCAGTTGACTGATAGTGCTCTTGCCGGACCCAGACCTCCCAATCAGGAACGTGATCTCACCGCTGCGGATCTGCAGGTTGATGTCTTGAACAGCAAGTATGTCCTTTCGTGATGGGTATGCGAAGGTGAGACCCCTGACCTCGATGTCGCCTTTGCATTGTCCGGGTGAGAGCAAGCGATCCTTCTTTTCTGCTAACGACTTGTCCTCTACGGAAGCCATGATTTTTCGCAGCGTGTGGCCAGCAGTACGGCCTTTCTCAAGAACAATCATCTGTGGCAGAATACCTTGAATGGCCTGGAAAGCGCCAATTGCCGAGAAGAAGGTCGTAACCACGTCTCCAGAGTCGATGTGGCCTTGAGCGATCAGCACTCCGCCATAGTAGAAGCCTTGGACGAACATGGACACGGAAAGCATGACCACGAAAGCCATCTGAAGGGCGCTCGAATGTGCGACCCATCCGTACCACCGTGCAGCCTTTGCGATGGCGTCGTAATACTTGTCGCGTTCTAGTCCCTGGCCATTGAAGCATTTCACAGTCTCTATGGCGGCAAAAGCGCTAGTAGAGTACTTTTGAGCTTCTGTGAGCTTCTCTTGCTGTTTCAACAAATTCTTCTGCATGCCATTGCCTGCCCACACCGCAAGCGCCAGAATGACAGGCGATGAAGCAAGCGTTACGAGTGTGAGCTTCCATGACTTGAGAAATGCTTGAAGTAAGGAGAGAATTGCGGTCGCGGCCAATGCAAACATCGATCCTAGAGGCTGCGCACTTGCCAGTTGAAGCTCACGAATCTGAGCTTGCATTCTTGGCAACTGTGCTCCGATACCATTTTTTCGCATATCGTACCATTCCACCTCCTTATCAAGAAGCCCATAGAAGAGTCGATCGCGTGCGCTCTTGGCCTGCAGCTCACCAAAGGCAAGCCAGGCCATGAACTCGAGGGAATGCAGAACCCAGTTTGCAGCAGCAATGATCGTGAGGTAAAGGACATATTTCGACTCGCGTTTCATGAATGCTTCATTTTCGAGAGTCCCCGCAGCGTAGCGCGTGAAGCCGTCGAACAGCTCGCCGACAACCAGGCTCTGTGCAGGACTGGTTGCACCAGCTGCGATCGAGACAACGATGCCAAACACCAGAAGAGGTACATTCCTTCTGGTTGTGAAAGCGAAGAGCGCCCGCCATGGCGCCGCTTCTTGCTGTTCGTAGGTGCTAGAGTCAGACGCTACAGACTCTGCAATGCTCTCATTTGATGTGTTCCGTGAGTGTTTGCCATGCTTCCTCGACTTTTCCGCAGCCATTGAAGCTAGATGGAAGATGCCATTCGGTCTCGTGGTTCTGCGGGCTGAAGAGCTTGACAGCTGCAAAAGTGTTTGAGGTGTCGAGATCTCCTCGCACGGGCCATTCTAGAATTCGAGTGAAGTTGCATTTGGACTTCGTGAACAAGGGCTTCGAGATGGGGACCAAGAATGTTCCTTAGTATTGTTCTTCACCAGCGCCAAGCCCACTACCTTTTATCTACTTTCTCTGCAGCTGTAAGCCGAACGTCGTTTAACCAGTGTACGGCATTATTGGACTCAACACGACCAACACACAATGTGTCCTCCCTCTGTCAAGGTTTACATCGACGTACTGCATATCGTTCGCGGCAGCTTTTGACGCCGGACAACAGTCATGAGCGGTAGGTAATCTTGACGCGACACGATTTCCAGCGTGGCGGTATTTGTCCTTTTGCGCTGAAGCTGCGGTAGTTGACTTTCTGCAGGTGGATGGATTTGCTAACGGCATTCTTAACGGCTCGGGGCACAGGCAAGAGCTTCGGTAATCGCAATGTCGCTTCATGAAGAGGACTTTTCGGCTTTGGCCTTCTCGCAAATCCAATCATTGAGGCCAGCTCGGTTTCTGTGCATAGTCAGAGATAGTGTCATTAGTTCAGGACCTCAACATTCTCACCTGGCGATCTCAATGGCATAGAACTGCATGCGCACAGCTTTCACGTATCAGCAACATCACATCTACATCATGTCTTCCAATGCTCACCGAAAATGCTTCCGGTTTCACTATACTCCGTAGCAGGGTTTGCCCGCAGCATCGTGCCAAAGTTGTAGTCCTCCACCTTGTTCTCATACGCGTTTATGAAGTTACGCCACTTCTCCTTGCCAGCCTTGCTCTTCATTTCGTCCTCGTTTATGGTGGCTTTGAGATCGAAGTCTGGAAATTCGGTGTTGAAGTGCTCGAGGATCTCGTCGTCCATCTTGGTGAGTCGCAGCTTGGAGCCAGGCATCTTTTCAAGAATGGCCCAGTAGGTGGACATGTGCTCAACGACTGCGCCCATATCAGATCGTAAAGCTTTAGATATGGTCTCTCTCGGCGTACCTTTCACGGCGAACTGCTTCTCGATCTCCTCGAAGTTCTCAGTCTCTTCAGGGTTGATTGGTTGTCCATTTGGGCCGGTGAGCGACATCTTGTCCTAGGTGGTTGGCGAGATCGAATTCGAGATCTGAGTAAGTCGTGATAGCTCGGTAATATGGAGTCCTGTGAAGATAGATCTCCGAGTACACTCCATATATGTCGCGCAAAGACACTTTCAGGGTGCACCAAATCTTTTGCCAGTGACGCATCCACGAGGTGAACCCCCACCTTCCCGACCCCAGTCTCCTTGGCGTCCGTGTTGCTCCTTCTCCCATACATCAACATGAACAGGACGCTCATCGTTCCGCTGCAGACGCACGCGATGCGCTGGCATAGATCACTGATGAATCTAGCCACATCTCGCTCCAATCGCACGAAGGACCAGTACGACCATGCGTTCGCCTCCCACATCGCGATCAGAACAACGCGACCGAGTAGTATGCTGTGGCCCATCATGAGAGGATAAGGTCGAACAACGAGTTTGCACTTATGAAAGACCTCATTACCTTGCGAGGATGCCACTATAGCTGCTCCGCTCCAGGAACGAAATGACGCAGTCCAAAATGGCCCCCATAGCGCCTTTGATGGAGTATCCGTATGAAGCATTGACCAAAGCGCGATGCAATACCGCCCTCTCTACGCGTACATTTCCCGTAAACATGACTGATTACGTTTCCGCGGCCGAGACACAAAGATCGGGGACGTCATTGGACTGGATCGCACAGAAGCCACTGAAGACTCTTTACGAAAGCAGCATCCGTCTTTCAGGCAATGACACCAGCAAAGATAGACGACGAATTCAAGTGGCAAATTCTGGAGTTCTTTGTAACGAGCCATGGCCGGTCGTGGTATTCAAAACGACAATGGCCCCGAGAGACCTGCTTTGTTTTGGATCACCCCAAGGCCATATCGTGATCGAGGAAGTGGGTGTGCCTTAGAACACAAATCAAGCATCGACCGTAGTAATGATAGTATTTGCAAGATACATTGGCCTAGTGTGTGTCCTTATCGCGGCTGGCAGGGCTGCCAAGACAGCAGGTTGTGGCAAGGCTCTCGCCAACGGCATCAAAACCGGGGCCGCAGGCCAAAGCAACAATGTCAGCATTACGAGCAACGGAATCAAGCGATCGTATCTGCTTCATCTACCCAAGAAATATTCTGCAAATGCGGCACACGGGTTGATATTCTCGTTCCACGGCAGAGGTGAGAGCGGTGCGAAACAGGAGAAGGTTTCGAGATTTTCGGCCTCGACGGTCAACCCGCATATGATCGTGGCTTATCCCAATGGCGTCGACAATCAATGGCAAGGAGATCCGAAAGCCAAGACTAATGACATCGGTTTCACGATGGACATGATCAAACAGATCAGCAACCAATACTGTGTCGACGACGCGATGATATATGCCACAGGCAAGAGCAACGGAGGGGGGTTTGCGGTAAACATTCTTGCTTGCGACCCCAATGCATCAAGGAAGATTGCAGCTTTCGGTGGCTTTGCTGGAGCATATTATGTGCAAGATGGAAAGCAAGTGAGCAGCTGCGATGGAAGCACTTATCCCGTCGTATGCAACCCAGGACGAAAACCGGTACCGATTTTCGAAACGCATGGATCCAAGGACGATGTGATTCCTTATCCTGGAGGCGCGAGAAGGACAAAATGCTTACCGTCCCTACCGCATTTCATGACTGAATGGTCAAAGCGAAATGGCCTTGGTTCGACAAATGCTTCCACCGCACTCGCTGGCGGAAAAGTGATTAGATATGAATTCGGCAGCAAGAATGGCCTGAAAGGCATCAACACGCACTACTGGGTATCTGATCTGGGACACAAGTGGCCTGATACTGTTACCAATGGAGACGGGTGTTGTTCGTACATCAACGCCTCTATGCTCTTTCTTGACTGGGCGAAGAGATGGACGCTTTCGTCCACGCCGAGCACTTCAGTATCCGCAAGCAAATCCTTGGCCTCCTCGATCCAACCCACATCGTCGGTGGGCACCAAGACAAGTTCAAAGACCACAAGCAAGTCCGCCACCAATACTCCTTCGTCCTCTGAATATCCTTCGCCTTCATGTCCTGGAGCAAATGGGACGGTATGGAAGACTCCTGAAGGAACCAAGTTCAAAATTTTGTGCGGCTTTGACACCACGGCATCAGTTTATAACGGACCAATCTCCAACCTCAAAAGCTTTGGCAAGTGCATCAAGGCTTGCCAGGGGGACACAGCCTGCGGACATGCTGTGTATAATGGAGTCTGCTACCTGAAAAAAGCCGTGAAAGGCCTTGCGAAGAAGGGCTCCAACGTGAACCGTGTTGCGATCAGAAGCAACTGATTACAGCCTGATGATGTTTAACGATCTCTCCTTGTTCTTACGAATGCTATGTATCAACTACTCCACATCTTCCCCAGCTTCATCAAGAATACATCACCAACAACCACCCTCTCCACCATCTCTCGGTTACTTCCCGCTGCTCCTTCCCAATGCGTAATAAAGCAAAACTCTATGCCGCCAAGTGCGTGGGATGCTGATCATCTTCAAGCAAAATCATCTCTGCAACCCTTCTGACTCGTATCTGAGGATGTATCTCGGATGCGGGTGGAGGAGATAAGCGCGTTCGCTTAAGTGCATGGGTGTATGCCGACTTGCGCCGTCTGAGAAGATCACAAGGCATCGACAAAGGATGCTGCGGTAAGTACTCCGAGAGGATGATGTGTGATGCTCATGGTCGCGTCTAGATCCGGAGCATGACTCGCTTTATTATGTGACGGAGCGCAAAGTCGTCAGATCGGATTGCAGGAGTTGTGTGTGAAATCATGCGATGTGGCGAAGCGACGCGAGGCTGAGGAGGAGGAGGAGGAGGAGTTGTTATCATCATGTCGGTCTCCAACGCCAAGACTGCCTTTCCGATGCTCGACGCAACTACTCGACTATATGCCATGCTGTCTCTGGATCATGATCAACGATGAAGAGAGATGAGAAGGAAGTAAATCAAAAGCTGCTGACGACGCAATAAGGCTCATCACGAGCACGAGCACGAGCCCGAGCCCATCCTTCCAGCAGCTGCACTCCACGGTGATCTCGAAGCCAAAGTCTTGCACATCATCAGCTTTCCAGGCTGCTGGGCTCTGGGAGACGATTGGACACCTTGATGGTCGCCCGCGAACAGTGGTACCTGCATGGTCAAATCGCGCCAACGGAGAAGGCATCCCACGTGGAAATGAATCGCTTTTATTACAGCGTCTGAACACATCGGAGCGAAAGTTAGTGCCCGGTGCCCTGGTAGGTGCATAGTATACTGAGAATGTTGCCTGTGGCGCCACACTTGCAGCGCTGGGAAAAGCTCTCGGGCTTCATCATGAGACTGGCGTTGGACGAGTAGACAACACGCTCTTGAAGGCTTGAAGCACAGGGCTGAACTTGTTACCTACCATAGCCTCTTCCTGATCAAGCAAGAGCTACAATCAGAGCGACTCGAGCGCAACAGAGACATGAGCGGGATGCATCATCCATTCGTCTTGCTCCATTTCTGCGGTACTGTTGTACATTATTACGTGAAGAATCCACCGCGCTCTTTCTGCGCCTTCTGCATGGCTAGGAATGTGAACTCGTCGTGCCCTGGTATGACTTGTCCCCGGGTCGTTCTCTCGAGTTGCTTGAGTCGCTGGGTCGATCTGAACCAGGCTGGATGATCACGAGCTAGCCATCCCTGCGGAATGCCATCGCGCCACTATTCCTTGTCAGTTTGCAAGGATAATAGTTCTACGTGGTAAAGAGGCGCTTCAACGTACGTTCTCAATCACATGACAGTGATCGGAAATGAATAGAAATGTGCCACTGTCAGGCATATTGATCTGCATGCCAATGAGACCATCGGTGTGGCCAGGCAAGTGATGAAGAGTGATGCCCTGACAGAAGTCCATCGTTCTTTCATCAAACGTCTTCCAATTTCTGCAACGTGTAAAAGTCAGCTCATGCAGGCCAGCCATAGGCTAGAATATCATGCCAAGATCACCTACAGATCGAGCTTCATGTAGTGCTTGAGGTAAACACCAACATCTGCACCAGTTGCCACGGACCAGAATGCGCTCCGGAGCTCCAGATCATGCACCCATATCTCAACATCCTTGCGGTCTAGGAACAGGTCCAGGCCTCCAGCATGGTCGAGATGCATATGACCAATGATGATCTTCTTCACGTCTTCCAACTTGTGGCCTGTTGCTTCAATGGCCGCGTCGAGCTCGTGGTGCGGCTCATACTTGACTCTCGTGAACAGGTCCGACACCTGGGGGCCCCAAACTGTCGGGTAGTCTTTTCCGCAGCCGGTCTCCCACAGAATGAGTCCTTCTCTGTCTCACGTCAGAAAGCATTATTGCTCCGGGCGGTCAAGGGAGGCCTACATTGGATGCTCGATCAAGACACAGTACATGGGCAGCAGGCGTCTCTTGTTCACGAACGACTGGTTCTCTGTGCTCTTCATTGACGTGTTGCCGCCTCTGATCACGAAGCCCTCATCGCACTCCAACCTTTGAAAGCGGTGGGATGAGCATTCATCAGGTCGGGGTTGTTGGCTCGATGCCTGCTACTTACCAGCCCACTTCCAGCAACCAGAACTTTGTGCCGGTTGGACACACGTTGGAGACATGATTCGGCACGGCGCCAGCGGCGATCTGATTCTGAATGGCCCTTGATGCCATGGCTGCGGTGGTTCGATGCTGTAGAATATGGGGGGTTCAAGTGTGAAGTGCAGCTCTCGCTCGTTTCCATGCCTGCTTGCTGCATCTCTATGCATCCCGCCACGCCGTTTGCAGCGCGTCATCGTCACGCAGCATGCTGTTCCGGTATGCCCCTCTCTGGAAAGGTGCGGGGAAGGGGCGGGGTACAGCGTGCAGAGGATTGTCTGACAGGGGGCAACGAATGGCATTGGTTCGCTGGTAGAAAGTCCTCTTCGGGCCTGGTGAGGGGTGCAACCGCGATCACACCCCGACAGAAAGTCCCGAAGAAGGCGAAAGAGCAGACGGCAGCACCTTCCTTCACCTGACCGAGACGTGCTGTGGTGCTGAAGAAGTCGAGGCATGCATGCGTGAACGTGGCACAGGCACAGACGGTGGTGTGCAGTGTGCACTGTGCAAGCAGGTCAGGGCGTCCTGGACGTGAGTCACGTGACGGCGTAGATCTCAGCGCGGACGCCAATGCGGCCAACCCAGGTCGGAATCGGATCGCTTGCGGTAGGTTCACGTGGGGGTGCACAGCCGAGCCGCGACGCGAACCTCAGTAGCAGCTGAACGCATTGGTCTTTGCCCTGACATCGACACTTCAAAGTCGACGGAGGCGCGGACACCTCCCGGCTCGCTCGTCTGGCCATCCACAGCGATTTGGCTTACTCCGGGCAAGGTACAGACAAGACATCGATCTGTCCAGAGTCTCACACCCACCCATCCCCATCCCCATCCCCATAAACCCCATCCCATCCCGGCTGCCGTGCTGCAACTGAAGCTAGGCCGTGGTGCGGCGAGCGCCTAGTGGCGCAAACATTCATCGTGCAAGTCAGCTGAATCATGAATGGAAGATGTCGTTGATTGTCCAGGCATTTTAGCGCTCCACTCTTCTGGGTTTCTGCGGGTCCGTCGTACGGTCGTACCAAATCAGCTAACAAATCGCCCGGTTATCAGGGGTATAAGGAACTCGGAAATGAGCGGTTGACTAGTTTGCCTAGTTGAATTCTATCGCTACTATTTTAGCTCTCTAACAGCTAGTAAGACTGCTATATTTAATCTCTTATACTTAGTATTACTACTTTGTCTCTTAGAAGTCTGCCTCCTATCTACTATTTTTTTTATAAAGCGTTATTTTCTTTTATATAACTAAACTACTAGATAGTTTTTATATTTTACTATAAAAATATAGTACTAGCTACTAAACTACTATACTAGCGGGCCCGTCTACTAGTATTATATAGCGATAAAAGATCGGAAGTATCTACGCTTACTAGGTATAGATCTCGGGCGTACTTATAGGCTATAAGTCGACTACGTACTTAGCGCTAAGCCTCCTTAGCTTCCGCCTTATACTAGTTAAGTCGATAACTATAGCTATTTATTCGAATCTCGATAGTCTTAGGATTAAGCGACTAAGCTATCTATATAGATAATAGCGTCTTACGCAGTTTAGAAAATTAAAGTTTAAAAATAGTATACTTAGTATAAAAAGATTAAGAATATAAAAGACGTTACTAACAAAATAGGTACTATTAAAACTGTAGTAGTAGGTAATTGTAGTAAAGAAGTAATCTATTATAGTAGTAATATCTTCTTTCTATCTAGTATCTATACTACTAGCCCTATATAATGTAATACTAGCGACTAACGAATTGCCGGAATGCCTAAACTAGCTATATCTCGATCCGATGTTCTACTAAAATATAACCGAGTATCTCCACACAACCTACTGGATCGACAACAACCCTATACGCTAAAGACCTTTGACATACAGCGTCTTACCACATCGGAGTGAAAGTGACTGGGGTCGGACCGCTGAATAACAAGTTGCCATTCGCTACAATCCATAGGGAGCAAGGGTTCAGGGAATACCCACCTTCACTCCGATGTGATCAGACGCTGTACACGGCGTATTCTGAATCATGCTTGGTCTTGTGCTTCCTTCCCGTATGCAGGCATACTCCACGCTGTGGAGTCGTGCAAACAGCAGCACACGCGATCCATGACACAGCCGTTTGCCTGCGCATGCCGCATGGCCATTCTGCGTGGGATGCTCCATTTCTCTCGCCTCACAACACGCTGACGTTTTCCGCGCGAGGGTCATGCGTCCGCGGTCTCAGTATATAGACCCACTGTCTTCACCATGCCTCCAGGAAGCCTTGCCTGTCGCCGCCATACCATGCGCAGGAGCTGCGCATCAACCTCATCCAACACCTATAGACACCTTGAGCCACCCTCTCGACCCTCGATAACATCTGCTCACCATGTCGCCGCTCATTCTGCACAGCTACTCTCCATCCATCACTTCGCGGCGCAAGCCCCGGGCAAGATCTTTCTCGGTGACCTCGGCAGAGTATGGAGACATACGCAGGCTGGTCGACATTGAATTCTTTGCTTTTGAGAATGAGAAAACCAATCACATCCTCTCCTACAGAGATTACAACCAACCTGGACATTTCGAGCGAGCTGTACGATTGTACCAGTCCGCAATGAACAAGACGGAGAATCTCAGGCGCAGAAGGAAGTCTGCTTCTGCGCGCAAATCTGGGAGCAGACCGAACACAGACTACGTGAGATTTCGCAAAGTCACTGACGCCGACTCCGGCCTCATCATTTCCTGGGCCAAGACAGAAGTCAAGACCTACAGCCAAGAGGAATTGGAGAGCCCGGCAGACATTGGCCATGAAGATGAAGCACCCATGAATCGGGATTGGTTTGCACTGAATGAGCGACTCCGGAGGAAATACATGGGCACCACGAAACACTGCTGTAAGCTGCTGACTTGAGAATACGAGTGCGTTCCGCAACTAATTGGCAAAGACATCGGCATGGTCGCCACACAGCCAACGTACCAACATCACGGCGCCGGAACGATGCTGCTCGAGGACATCCTAGCAGAAGCAGACGAAGCGGGCATCGAATGCTATCTTGAAGCCACCGACACTGCCAAGCCTCTGTACGAGAGACATGGCTTTGTGACCGTCAACGAATTGCGATTCGATCCCGCCGCTTATGGCATCTACGGCTTCAATATCGAGCGACAGACGATTATGGTTCGAGGCGCGCTCGACAGTCGAGGCCAGAGAAGAGGTGTACGGTCGTATGAGGAAGCTGTTGTTGCTTCGACCAAGTCGGTGCAAGCACAGCTCTGATGAGTCTGATCATCAGCGACAGGCTCATCTTGGGCATACTTTTACAAGGGTCACGTCGCTGCAGGGTGTACAGTCGCACCACTTGCAAGGAGACTATGTACCACGATTTTTCGGTTATAAGCGGGTTTCCATTCTTGGCAAAAGCTCGGCGGTCAATAAATTCCAGGCAAGGCAGTTTGTGAGATTGAAAGCAATTGAGCATGGCAAGCATGTGATATTCAGGATCGATGGACATGGTGAAAATAGGCGGCCGGCTATTTCGCACTGCGCTGCGCTGCGAGAGTTTTAACATTACTAGGACACGTGCAAATCTGACACTTTGATCGAGCCCTCGCCGGACGTCCGCTGGCGAACGCAGTTTTGACGATGACTGCGGCATCCATCGACGATTGGCAGTTTTATACAACATCGGAAATGAAAAGAGCATGCACCGCCATCGTATCATGCCCGTGCACAAATGAACATGAGCAGTAATTGTGGCATTATCGACACCAACCAGTCCGTGAGGCCACCCAACATCCGTTTACGTGGCATATCCGCTCGTATCGAGAAGCACCACTCATGCCAGAAACCGCTCTCTTGGCAGATCAATGCGCCATGATCTCCCTGATCGTGTCCTTATGAAACCTAGCAAGCCAAGTCCCGGCATAGAAACGCCTGATGCGCTTGCCAAAGAACATGAAAATGAAGACGCACAGGTTGTTGGCAAACAAGACACCACAAAACGCCCCGGCTATGATTACGGCATACCCATCCCGTGCCACCCAATCCAAGACCTTCTCTCCGAACCCAAAAGATATCAACTGTTTGCCCACGCACATGGCTATGAGCATCTCGGGGACGTTCGCGTTGTATGAGTCGACCGCATACGCGAGGGTGCCAGTGAAGAAGAGATCTTTTTCAACAGTTGTCAGTCGACGTATCTCGTTTCATGACTGGATAGAGAAGTATTACTGACATGATCCCCAATTACACATGCCAACTCCAGCAAAAAAAAAACCAACCCAATGAAATCGATGCTCGGCAGTCATTCCGAAAACGATAAGACCAGCAGGGCCCACAAAAGCAGCTGGCAGAAGCACGCCCAATCTCATTTCAGCTTCTCGGATGTCGTCGTTACGCCGCGTGAGGTAAGCGGCCAACCGATCAAAACTTGGAATCAGTGGAAGGGCGAGGACGAACCCCAGGACACTGCCGACCGCGATCAGTCCGGAATTCTCCTTGCTTCCAGCCATACATACGGTGGAGCTGTAATTCAGGACGGGGAAATGTGTAGTTGAAGACTAAAGCTCCCAAGCCGATGAAGATGCCATAGGTGCGTTACGACCCAGACGACTGAAGGAACGATACGGTAGTATGTGAATGATCGGATGGCAGTCAGAGAAGGAATTGCTCGTCATGATTGATCGTCGACCATGGCTTCAGCGTCTCAATATACGTCTTTCCGGGGAGGCACCGTAGTAGTGTGGAGCTCGAAATTTTTTGCACCCGGTCGTTTTCGGGCTCCTTTCGATCAAGGACCCTTTGACGTGCTTGCTCTTACGAAGGCATGTGCGTGAGCGGAGCGTCTCGTCTTGTAGAAGGTAGGTCTCTTCGACGAACAGGAACGCCAGGATGAGCACCACGGCAGCGAACGCGATTTCGACGTAGAAGTACAGTCTCCAGGATTCGCCACCAGCAAGCATGTAGCCTGCGTATAAGGGCCCTGTGGAGCCAAGACAGAGTGTAGATGCCAAGCTTCGTTGCTCGCTCGTGCACTACCAGTGTTAGCCGAGACGACTTCACAGCCACTTACGGAAGAAGATGTCGTTGACCAGCTGCACAGGCAGGACTTCGCACACCCCACTCGACAGAGTATGGATCAATCGAGCAGTCATCAGCCCGTTTGCTCGGCTGCATCCGATCAATCCAGCAAGGTATACGACCAGGCTCAACAGTATTACTAGTCTTCTCCCAAATTTCAGATACATAGGCACTGTAACCAGAGTGCCAACTCCATATAGGAAATTGGGGTACGAGACCAGCCCGGAGGGCTTCGTTGGTGTGATTCCAAATTGCTCCGCATAGATGGCATGGCAATGTAGACTGAAGGAAGGGCCGAGCAAAGCTGTGATGGAGAAGAACGAGTAGAGCGAGCAGATGACCAATATAGAAGTCTTCGTCCATGTCGGCCATTGCAGTGGATCATCAGGGTCCTCGGCGGGCACTGGGAACCAAGCCTGCCCGAAGGCGGTGTCGTCGCCTTCGGCCGCTCTTAAATCGACTGTGCCCGGAACATCGCCTTCTTTTGCGTGACTAGTACTGCACAGCAGCATTATTCTAGTAGTAGAGGCCTGGCGTCGATAAAGTTTTAGATACATACCTCTGCACGAGATGTCCATCCAGTATGTGAAGCCATACTACTACATACTACTGCTCCCACTTCCTTCGACCCCGCTGCAGGCTTTCTTCACGGGCCGCCGAACGATCGATCCGGCGGCCTAAAGACCCTTGAGCGAGAGCCGGAATGTTTTTAACGTTATTGTCAAGAGCCGAAGTCTTCTCATCATCAAGCAATAGTGAGCAAAAAGCCTCATCCATGCTGTAGTGCTATTCTATGGCGACCTCGAATCGTGGCGGCCACACGTAGCAGTACCATATTATTCGACCCCGCGTATGATCCAGTGCCTCATGGAGTAGAATAGACAAGCATAACCCCAGGTGCGTGACGACTTGCTAGATTCCTAAAGTTCGGCAGTTCTTTTCCCGCGCCTTTGCCGAGTCGACCAGGGTTTGCGACTTCACATCATTTTTCTCCTCCATGTGCCTTTGACTCAGCCTTGTTCATTGGAAAGTCTGATCCGTAGTAGCGTTCCGTCTCTTCATCATGGCTAGAAAATCTGTGATTCCTATAGCACCGACTATACAGTGGTTTCAATCAGGCTTCTCAAACCAGGACCAATGCAGCAAGAAAACATGTCGGGACAGAATACCACATAAGAGTTCTGATTCGCGCTAGCCCGCTGTGGTGGGACACCGCGAGCTTCAAATAAAGGCAGAGAAGTTCGCATAGCGAAGCATGAAATATGGCGTGGATATAGCCTGGAAGCATACATACATACATGCTTTTGGCCGACTAAATGGCTTGGCACTGCATTTCTGCCTCCCAGAGAAAGCTTGAGGGTATCTTTCTATCCAAGTCAGCTGCAGATGAATAATTGTACAAACCCGTAAGCAATTGACTCGGAAAGCTAGAAAGCTGCCCATTCCAGCCAGGACTTGACCAGTCCTCGCAATTCGCCTCGAGAATCTGCTACTGTCATTCGCTCGATCTCATCGTACGAAAGCCTTCCTGGTCCACCACGTTCGTCTAGTTCTTGCTCCAGGCTATCAAGTCCTGATAGATATTGTAGCCGCTGATTACTTGGAGGAGGCGATACTGAGGACTTGCGCTTATCGGCGATTACGGTGGCGTCTAGACGATCATCTTTAGATCGAGTTGGCCGTTCTGAACTGGGTCTGTTCTGAGGAAGTGTCGGATCGCGAGAATCGTCTTGAGAATCTTCTGACTCCGATAGGGAACTCTTCTCATCGGCTGTACTCGAATCCCAAGTATCCAAGGTCATGGATTCCGATGAGTTGCGACCAGTCGCGTGGTCGTCGGCATCATTTCGCAGACTGTACCCAGTAGCATTCAGTAGGTCATCCACTACAGGCAGATAGGTCAGCAAGCTAATTAGCGGAATCTCAAATCGCTCAGGTAACTCACGTGAAGCATCTGAGATTTCTGCTTCCCGTCGCGTGAGGCCATCCCAGTCGGTCGAAACAGGCTGATCACAGAACGCTCCACGGGACGGGCGCTCCGGTACCTGCGGCGGCACTTTGTTGTTACCACCAGCATTGCATGAGTCTATTGCCGTGGTCATCAACGGATCTTTACCAACCGTGGCAATGAGCTGTTCACGGAATCTTCGATCAGCTGCGGCCTGTGCATCGATTTGCTCCCTCCACCTGACCCTCTCCTCTCGCGTGGAGATGATCATCTCATCTTCTTCTTCTTTGTCCTTGAACAGACGATCCAGTAGATCATTAAAACCTTGCTCGACCACATGCCACAGAGCATCCTGCATGTAGGCTTCTTCGACTTCGTATGCATGGTCTGGAAATAGTCTGGGAATATCAAGGACCTGACTCAAAGCGGTGTCGTTGCTCGAGAGATGGATGCCCGGATCGTTACCAATCTCGTAAGAAGATGTGAGCTCCCTCGTAGGCTCCCCTGAGCGATCCACTCCAGCGATCATGTCTTCAAGGCGCGATAGCTGATTGCGTAGTCTCTCGTGGGCTGCAGGAACTACGTCTGTTGTGAATGGATCATCTTCATCTAACAAAACCTTTGTTCCTGGTAATGGCTGCATGTCGCCGTGTGCATCCGGCTCCTTGCTCCGAGGTCGCCTCGTCTCACCTGGTGGAATTTCTTCCTGGGTAAAGATGCTGCTGATAGGCTGACTAGATCGCAGTGTTTCCATGCCCGATTGTGTCAACTCCATTTGCTGCGAGTCGATGGAGTCATTGACCAGCTGCTTCTGAATGATGTATTTGGCATGCAGTAATCGTAGGAAGTCTTTCCGATCCACATAGCCATCGCCGTCAACATCGTAGCCCTGGAGCGTTCGACCCAAAGTGGCGTATCGTCTGGGCCCTCGTAGGTAAGCCATGCCACTTAGGAACTCATCAAACCCGATAATCCCGTTATTGTCTGTGTCGTAGAAAGCAAACATCCTGTCAAACATTGCGTTTGTAGCAAATCCTCCAGGCCAACGCTCCGAGGTCAAAGCCTTGTTGAATGCCCGTCGATCAATAGCAGCTCGCACTTTGCAAGGATCCATGTCCCACGGCACGTTGGCAATAGTCAAGAACTGGTCGTGGAGGGCATCCATCTGAGGCTCGTCAAAATCATGCTCACTACCCAGCCGCTTCCTCGCGAGAGGATCAAGAGATGAATGCACTCTTCTTGGATCGCCGGGATACCAGATCCTGTATTCTTTCGTGGGCTGCGAGAGAAGAGGCAGAGGAATGTTGATCTTTGCGAACACGTGAGTCTTGGGATGTCTCGTGTGCGTCTCACAGGAGGAGCACAAGTCGTAGTCGGGACAATTCAGGCAATGCCAGCGGATACCAGTGATGGGATGAACGCCACATTCTTCGCAATGTATGCCTCGATGCTCATAGGCATTTCGTTTTGCGTTGTCCTCGGCAATGTAGTACAGCATGCCGCGTAGGCCTTGGCTGGGTTCTCGGTTCGCAGAAGTCATCGCGTCCAGATCTTCCGTCTCCGCAGGGTGAGCATTCCCGGCGTCCGATTCTGAGGCGGTGCCGGTGCCGGTGCCAGTGTCTGCAGATCGGAGAGCTGCTGCCAAGAGAAAGTCGACCTCGTGGTCGATATGTTCGGGGGCCAAGGTGTCTAGATTCATTACTCTTCGAACGTCCCAAGCTGCGCGTGAGATCTCTTCTCGACTACGACGGGTGGCGTGCAAAGCAGACAGCAAATCTCTCAGGCCCAAGTGTGCTGCTATGGACCATGTCTCGGAGGCACGCGTCGCGTTCGCCAAGGCAAAGAGAAGAGTGTGAAGCACCAGACACTGCACCTCGTGGCGCACATCCTCCGTTCCTTGGCCGAACATGGATCTGAAGTGATCGCCGCGCGGTACCTGCGTGGTGGCGAGATTGATGGCAAAGTCGTGCCCGTTTCTCGTGAGCGATACCGTGCCAAGCGGCGCATCAGGCGTGGGCGCTGAACTCTCCAGTCTGTTGGGTCTGGGTCTTTCTCTGCGTGGCCGGTGTACCGCGTTGCTTCTGTGAAGGCTATTTGCTGCTGCTGGTCTGTGATGGTATGTCGAGTAGAGAAGATACATGCCACAAGCAGCCCCAATGCCTGCCACAGACAGCACGGCTGGATGGTAACGTGACAACTGGGACTGCTGAGCCATCGTCATATTGTCACGTGCCGCGCTGCGTGGGTGGTGGTGGTGGTGGTGGCGGTGGATGTGACTGCGTGGCGATGCGCACCTCAGTCACGCTTCGCGATGTGCTCGTGTTGCCGCCGCGTGACTGCAGCCGCGTCGAGTGTCGAGTACGATGCGCCTGCCTGTGATGTCTGCCGTGCCACACCATCGTGAAAGGCTCAGGCTCAGGCTCAGGCTCAGGCTCAGCACCTCACTGTGATGCTGTAGAACATGCGCGCGTTGATGATATGGAACACAGGTACTGCGAAGTCTCGAGGAAAGCTTTGGTGGGACGTTGGGAGGCACGCACGACTTTTGGCAGAACAACAATACCTGTGCATCGACGAGACTCATGCCAATGCCAGAGGAAGACATAGAAACTGTACACAATGCGTCGAGGAAAATTGCCACCAAATGGCTGTCATCATCGTATCATCCAATGAAGGTCGTCTGCTATCCTGTACACCCCGAAATCGCTCGCACGCCAAACTTCGCTCACATCCAAAAACAGCCGCCAAACCTTTCATCGCGTCTCCCGCATATGCTTTATCCTAGCAATGAAGCTTCTCGGGTATCCGTCGACCTCATCATCGCCCGGAATCCCACGTTCTCTGCATCGTGCCACAACTTTGTGGATGATTTGTTTGAGCAGATTTTCATCCATCAACACCTGGTCCCCAATGTTATCAGGGTACAAGAAGCTGTCGCTATCGCTCAGGAGCTCTTTCACACTTGGCCGCTTCTGAGCGTCTCGGTTGAGACAAGATCGCAAGGTGCTCTTCAAGGAGTATGGAATTACCGCCCCGCCAATTCCAGTCTCCGGGTATTCGATTACATGTTTCGGATTCGTGATTGCCACCACCCGGGGAATCGGATTTTGTATATGCGCAAAGGGCGGTCGTCCGTAGGCCATTTGGTACAGGATACATCCTAGACTCCACACGTCAGAAGACTTGCCGATGCGGATGTCTTTCATCAGCGGTCGCCCGTTCTCGTCCGTGCCGGCACCAGCATTGGCATCCGTAATACTTTCGGGCGACATGTAATTCGGAGTTCCCACGTTGAAATCGCGGTGTACATTGCACGTGTGGTCTGTGTCGATGGCGTTTGCAATTCCAAAGTCGATGAGCTTCAGTCGGCCCTGAACGAGGAGGAAATTTGCTGGTTTGAGATCCGAATGCACGATGTCGTAGTCATGCACTGCTTGGACACACTCAAGCATCTCTTTCCAGTGGTATCGCGTGAAGACGCTATCGAAGCGCGCGCTGGCTCCGTTGAGATGCAGAGCAAGCACTCGATTGAAGTCAGTATCGCCCTTTTCCATAAGAACAGCAAGTTCTTGTTTTTCCTCATTCATCTCCCAATCGTAAAGCCGCACCACTCGCTCTACGTCTGTAAGCTTCTTCAGGAGGTCAATCTCGCCCTTGAAGCCGCGGACCGTGTTTTCATCGCAATTGCCAAGCTTCACACGCTTCAGAGCGAATGTCTTGTAGTTCTCGGCCATGACGCAGTACACTCTGCACGAGCCGCCTTTGCCAATCTCTCCCATCTGTGTGAAAAGCTTGCCCTTGACAACAATATGCTGGCGTTTTTTCCGTGATTTCGTCGTCGTCGCTCCAGCGGTCGCGGTAGCCGCGTCCAGGACGCTCATCTTTGGCGGCGGCGCCGGAGCAGGTCGATGAGGCGTGTTGCCACTGATAGCGCCAAGTGCTTTTCGTTGCTCCTGCGCGGGCACAGGAACAGGTGTCTCATCAATCAGTCGTCGACGAGGCTTCTCATCATCGGACATCATCGACACTGATGGCTTGCCCAGATACTTGAAGTCTTGATCTTTATTGCGCTTGAATGTGGGCGGAGGGACGTTCTCTTGGTCTTCTGCAGCGTCCGCGTGGACATTGGATGCAACGTATCTATACGTCCCTCGACTAAGTGCAGGACGGTGCCCAGGCTTCTGGTCCAAAGTGGCTTTCGATTGAGAGTGATCAGCACTCTGGTATCTTTGATGCTCTGGTTGCATAATGTCCAATTGCGCTATACTAGGCCGTCTCTGCGGCTGGTGACCTTCTACGCTCGGTTGCCTGCTTCGGGACGCCTCACGACTTGCATGACGAGATGGAGGCCGTGAATCATGGCCGGCCTGGCTTCGTGAGAAATGGCCATTTGCTTGTCTGGATGCCGGCCGAGAGTCTTGAGAGGCATAATTCCTGGGTGCAAAATCATGCACAGATACAGGCTCCACAGATGTGGCACGAGTATTCACACTTCCACTTCGACTTCGAGCGCCATCCAGCTGCGAAAGACTTCTTTCCTGGGGCGTGTAGCTGGAGGCACTTTGCTGTGATGAGGAGCCATGCGGAGCGTCATCATTTGCATGAAAATTCTCCTCGCTATCTTGCCTCTTAAAGCCTCTTCTGACAGGTCCATTGCGAAGAAACGATCCAGGCACGCCGGGTGGCCGCTTGACACGCTGCGAGCCCGGTGCAACTGCTGGTTCTGCGGAGGTGTTACGTGTCCTAGTCGTGTTGCCATATCTAGAAGCTGTCTCGGGGGGTGGGTGCGCTGAAGTGCTGCGGGATAAATCTGTTCCTTGGTTTCGTCGCTCGTTCGTGCTAGGTGCTGCTGCTCGTGAGCCAGCACGGGAATGGGGTCTGCTGATAGATGAGGCAAGATTCGGCTGATCGTCCTGGGACTGCGACGCGTTACTGCCGGCTCTCGATCGAGATCGAGTAACGACTCTGATCGCACGAGGCTGCGCAGGTGTAATTACTTCTTGTTTAAGATGCGTTTCTGGAGTAGGCTCTCTTTTTGCGCCGCGCTGTGGATATGGCCCCGCAATGCTAATCGAGCGCTTGGTCGCAGAAGAGCCTTTTGTGCCAAGATGCACTACTCGTGGTGGTGTATTTCCTGGAGGGCTGCGGCGGACAACTTTCAGGCCTGGAGCTCTACTAGGTGTATCCAATCCTGCGGTTCCAGCGCTGGTTGATCTATTGAAACGAGGTGCATCCTGCACCTGCGCCTGCTCCTGCTTTGGCGGAGAAGCTATGCCCGCCTCTGCCAGTAACGCTTGCGTCGCCTTGGAGAACTTGAGCTGGGGCGGCGGCTCGCCATCGGTATCGCTATCGTCGTCGATGCCAATGCGCTGCATCATGGGCGCGTCGGCGGAGAAGCCATTGGGCGCGAATGCCGACAAGGGCGAATGGCGACGCGCGCGGCCAGGATGAGCGACTGCGGCCATGAAGCGGTGGGCGGTGCGTAGTACTCGGTGCTTCCTCGAATCGGTATGGTCGGTATTGTGGTGGTGTACTGGTGCTGGTGGCTCAAGATGTCCGTCCCGGGTCAGTAGTGAGTGGTGATCGTGTCCATGTCGCGCTGTTAAGTATACTGAGGTATCTCGCGAGCCTTTGAGCGACGCAATCGCTACATGCGATCAGGATGCTGGCCGTACCAAAGTATGGGAGTGGAAGTGTGCTACGGAGGAAGATGCGACAATTTGCCAGCGCGTCGGCGGAAGTCCGGCAGCGTCGCCAGGGCAACCAACACTCCATTATGCTACCTGAGCTTTTGAGCCACGCCACTGTAGCTACGAGGGAAGATATTTTACAAAATCCTGTTCGCCATGTTATGGCTACATAGTCAAAATCAACGCATCTATTCGAAGGTACGCCAGTCTCTACCTGTTTGCTCTGCATGATTCTCCGTGCCTTTTCATATACCACTTTTCTGTACATCCTCGAGCGCAATATCTGCCCTTCTAAGCCTTTGGGTCAAAACCGGCTTCCCTCTCCATTCCTTTGCACGCGGTTGCCATGTAACTCTCTAGGTGTGGTCTCCTCGTGGGTTCTGCGGGGCAGTATTCGCACTTGAAAGGGTTTGGAAAGACCGTGTTCTCAGGGAACGATGGATCGCAGCTGCGTCTGTCGAAATAGTCGCCTCGTCATCATCCGACACAAATAACTTGTCATCAGGATTCGACACTGCGACATCTTCTTGCATGAGCAAGTCTCCACATGGAAGACGTCGGCACTTGTCTCTGCCTCGTTGACTGCCGGTGCCTGCGTAGTGGTAACGGGCGGGAGCCGATCAACCGTTACGCTAGCTAATTACATAAACGAGTCTCTATCGTCCACTTAGAAGCCGTCGGCACTTATCTCTGCCTCGTTAACTGCCGGTAATGCCGCTAGTAGTACTGCCGGTGCCTACGTAGTAGCGACAGGCGGGAGCTATATAACCGTTATACTAGCTGCTTTTAGAATTAGCGAAGCTTTTATATTAGCAAACTTAGAGACTAGTAGAGTAGTAGGTCCCTTCGATACTATATTAACCTCTCCTTTGCGGATCTTCTACTTACGCTATACTCTACCTTTCTTAGTAGTAGTATCCTAGCCCTATATAATCTTAGCGCGTTCCTAACGTATAGGCCGATTAGGTCTAGGACTAGTATCTAGAGATCCGTTTCGACCTAGACCTAACGTCTTCTACGAGCCTCGCCTACGAACGTATATATTAATCGAACCTATAATTCTTATTAGTAGAACTTAGAGAACGACCTCGTCTATAGCCGCGATTATCTCGTTAGGTACTATAATAAATAGAGTCCGGTAACCGTCTTAGTAATCTTATACGACTACTAGTATACTTACCTAACCGTCTCTCTTAAGAATAGTTATTTCTACGTACTACTACTAGAGACCTACGCTTCTATCGATAGTCTAATCGAGAGTCGTATAGCGAACGAGATCTCCTAGACGTTCTTAAGCTCGCGTCCGTATAACGCGATAGCCTAGAACCTTTATATCGAAATAAGGACTTAACTCTACTATCTCCTCGCCTAGCCGTCTAGCTAGTAGGACTACGAGTCCGCCTAGAAGTGTCTATATATAAGAAGGGTATATTAGTAGGTAGATAGGGTAGTAGTAGGTATAGGTAGTATTCGATAAGAAGCTAGGAGGAGAGGGAGGAAGGTAGGCAAGTTAGCCTATTACTAAGCGCCAAGCCCTACCTAAGGCACTAAGACCCTAGCTTTACTCGGCCTAGTTATATACTAATTATATATAGCCTCTTTAGCCCTAATATATACTTCCCTTCTAAAGGCCGCGCCCTCGTAGCCTATCTATATTCTACGACCTCTATTGCTACTAACTTAGTAAGTCTAATAAGCTACTTAGCCCGCGCCGAATTAAACACTTAACTACCTAATTATGTAACTATATTAAACCTCACTTCTAACACAATATAATATCTAACTCTAACTACGCTATCCTTATATATAATAAAGTAATATATAACTACGAGAATTAAGGACCTTCGACTAATTATAATACAAGCGCGTCTTCCCTACTATAATAGGTAGACGTACGAGGTATTACAGCCCTGCCTCCGTTCTAAGTAATATCGTACCGAGTTCTTTACGTCTACTCTTAAAAGACCTAGTAATATCCGCTTCCGAGGGTTTGTCCGTTCTAAGGGTTGTTCTTATTATTACGAGGGCTATTATTTACTATCGTAGTTTTACTAGCCCTAATTAGTTAGGTTTAGCAGCCTTTAAGTGTCAACTAATTATATCTTTTTGAAAAACTCAGTTCTTCTAGTTTCTATAGATAAAGGCTATTATAAGTGTAGTAGTAGAGGTTCGCCTCGCTTAAAGGGTTAGATAGATCGAGAAGTAACCTATTGTCCGCAAGATCGACCCTAGCTAGCTTAGCTCTATAGTTTTGCCCTTAGTTAGTTAGTCTATTAAGCTACTTAATCCTTTTAAGCCTTAATACTTTAACTTAGCCTTAAAGTTTTAGTTAAAGTTTTAATTAAACTGTTAATATAGCTATTCTTTTAACTTAGCCGGTAGGGTACGCTCCGGCTCGTAGTATAGGTAAGGTCGTGTCTATAGGCGTAGCGATAATAGTAAGTAATGTTGATAATAGCGGCGCTAGCCGTCTTAGCGCTAACTTTACCTTGCTTCTAATTTCCTTCTTTAACTAATAATAACTCGGTAACACCGTTACTAATATAGCTATATCCTTCCTTTCTTAAATAGTAATATACTCCGTAATACTATTACTAATATAGCCGCGCCGGCCGCGCCGTCCTTGCCGATTGCCTAGGCCTCGATAGAATAAGGGAATAAGAGGGGGACTTAAATACTAGGAGAAGGGCCTCGTAGGGCGCGTTAGTAGAGAGGTAGTTTCCTAAAAGAGCAGCGAATAGTTAACGCGTTATAGCGCGCTTATTAACATTCGGTACGCGTTTACTATAGTAGTGTAGTCTTATTATCCTAGCTTGCTAGCCTCTAATTAGTTAGCTAATAATACCCCGGGGGTGCTATTAATCCTAGGCGACATTATAGGCCCTTAGCCTTCTTCTTGTTCTTTATACTAGTCTAATACTTATCTAACAACTTAGCTATATCCTTAAAGGAATCTTTAGCCTCCTACGAGTCCTATTTAGGTAAAAAACCTTGCTATCTTAGGAGGTACTCCTTCTTGCCTTATCTAGTTCGATGCTTTAGGATACGTTCTATAGACTATAGCTCTTTACTGTCGGCTAGTATCTCTTTATATTTAGTAGGGGCTTCTTTAGGGCCTCCGCGGTAGTAGTATAATTTAAGGAGGGAGATATAGAAGGTGTTATAGATAGTATAGTATAGTAGGAGCTATAACTAATAGGCCTAGCTATTGCCCTTCGGTTCTCGGATTCGGAATAGGCTAATAAACCGTAGTGCTAGTTTAGGGCGTGTTTTACTATTAGGCGATAGGTGTTTGCGGATGCGGAGGTTCTTTATACTAAGTATAACTATATCGCCTTACTTAAAGGTTATCGGTATATAGTGTTTATTATAATAGGCCTTCTAATAGGCCTAGGCCTTTGCTAGTTTGTTAGCTATCTTAGCGTAAATCTCTCGTATCTTTTAAACCCTCTCGATAGCCGCTAGTATTTTAGGGGCTTAACGCGCTTCCCTTTCCTTACGCTCGGCCTCGAGCGAGGTAAATAGACTCTATAGCAACGCGGCGTTTTGACCTATTA